CCTTTTAATATTCTGTTCTGTTCATGAACAGTCCATTTTAATATTCTTTTTGTTTATGAACAGTCCCTTTTAATATTCTTTTCTGTTCATGAGGGTACATTTATCTTCCAAAACTTTACATAAAACAAAATGAAAGCCCAGCACAGTGCAGAGGCCTGTGCTCAGCAAAAAAAAATATTTAGAAATTATAATTTATTGAAACAATGCAGGAAAGATATGTTCATTGAGTGAATTTAAATATTTTTCTCTTCTTTGTGATTCAGGTTTAAAGTTACGTTTTTTAAACATTTTTAACTGGGAAACGGACGTAGACGTCGTAATAAAAAAGTATTTTAAAAATATTTAAATATGTCTTTTGATAAGAAATTCATTAATTTTATTACAAGGTAACACACGAAGTGTAAACATTTAAAGACGACTATCAGAATTCCTTCATTCAGCTGCTCATTTAATTTTTCTTTGCAAAACAACAAAAAATAAAAAAAAACTTTTTGAGACTGGGCAGAAGATAAATTTTATTCTAAATAAAGCTAGATGTAATATTGTTGACTTGAAAAGTCACTATAATAAAATAAAGAGATCTAAAATGGATATTTCTAACATTTATTTAAAACGAAAGTGTTTTGAAATATTTGCATTTAAGGCGGAGTTAAAATTGGTTGATTTAGAAATTAACAAAGGAATTAATGATGAATGTTGTGGGTACTTCATGGGAGTGATGTAGATCTTCATGTTGGTGAAGCAGATCAACAGGATCTTGAACAACAGGACTTATCCAACCTAGTAGGCAGAGATCGCGGCTTGTCATGCTGGCTATGAGCGATTATGTTGTCCCTGGAATGCATGATGAACTGGGAACCCTTCGGGTAAGAGCGTCTGCTGCTATCTGAGTATCTGCGTCATCATCATAAAGGAGTCAAGAGGCTCCCTGTGTTGATTCACAACGGTACCCTGATTAGTATGATTCACAATAGTACCCTGATTAGTATGATTCACAACGGTACCCTGATTAGTATGATTCACAACGGTACCCTGAGTAGTATGATTCACAACGGTACCCTGATTAGTATGATTCACAACGGTATCCTGATTATTATGATTCACAACGGTACCCTGATTAGTATGATTCACAACGGTACCCTGATTAGTATGATTCACAACGGTACCCTGATTAGTATGATTCACAACAGTACCCTGATTAGTATGATTCACAACGGTACCCTGATTAATATGATTCACAACGGTACCCTGATTAGTATGATTCACAACGGTACCCTGATTAGTATGATTCACAACGGTACCCTGATTAGTATGATTCACAACGGTACCCTGAAAAACTTTGATTAGTCAAGAATGCAGTATGTTTTCTTTATATGGTTTTCATAATTTTGAAAGAATTTTCTGGGAAAAATTAAAAAACGCATCTTTTCAATAAAAATTGAATATTTTTTATTTTGGTTTATCTAAAAGAGAATTGTGCATGCACTTTGTTAAAAGTAATGGAAGAAATGGTCGATAACCTTTTCATAAAGTACGTTTTTTGTTCAATTGTAAATATTGAAGTTTCCTTAAATTCTTCAGATTTGAATTACGTATTGCAGTAGCACTATATACAGTATATAGTATTTCGATTAAAAATACACTTTTATAAGTATCCCTTAGGAGTTAGGAATGAATGTTTTCTTTATATGGTATCATTAATTTGAAAGAAATTTCTGGGAAAAATCAAAAAATTGCATCTTCATTGAAAACTGAATATTTTTTATTTTGGTTCATCCGAAAGAGACTTGCGCATGCACGTTGTTAAAAGTAAGGGAAGAAATGGTCGATAACCTTTCCATAAAGTACGTATTTTTTTGTAATTGTAAGTACTGAAAATTTTTCTTAAATTCTTCAGATTTGAATTACGTATTACAGTAGCACTATACAGTATATAGTATTTCGATTAAAAATACACTTTTACAATTATCCCTTAGGAGTTAGGAATGAATAAAGTAAGTCTATCAAATTCAAGGTTACACCTGCCGGGTACATTATACCGTAGAAAAATATTTATTTAAAAGAAAAATATTTGTACACGAAACTGTTTTTTTCACCTTAATCTTTAATCCATATATCTTTGTGGCCTAATTTCAAAGTTCAGAATATTAATATTGATATAGATTGAATTGCCAAAGTTTGAAATATCAATGATGTAAACCATCATATGATAAGAAAAATATTGAGTTTGAGGCATTTAATCAATTCGTTTATATCTTAAGTTGGGTTTTTGTAATGCTGTTTTTGAATCACAACTTTTGAATTATTTTATTCCGTTAGGTTAACCCTATCTCCGCTGGGGTACTTGAAAACCAGGATATGTTGGGGGGGGGTCAATTTGACCCCCCCCTCTAAATCCCATGTTTTATGTCCAAATATGACAAATGATACATCATTAGAAAGCTCTTGTGCTCTACTTTTAGAATCTGCAAAAATTTGCAAATTTGCGAAAATTGAATTTTTTATCGCAAAATCCAGTTTTATAGTAAAAATGTTTGCAAAAAAAAATTTGTCCAAAAAATGACAAATTATACATTTTTGAAAAGCCCTTGACCATGCCATTTCAAATATGCAAAAATTTTTGCAAAATTTTAAATAACCTGATTTTTAATCAAGAAAAACTAAAAATGTGCAAATTTCCTTTGACAGGTTGTTTGCAAAAAATTTGCAATTTTTTTTTCGCAAAACTTGTGAATCCGTTTCCTTATGTCATAGGCTTTCCAAAAAGCTAAATTTTATCAAAATCTGACAAGTGAAAGTGGGTCAAAACAAAGATTTAGTTTGCTACAGGCAAGAGCAGTCATTCAGGCAGTGTGCCTGAGGACTCAGGCAGTTAGTATTAAAGCCCGGTTTTAGGCCTAAAGGGAGGGCTTTGGGTATGTAAGAAAAGTCAGAAAATTTCAACAGCCTCAGACCAATACTTTTTGAGTTATGTAAAAAAAATTACAGGGGGGGTTCAAATTGACCCCCCCCCCAGCGGGAATAGGGTTAAATAGTGGTTTTATTTGATAATTTAAACAAATGTAAGCACATTTATATCTAAATGTTCTGTGAAAAACAGATTCTTCTAAAAAGATTTCCCGGATTTCCTGTTTTTGTCGTCTTTACATGTTATGATTTTTTCCCCATATTTAATATGATGATTTAATGTTGAACTTATCCAAGAAAAAGGAATAATTTTTAGTCTTTGCCATAAACTTTGGTTTGCTAATCCCAATATCTTTGCAACCCAATGTCGTATAAATTTTGTTAGATCAAATAATCTAAGTTTGAAATATATAAGGTTAATATCATCATGTTGCAAAGATGTAGGTATTAGAAAATCAGAGTTTGTGGCTAAAACTCAATTCCTTTCACATAACTATAAGGCTTTTTAGCCACCTACTATTTTAACTATAAATTGTGGCTTTATCTGTGAGCATCTTCTCTTTGAACAATAATAAACATTAATTTAAAAAAGTTCACGGATTTCATAATATTTTTTATTCGTGGATTTTTTAAATTTTTTGAACTTTAAAATGTTTGGAGACAATTTTTTTGTAATTCTGAGCATTTATAAAAGTTTCCTGGGATCATGCGAGGTCCCACACAAACTTTGGGCCCGATCGGTTCCGCCGTTTTGATGTTTATTGAATACAAACGGACAAAGAGACACCCACACATGCAAAGTATGTATATGTAGATAAAAGACATAAAAAGATAACCTATAGTTCATATTGTGTTGTAATTTTAAGCAGCCTTCCATCAGCATTCATAACTTGGAAAACTGATTATTTTCTATTGATCATTATGATTATGATTATTGATCAAATAATGGTACCATTGAGAATATCATTATTAATAATGTTAATAAAAGTAATTAATTAAAATGATATTATCTCTAGATGTTTTTGATTTTGAAAACGATGATGTATTTTTATTTTTATTCATTAGAAAAATAGTTCTTTAATTATTGACCGTTAAACAATGATCAGCAATATCTAACCTTTAAGTTGTTACCTGTCTCATTCGTTAATTACTTGAAAACCAGGATATGCTGGGGGGGGGGGTCAATTTTACCCCCCCCCCCCTCTAAATCCCATGTTTGATGTCCAAATATGACAAATGATACATCATTGAAACTCTTGTGCTCTACTTTTTGAATTGAATTTTTTATCGCAAAATCCAGTTACATTGTAAACATGTTTTCAAAAAAAAATTTGTCCAAAAAACGAAAAATTATACATTTTTGAAAAGCCCTTGACCATGCCATTTCAAATATGCAATTTTTTTTGTTGCAGAACTTGTGCAATTCTTTCCTTATGTCAAAGGCTTTCCAAAAACAAATATTTAGTTTGTTACAGGAAAAAGCAGTCATTCAGGTAGTGTGCCTGAGGACTCAGGCAGTCAGTATTAAAGCCCAGTTTTAGGCCTAAAAGGAGGGCTTTGGGAATGTAGGAAAAGTCAGAAAATTTCAACAGCCTCAGACCAATACTTTTTGAGTTATGTAAAAAAACTACAGGGTGGGGGGGACCCCCCCCCCCATCCCGCCAGCAGGAATTGGGTTAAAAAACCGATGGTATCTATTTTGGACTTTTAAAGCTACCAGTTGTTACTAATGTTTTATTCTTATGTAAACTATACAATATAGTGGAACTCTTAAAACTGTGGAATAGGAAAATGTCATAAACGTAATGATATGTGTTTATATTTGGTGCCGTTTTACCCAGTATCATGAACATTAACTTACGGTCGTCTTCTTATTACACAGTTTAATGGGATCTACTGAACTTAAAAATCCCTTTTTAAAACAAATATACTTTTCAAGGTTATAAAACATTTTTCTAGTTTGTTTAGTAAATACAGCTTAACAATAGGAACAAAAAATTCTATAGAATTTAAAAATATGTTTTTAAACAAACACTAAAATTGTTAAATATGGATGTTTTTGCACCTTCTTTAAAGTTGACAAAACGTGGAAGAGAATGTTCGAGGTTTAAGTTTAGTTCAAGTGTTTAACGGATAGAGAGCATGTTGCCTATACTCCTTCTTACACTACTTTTATGGAAAATATCTTTAATAAATTAAACAATTTTTTTCAAGAAAAAAAAATAATTTTGTTTGTCGACCTAATACTAAGTCTTCCTTGAAAGAGTTACATGTCCCGAATCACAACGGTACGCTTTAGCTAATACATAAAAAAAGAATTGAAGATGTTTATTTGCAGTTCTCTATAATTTAAAGAAGCTATGGGATTTATGCAGTTGAGGAAAGTAAATTGTCAGAATTACTTTTCATAAAATCACCACGGTATTCTTGAAATCACTACGGTATTCTTGAAATCACCACGGTATTCTTGAAATCACCACGGTATTCTTGTACAATTGTTAAGCTTCGTTTTTAAGATTTACCGTTGTAATCGAGGAATCGGGGATTTAACTTTTTTAATGAAGGATATATTAAATTTATGTCTAATAATAAAGATATCAATTTTAGGCTCCCTGATGAAACAAAATCTCAATTGTAAGTTTTAACAAAAAATAGTATTTCAAATTTTTACTAGAAGAGAAAAGCTTGAGGGAGAGAGCGATACATCAGTTTCTCTCTAAATATGCAAATTCAATTTTCTGGGTCAGATTTGAAAAGGAATAGTTGGGGAAAAAATGCATAATCTGAAAAAGTATTTAAATTTAAAAATATGAATATAGATGAACAAGTCACCAACTTTTCATTACAGGACATTTTAAAAGTAGAAAGTTTTTAGGGATCGATTTTTTTGTTCTTGTGCCCACACAGAACTAATCAAACATTGTGCTGCCTACTGCAACGACAAACCTTGTGAGTATAACATATAATATGTTTATGAAGCTACATGGTAGGATGTAAATGAGTAAAAAATTGCCTTCTTCAAAACATTTTTAAATGTCACCCTGTCTCACCCTGTATCATGTATGTCACACTATAATTCGTCCCCTGTTGTGCTATTTTATCAGTGCGTTAATATTGGTGCTTCCTCATAAGTGCGTTTAAGTTTGTGCAACCTAATAATTATCTTAGCCGTATCTGACCCAATCGGGGGGGGGGGGGGTCAAATTGACCCTCCCCTATATTTTTTTTTGCTGCGATAACTCAAAAAGCATTCAAGCTAGGAAGCTCAAATTTTCTGGCTTTTCTAATTAACACATCCCCCGCACTTAAGACTAAAAGTTTGACTTATATACCTATTGCCTTATTTTACCTTTCCCAAAAACGTATTAAGTGTTATAGATTTGTATCACAATAAGAAAATTATTATAAAATGCAATTGCATAGTCGTTTTAACACTTAAACTGCAAATAAATGTGTATAACATTTTTCATCTATTCTGAATGCATTTAGAGAGAAATTTATATATATATCAAAAAAGAAATGTAACTACATAATTTTATATTTAAGTCAGCCTCTAGTAAGTGGTCCAACAAAGATTACATGGTTCAACTAAGTATACATAGTTCAACTACTTCTCTCTCTAGTCATTCCATGATGCATGTCAGTGTTTACTGTCTAGGTGAGAGTTTGTGTGAATATAAGTGTGGATGGTTTAGAGTATGTGGCACTATCAGCTGTTCTCAAACTGGGTCAACTTGTACATCAACAGTTTCAAAGAATACCCAGGAATTAACAGATTTTCTACAAAATATTCAACTCAATTATTTAAATATTCAGAGGCGTATTCAGGGGGGGCTATGGCGGCTAAGCCCCCCCTGGAAAGAGAAAAAAAATTAAGCCCCCCCCCTGGACAAATTCCTGAATACGCCCCTGACAAGCATTTGGAACGATCGATAGTGATATTTTTTAAAAACTTTTTATCAGTTTTTTTCTTGCATACAGACAGTACAAGCAATTACACCCCAATTTTTTGAGTGAATTGAAAAAATTTGAAACCAAAATTGTGTCACGACTCATGTGATTTAAATTGTTTTAAGATAAATTGCATCCAAGCAATCTAACAAACTATAAGAACACAATATGTTTTATAGATTAAATAATTTCTTTCCCCTAGATTGGATTGTAAAAAGTCTCATCAAATTTTAAGATAGGGTTGACTTTGAAGTGTCGCAACGCCTTGGGCTTTGATTTTACCGCTCTAACTCACTTAAATGATTTTGTGTAGCCCTTTACATGCACATTAATGAGCATTATAAAGCATATCTTGTTATCTTTGGTATTTTAGAAGTAATAGATAACATTCTAGTCGATTTTTGCTTGATCGAGAGTCTGAGACTCTTAAATTACAGTGGGAAGTAGTTTAGCTATCCGCATTTAGTCAAACTTCTTCTTCAGCTCACTTAAAACAAGCCCAACGAAGTGCATTTATGTGGGTATCAGAATATCTTAACTCATATTTTGATGTCTGATTCAAAATCCGTTGAAAATAGCGTAAACGATTTATATTTTAATATTTAAATTATAGTCCAATTAAACCGTAAATACTATAAATCTTCATCTTATGTGTGGAAATGGTTATGAAGTTAAATCTTACTAACTTCGAACAAGGACTTTTTATTATACAGTGAGCTATGTCAAAATATGTTAAAAAGGTAAAGATTGTTTAAGAAAAAAATTTGAAACCAAGACCTATGAAAAATCTGCATAAAAATCAATAGGCGTTAGCGGCTGCTCTTAACGCTGGATCTTTTAGAGTTCTTACACAAGCATCTTCGGTAATTATTTATTAATTATTAATTAATTAATTATTATTTAGCTACGCTCATCCGAGGTGAAATAAACAACTGTATTAACTAACTATAAACTGATTTGCAAATTTAAAATATCAAAAATTATATATACTGAGATGACGTGGAATTATCTGCTTCTCTTGCCGCGTCTCTATATCCGGCTCGGAATAGAATCGTTTTCCGCCACAAATAGATAATTTATAGAGGCAAACACTCTTTTATTACGTGAAATGGTATTATCTATTATCTTTAAAAAAATCTCTTGTTAAAGGGACTGTCCTCGTAATTTTATGTGCAGAACCTCAATTCAAAAAAAGGGCATGCTCGATTCTCATGTTCTGAAGCAAAAAATTAGCAAGTCATTTTTGCCGATAAACCACAAATGAAAATAAACACAAACAAATAAAACACGGAGATCTAAGTAACATGTGTTTTGAGAAAGGTTTTAATGATACTGTTGTGAATCTGACATGCTACGCTGTCAATGGAGGGATAGTCGAAACTACGTTTACAGTCCCTGAGTTAATTGAGAACCTGAAAGATGCTGATTGCGCGGCGGCGAACTATGAAAAAGTTACGATAATTGTTAACCAACTGTTGAGACCGGGTATAAGATACCCGGCTTTAGTCCTGTTTAAATCCTTTCAGCCACCCGTTTTAAATCTTTATAGCTTATATGATATATATATTTCTTATCAAAGTATTTTTGTAAAGATCAAGTTGGTCTGCTGCATAAGGAACTGAATTTTTGCCACAAACTCAAATTTCTAAAAAAAGTGATGGTGTAAAGCTTTTATATTTCAAACTTAGATTTTTTTGTTTAACAAAATTCATAGCTTGACATATCAAAAGTCAACGGCATTAGGTTTCAGAGATATAGGGATTAGAAATCAGAGTTCCTATAATTAGAAATCGAAGTTCCTGTAATGGTGTAGACCGATTTGAAATGAAATATGAAATTTTCTTTAATAAAACTTACATTTCTTGTTGGTCTAGGAATATGAGCATTACAGGAAAGTGTTCAATGCTGCTTGCACAGCTAAACCCAAAGCAATTGTATTTCCAAATACACCGGAAGATGTCGCATTTATTCTGAAAACTGCTAAATCTTTTGGTGACACCATCAGGTATATTTACATTCATCTGATATTCTTTACCTGTATAAATTACTAGGGATATGTCGGAAAAAAACTTGTTCAATTTAAATGGTTTAAATATCTGTGGAAAAAAATAATGGAATTGAGTCTTTGCCACACACTCAAATTTCCCAGTCCTTGTATCTTTGCAATCTCATAGTGTAAATATTTGATATTTCAAACTTAGATTATTTGATTAAACAGAATTTATAGTTTGAAATATCTAAGGTCTACGACTTTGGGTTGCAAAGATATAGGGATTAGAAAATCTGGGTTTGTGATAAAGACTCATTTTTTTAACCATAAATATAAGTATATGCTATATTTCCCAGGCTAGTAGCAATCTGATAGATATCATCATTTTTCTAGCCTAAAACGTGGCTTTTGTAGCATTACCACTGTCTCCTAGATAAACCACAACTGGTCAATTCATTATTCATAAAAAAAGGATGTCTTCTTGACATCCTTGATCAGACACGATGTCATCATTGACTTAAATAACGGAACCCTTTAATCAAGAATGACATTTTAACATGGAGAGGCACTTAAAATTTTGTCAAAGCTGTCTCTTTAAAAATGTTTGAATTAAGTGTGCGAAGTGGAGGGCACAGTTACACATGCAACAGCCTGAAGCAGGACAGTGTTCATATTATCATGACAAACTTTAACCGGGTAAAAACGTTATATTCATTACAGTGAGAACCAGAAAACTCTGGAATATAAAGACGACTTTGAGAATCATGCTACAACTTTATAAGTCCAATGAGCATGAACACATAGCAATTGTGCGGTGTTAACAGGCCCATTAATCAATAACTTGATTTAATAAGTATCTATAGTAAAACTATTTGCTTTGTAACTGCATCAAATACATTTTAAAAATATTGCTATAATGTCGTCTTCCTATTCCATTGTTTTCTGGTTATCACTGGAATACATGACATCATTTAGAAAATTAGAAAAGTTGAGAATTGAACAATTTGAGATAATGTTTCAGATTAAACTTTTTGATACAACCAGAAGTGAAACAGGGAAGGCAGCCTGGCTTGGGACCGGAGCTATTTGGGGGAACGTTTTGAGGTCGAAAGAAAAAATTCTTAAATTCAAAATTAAAATTTGGACTTTTTATTGTTTATTGCTAGGAGAATTTATTGCTAAAAAATGTAAGATTTCAATCTAATATGAAATTTACTTTAATTCAACGTGGAGTCCATACAAAAAATAGTTTCATCAAAAAAACTTATTTTTTGGTAAAAAGTTCAATTTTTTGATTGGAAAAAATTTTGGCTGTTCTGTTCCAAAATTTCAGACTAATAATCGATTGACAAATAAAAGAGATATGACAAAAATCCGCGAACAATTGTATGTGCAAATCTAAAACAAATCGCAAAAAAAATAAAAAATATATTTACTGTTTACAAATACACTCTCTTATGAACAAAATTTTGAATAATAAAGTTGTTTGAAAAAGAAATTTTATTGTAATCTTTGAATATTTGAGCAGAGCTGGGAACTTTTGGATGGTGGATATCTGGATTAATTCTTGATCCATTCTTTTTTTAATCTCTAGATTAATAAATGCTTTTAATTTCTCGCTTAATCCACTCTTTTTTGGATATATTATAGAAAAACACAAACCGGTTGTACAAAATTAGAGAGTTCCACCTATTTTTGTATATTAATCTTAAATGGAACGCAAAATTTCAAAATCAAAAATCAAATACAGGTGCAAGATTAGGTTAGTCTCGAGATTAAAAAGAGGATCAAGCCTTGATCTGATATCCACCATTCTAAAGTTCCCAGCTCTGAGCTGAAAACTTTAGAATGTGATATCCTTAATCCCGATCTGGTAATTAATCTGGAGATTAAATTCATGGTGACAATAAGCAATATTTAATCTAGAGATTAAGAAAAAGAGTGCATCAAGCACAAGAGGATTATTGATATCCCAATCAAAATTTCCCAGCTCAGATCGATTTGTACTGATGTTTTTCGCGGATTTTTTTGAATAACTAATTTATTTATTATCAGATTTTTATGAAACTTTGGATTACTCGAATTTAAATTTTCTAATCCATCTCGGAAGAAAAAAAGTTTTCACAAAAAATGTAGCAAAACATATTTGACGCAAAGCTCGTTTTTTGGACTCACCAAGCATAAAACTGTTTAGATCTATAGACCCTGAGGTGTATAGCTACCCCCATGGACAATGCCGTAGTGTTGGAGTAGGAGGATATCTACTAGGAGGAGGGGTTAACTGGCTGGGGACTTATAACAAGTAATATAAACAATAAACATATCACGCACCTCAGACCCATTAGTAAAAGTAAGTTCAACCTAAAGTCTGGCTGCGTCAACCTTGTTGCACCGACTAGTCCTACTCAGTGTCTGCTTTATTTACCCAATGTCCGGGCGATACAGTACAAACTGGGACCGGAAAAGTTGACGCGGCTCGGAAATTCAAATGTACTACGGCTGCCCGTGATATTATACAACAACATCAAATTATGGAATTCATCATTAAAAGGAAGTGTATGTTGAATTGACAGTGAGTATAGGTTATGCTAAATTAGAAAAGTATCAACCTTTTTCCATCGAATGTATAAGCGCGACGGACGTGTTTGCCAAATTGTCCCTTTTACTAAAACATTTGATGAAAAAATCCTAATAACATTCGATTCCTTTATATTTAATATTCAGACATTTGATCATCGAAACAAACAAAAAATTGAACCAAATTGAACACTTTAAGTTTCATTTTATTTTAAGTGATAATCGAGCTCAGCAGAAATGTTTAAAAATATTATTATTAAGCAAATCACTTTCATTAAAGAACAAACTTTATTGATTAACCATAGAAAATTTTGATCACTTGGCAGCAACGCTCGGCCCAGAAGTGTTTCAGCCCAACTAAAAAATGTATGTGAACTATGTAGGTATGAGAGGTTTCGTTATATATCGAATTTATGAATAATGCAAGTAAGTGATTGAAATCAAAACACAAAATTTCAAATTTTAATAATATGCATGGAATATAATTATTCAACCTAAAGATAACCTACTGTTCAGACTGTATACATGGCAGCTAGAATATAAAAATTGTAATCATGTAAATTGTTCGTAAAGGCCGGAAAGAATCACTACCCTTGATTTTGTTAGAGTTAAGATACGAATAAATGAGTTTGAAGCAATTTTGACAATTTCTGAAAAAAATCATTCTTATAATTTTTTTTGTTTTGGCTAGATATGGATATGGTGCCGAGGGTATTATAGAGATGAAAGCAGTTCTATCAGATGGAAACCTTGTTACAGTAACTCCGGACAAAACTGTCTTTGCTGATGGAAGGTTTGTCATAAGCTTTAAGGGACTGGTATTTCAAGTGATCCTCTATATTCATATCCGATTCACAAGAATACATTTCACTTATACAATTCTATGTTAGAACACAATTGATGATAATCAATTGTTTTCTCAAAAATTAAGGATATCTCAAATCCTTGACCGGTCAAATGTTCAATTTTAGGGTATAATTTTAATTGTGTTTTTTTACAAAACTAATTTGTGTCTTCTCCTGCAAGAAAACACTTTGTAGTTTTCAGAATTTTAAATTTTAAATTCTAAAAACGTCAATATTCATGTTCCACATTATTGATCAAATACAGGTTTTGAGGGCATCGTCGTTAAACAGTCGTTGCGATCTGAGCATGGAGGGTCACATTTGACATTTTTAATACAATCCATCAGATCTGTTTAATGTCTATGCTTTTGTAGGAAATTTTGCAATTATGTTTTGTTCCTTGTTTTCTGTGCTGCTCTATATACACCTGCACCTCAGCACTAGATGCAGTTTGTGCATTTAGTATATAATGCAAATGCACTTTCCAAAATTGATGGGAAGTAGTTTTAAATAAATACTTCAGAATACTGACCATAATTATACTTAATTCAAAAATAGGAAAACTAGAAAATATAGTTTACTTTTGATGTTTCTGATGCATATATTGGTTTTCGTTTCATTTCATACTAAAAAGCTTTTTTTCTTCATACTCCATACTTATGACTTTTTTTCATTGTCAGTGTCATTTTAAATCTTTAATCTTTGTCCATAGCATTGTTGAAGTGTGCATTTCTGTTTTGAAGGAACTTGCTATCTTGTGATGCAAAAAATGTTTGGCGTTCAATTTGCGCAAAAACTTAGTTTGTGCGAAAATTTTCATATGCAAGAAAGCGCAAAACTCTTGAATTTAAAAGGTGCAAAGGAATTAAGTTTTTGCCACATACTCAAATTGCCTAATCCCTTTGTCTTTGCAATGTGATAGAGTAAACCTATGGTATTATTAACAGAATTCACAGTTTGACAAATCTAAGGTCTTCAACATCGGGTTGCAAAGATATAGAAATTATAAAATCAGAGTTTGTAGAAAGAATTCAGTTCCTTTCACTTCCTTTTCAGGGTTGTCCAGCATACAGCTGCAAACAACCTATTCTTTGGTCTACGAGGAGCTGGGAGTAGTTTAGCAATAGTTACGGAGTTCCTTTATACAATTCATAAAGAACCAGAAACAAGGTGATAAACACAATGTGAGACTCTTAACACTATGGAATAAGAAGGTGATGGTTAAAGTCAAGTTATGATCTTACATAATCCAATAAACTTTAACCAAAGGAGTTGTGCAGTGTACAGACCTATTTTACCCAAGAAGTCGATTTTCATTTCTGTGTTAAAGCAATTTGTATTGACACTATACAGGGTGTCCCACGAAACATGACAGTATGCAGGACGACTTGAATGTCGTCTTGATTTTTAATATAATTTGCTGCGTTTATTTGTCAATATAATTTTAGAAGTAAATTTCTAGAGATAATAATCACAAAATTTCCCTTGTCCTGCCATTTCCAAAATGTGGTCTGCCTTTTTTGTGCTTTCAATATTGCCCGAGATATGAAGAATTTCGTTCAGATTTCGACAATTTTGCTTTTATTTAACAAAATTGAAATCTGAACCAAACTCTTTATATCTCCGGTAATATTAAAAGCACAAAAAACGCAGACCACTTTTTGGAAATTCCAGGGCTAGGAGAATTATGTTATAGTTGTTTCAAGAATCATACATGTTTAAGTAGATAGAAGACTAAATGTCACAAATAAATTCAAATACCAAAGACGACTTTCAAGTCGTCTTGCTATTGTCATGTTTCGTGGGACACCCTGTAGCATAAACATAAGATTGTTCAAATATCGTCTTCCTTTTTCGTAGTTGTCTGAGTCCCCTGTAGTTATTTATTTATTGGTTAGGTCTTATTCTTCTTTGTATGATAATTTAGCTGGTGTTAACCGTCTTTGAAAGCGATCGTTAAACGATCGTTTTTTTCGTTTTTCAATCGTTTTTAAAACCGATCGTTTCGTTTTCAGAAAAAAACTATCGTTTTTAAAAACGACCCACTCGTTTTGAACTGCGGATCTTTTTTTTTGTAAAATTGTAACTGATGTTCTTCAAATGGGCGCACATAAAATAAGTAGGAAATTTAAAAAAAAAAGATGCAAAAACCTCTAAAGCGTAAAATACTTTGATAGATCACTAACAAAGAATGTGATTTTAATTTAAATCCTATGATGTAGTTCCTTGAATAAATGATTTTGAAAAGAAAGGAAGAAAGGAACCATGAAAATTCAATAAAGTCTTCTTTTTTATCTTTTTTTTTGTGGATAAATCTACTTTCTCGAATACCTTACAAAATTATTATTGTCGGACATTTTCTATTGTTTTTGTATCAAGTCAAGTTATAGAATTTATTTCCACATTTAAAATATTTATTATCCAGACCTGCTATTATACTTGCTTGGATGGAGACAGAGGATGAAGTAGAAAAGATGATGAAGGTGGATCAAGAAATTTTTTATTCAAATAACTTTTTAATTTTATGTTTGATACTCTTGCTAGTTTTTTTTAGCCTTATGCATTATTATTTGCATTAAAAAGGATTTATAAAATATTTCAAATCACAATTCCACGTAAACTACAAGCAAAGAAAATTTGTTTTTGCCACAAACTCAAATTTTCTAAAATTCATGTATCTTTGCATGCATCCTGATTGTGTAAACCTTTATTGTTTCAAACTAATTTTTTTTTGATCTAACAAGAATTCATAGCTTTAAAAAAGAATCTAAGTTAATTGACATTTGATTGCAAAGAGATACACATTAGAGTTTGTGACATACAGAGTGAATTTCTTTGAGCCACAATTGTACTACATTTTTAAACCTATTGCCATACACCTTTCATATTTTAAATTAAGAATTCTGTTAGATTGAAAAATTTAAATTTTAAAGGGTGCAAAGATATTGGAATTTTAGAATCAAAAAGTTTGAGTTTTTGTAAAAACAAAATCCTTTCTTCTTAAATATTTTTATTTTGAAGGCTATGTCTAGCACTAAAAAGTACAGTTTTATGGTGAACCATCAAATTTCAAAAATTGGATTCTGGTCCCGGCCTATCCTCTCACCCATCATGCTTGCATTCCCAGGAGCCATGCAAGCTCTAAAATTTAGCAATCGGAAATCGACCTTTCCAGTTCAGGTAAATAAATATCTCACTTTGTCTCCAGCAGAGGCATAGAAAAAATTGTCAGTTTTCATTACTTTTTTAAAAATTTTAAGAAAAACGACAATACTTTTAATGTTCTTTCTCGAAGATTTAAAAGTTCCCCTTTGAATCAGACCTGCAACTCTTTTATTAACAGTCACATGAAATCAAAATTACGTCGGCAGTTAAAGGGCGTGTTTGGGAAAACTGAAACGGGATACGACAAACCATAACTTAACTATAATAAATTAAATGATGCCATCTCTATGTATTTCATTTCTATTTTCATGAAGCGCGACGGCTGTTAGTGGAAGTGTTACTGCACTGAAAAGATAATTTAATGATAAACTTTTTGATTTAAGTAAAATATTTTGATTGGTTTCAAAAAGTATTAAAGTTTCTTAAAAACAATAATTTTGAAAATATTTTCATTCTTTCCTTTGCACATTGTTCAAACATTATCTTAAAAATTGTTCAAAGTCTGTTTTGTATTTCTAATGACAAACCACTATTCGTTTTTATTTAACAGAAATATTTCCTTTCAATAGTTTTCTGTAAATTATATATTTTGTAATTTTTTTCAAAGGAACATTTCTAATTTTTTATGTATAAAACAAAGCTTTATAACTCTATAAAAACTCCTGTGGTAGTTTAGAGAACATTTCTTGGGAATAAATTTAATCTTTGCCATTAAAATGTTGCCTGGGGATCTTAGCCTGAATAGTTCAATGCCCCCCAGAACAGTATTTACCCAGTTTGCACAATTTGATGGGTCTGGTCTCCCATCTCCCATGTTAGTCTCAGTTTTCTATAAATAGGTTTCAGTAAGCTCGGGTTTACACAGTTTCCATTCATCTCTTTCATGAAATTTTGATAAGCTATTCAAAAACAAAAACTTCTATTATGTTCTTCAAAAATTTCAAAATTTTAAAAGATTGGAATAATTTGACAAATGAAGAACTCTCGGCAATGATTCTAAAATCAGCATAATTCTGTTTATTCTTCTCTTCTTGTCTCTTCACGCGTGCAGTTTAGATATTGTTTGATAGAATAGGATTATTTTCTTGAATTATTCTTCTCTGGCCTTATATTCGACTTTCGGTTTTCTTTCTCTGACTTCCAGTATAGAACTCACGTCTTGTTTTAAGCAATACTCTTTCACTTCTTGTTGTATTACCAGTCCCGTGTTGAGATTTATTGCATGATTCCCCTTATTTCATCTTTTGAACGAAGCGTGTTTAACTTTCATAGATGTTAAAAACTCCTCATCACTCAGTAAGGGTATAATCTTGGCTTTGTCCTCACTAATCTATCTATGTAAATCAGATCTTCTTTACGATCCACCCACTCTTTCTCTCTTTTTCACTCATCGAGTTTTCCACTCTGTCCAGCCACCTCAGGTAGATGTCTTCCCTATGTGCCTGGACTTTGTCTTCATCGTTATTCCCAAATCTTATACATGTAGACTCAGGATTTTTTCCCAACCCATCACTATTCCTTGTATTTTTTCAGGATACTTCTAGTTTCCAGGGTATTCAAGATTTAAACTCTTGATTTTTAAACTATCAGAAATATCAGCATTCTTTCTTTCCGCATGGTTAACTTCATCCAACTCTATGACACTCTTGCTGCATCCTGTCTATCTATGTTGCTGTTACTTGTTTCCCACATTTTGTCTGCTCTCTTGCTGTTTTCTATCATCTCTAAACTATTGAAATATGTGGTTTTGAACTCAAGTCTATTAGGAGATAACTGTCTAGTACTGCCTTAATCTCTCCTGTCTGGTTTGGTTCCTTTTTTGAAATTAATTCTAAAATCTTATATTGTCTTTTCAATTTTAGATTATGGTCACTGACATAACCCTCGGGGCTGGAAGAACTACATCAGCTGCATCTGCCGCAAAATACTTAAAAGATCAGGGGGTGGATATTCTTGTAGATAATATTGTCAATGTTTTAGCAATAAATCAGGTATATAAGGGGGTGGATATTCTTGTAGATAATATTGTTAATGTTTTAGCAATAAATCAGGTTTATAAGAGGGGTGGATATTCTTGTAGATAATATTGTCAATGTTTTAGCAATAAATCAGGTATATAAGGGGGTGGATATTCTTGTAAATAATATTGTCAATGTTTTAGCAATAAATCAAGTATACAAGAGGGGTGGATATTCTGATAGATGATATTGTCAATGTTTTAGCAATAAATCAGGTTTATAAGGGGGGTGGATATTCTTGTAGATAATATTGTCAATGTTTTAGCAATAAATCAGGTATATAAGAGGGGTGGATATTCTTGTATATAATTTTGTCAATGTTTTAGCAATAAATCAGGTATATAAAGTGGTGGATGTTCTAGTAGATAATATTATTAATGTTTTAGCAATAAATAAGGTTTATGGGGGGGGGTGTTTTTGTAGATAATATTATCAAGATCAAGTAGGGCTGGGATCTTCTAGATATAATTCAGCAATCTTTTAAAATTTTTTATAAATAAGGTATGTAAGAGGCGGGGGCGGGGGGGATGGCGTTTTTGTAGATAATTTTATCAATTTGAAATAATGTATTATAAATACATAATGATCGTTTAGTTTAGTTTACAGTAATAACCAAAATAATAGCGATATTGATTTTGGTTTAGCTTTTTTATTCAATGAATAACTTAAAAATGGCAAAATCAAATTTTCAGAATAAGAATAATTACAAAGAACGAAATATTTACAAAAAGAATTATTTAAATTTCTACGATTTCTGTTTCTAGATACAACCCGGTTCTGTGACGGGTGGAGTCCATTTTGTATTTGATCGTATAGCAAATCTCTTGTATGAAGAAATAGAAAAGGAGCAAGAATGTAAGAATACCAAAGTGTTTACTTCGTCCCAAAGTATCATTGGATCCATGCATAGATCTATAAATTGGGATTTGGGGGAGCAAGTAAAAAATTTAGAAGATGTACAAAACAAAACTTTACATGAAATCGAAGATTAATGTGTAATTTTAATTTCATTTATCTTTACAATTAATATTATCAAAACATTAAAAAAAACCCTATGATAAGATATATTTTTTTTGAATTATTAGAATATAAAAGAAAATTTGTCCAAAATCACATTCACATGATTTTAGATTCTCTTTTTCTTGACGTCCTTATAGGAATTGTAGACGTTAACCTTCATTTCAAAGATTGGAATATCAACGGTGGCCTTAACACATCTATTTGAAAATTGAATCGAATTTCATTGTGTTTACTTCAGCTTTTTTAAAGCATAGATCAAAAAGTCACTTTTATAGAGAGCTCACAATTGAAAATAATAAATTTTCGGCTCTACAACTAAATTGGACACACCATTCACAAGGAGTGTTTGCGAAAAATGAAAGGGGGTACAGAGTCTAAAACTAAAGAACAAAAAGTTTTGACTTAAATTTTAAGTTCATGGTTAAATGCCACTTCTGACTTAATTTAAACCTGAACTTTAACCGTGAGGTTAAATATTTAACCCTGTAGTTAAATATTTAACTCGCCGAAATCGACGAGTTAAAATTTAAACACAGGGTTAAAATCTTGAAATCCTGTATTTTCCCTATTTGTCTATTATTCAATCATCATTCAGCTGAGAAAGTGGCATTCAACTTTACGATATATCTAAAAGTGAAAACCTTGTTAAAGAAATTTCACGTTTCAGATTAATTAATTTTTGCATGTAAACCCAAAATACGGTTGTAACTCGAAATATGTTTTGTTTTCGGTTACGTAATCAGCTGATTAGCGATGGTGATGTAATATTCTCCGTAAATCCTTTTCTCTGATTGGTTCAGATTTTCCCGGGAAATTCAAATTTGAAATTGAGAAAGTTTAATATTTAAGAAGCTATTCATTATTTTACAGAATTTTTAACCTCGAACTTAAAATTCGCGCATTCTTTAGTTTTAGACTCAGGTTGACTTTTTTACTATTATCTGAATTAAGCGTCTATAAGGAGAAAATGGTTAAGCATATCTTATACCTAAGAGCGCAGGACCCATACTAATTCACAAAGTTGCAATACTCCACTAAGTTCGTAAATAATTAAATTAAATTTGAAACGACTCATTCGTACATTACAACCTACAATTTTCGAATTCAAATCGATACATTCACATATAGCTGATAATGCATAATATTAATTAAATTCGAAATCAGTTATATATACCCCCTTTCATTTTTTGCGAACGCTCCCTTTGATATGTGGAAGGCTGGTGTCTGGTCCTCTATATCCTTGAACTTTATATATATATATATAGCATGGAAGGCTGGTGTCTGGTCCTCTATATCCTTGAACTATATATATATATATAGCATAAAAGGCTGGTGTCTGGTCCTCTGTATCATTGAACTATATAAATATATATAGCATGGAAGGCTGGTGCCTGGTTCTCTATATCCTTTAACTATATATATATATATATATATATAGCATGGAAGGCTGGTGTCTGGTCCTCTATATCATTGAACTATATATATAGCATGGAAGGCTGGTGTCTGGTCCTCTATATCATTGAACTTTATATATATATAGCATGGAAGGCTGGTGTCTGGTCCTACATATCGTTGAACTATATATATATAGCATGGAAGGCTTGTGTCTGGTCCTCTATATATTATTGAACTATATATATATAGCATGGAAGGCTGGTGTCTGGTCCTCTGTATCCTTGAACTATATATATATATAGCATGGAAGGCTGGTGTCTGGTCCTCTATATCCTTGAACTATATATATATATATAGCATGGAAGGCTGGTGTCTGGTCCTCTATATCCTTGAACTATGGATCCCTGGCATCAACTAGATCCTTCTCTCCAGACTTTATCAATGATGGATTTGTTGGACTCAGGTTTACGCAATTTTAAAATATCTAGTTTAATTTACAAAAAATATGAATCAAGAAAAAAACAGAAGTACATATTTACAGGAATTATCCCTTTCCGGAGGGATTTTTGAAGATTTGGGGGAATGAATGAAATACAAAAAATTCCCTAAACCCTGGAGATGGTATGGGGGGGGGTGTTTTCAAGAACATATACACATACCTTAGGATTAAACTAAAGATATTTTTTTCTTTAACTTTACAGACGAGGTCTTTTTCTTGAATTTCTGAGGAAAGACTGCAGTTTCTGCTTCTGGATGCTTCATTTCAGGTATGTGGAATATTCTTTTACTTTTTCAAAAACTAATTTTCTAATCCCTATATCTTTGAGACCTAATGTCTTTGAAACCTAATGGTGTAAACCTATGGAATTTAAACATTTGACAATAATAATATACTGTTCAAGCTTATTATGGATCATTTGAAACATTATAGGTGGTCTACGACATAAGGTTACAAAGATGTAAGGATTAGAGTCTTTGGCGAGTATGATAAATTTCTTTAGTGATTTAAAACTACAAAGAAAACAATGTAACTGCACTCCAGTTGTATACCAATTTCAATTCCTCGTGCACGTAAAACTTGAGTTGAGGTTTTATATTGGAAAATTCTGGAAATCAAGATTTTTGAGAAATATTTTCCTATTTTTAACCATCTTCGTTTGAAACTGCAATTCATTTAACCCACCCTGTAATATAATTATACAGTTGAGCCCCTCCAACTATATAATCATTAAGCAATAATGAACCGGAACTAGAAGCCAAACTAAGTAACATCCAACTTCCGAGTTATCGTTAGTATTGGGAATATAAAGATCATTGCGGGGGNAAATATGATGATAGCAAAAGACAGGAATCCTTAGACAAGAAACAGGGAGAAGAGAAGGAGAGCAGAAGAGCTCAGGCAGACAAGATTATTATTATTAAAATTATTATTATTATTATTATTATTATTGTTACTGTAATTATCATTATTGTTATTTTTATTATTATTTGTCAATTGGCCCTCATGATATTTTCGAGTGGTTAGACGTTGGATTTTCTAATTCCAAAATACTTCAAATACTGTTAGGTCGCAATTGTACATAATTTTGTCCAAGCACAAGTTAGATTGATAAACTGAAAATATCAAAATATTTATTAGCATTTTCCTGGAAAAGATGTCAGGGATTACAGCAAGATATTACAGACAAATTTTAAAGAGAGGACTAAATAAAGATATTAAAGATCGGAATAGGACCCGGAGCTAAGCTTGGATTGCAAGTAGTCCGGCCTGTAAACAGGACAACGTATTAGCTCTTTTGTATATAGCTGTAGGTCGGACAGAAAGTGGGGCGGATGATAAGTCGCCAACGTGGACAAATATTTATCGTTAGAAGGAGAAAATGGGATCAATTTGTTCATTTTTAGTTTTAAATACGTTTTTTCAAATACTCAGTAGATTTACTCATATCAGTTTCAGGCTTTAGATTTCCTTTATTTCATACCACTTTTAAATGGTAACATAACATCCCCTTAGGTTGAGAGCGTTTATGAGATTTATTTTTTAATTAAGAAATTGAGAAGGGAATAATCCCTTTAAATATTAGCCACTGGGCAGAGAGCTCTTAATGGAATCATGTAGCATGGTGATCTGTATCTGTATTGTTGTCTATGTTCAAACATTGAAAATTATTAATTTTTAAAAGTAAATGCGCAATTTATTTCGGGGGTAAAACGCAAATTATCAAGCAAAGAATTGTGTTAATGCTTTAAATCCCATGGATATGTTGGAGTTCAGTGGAGTGGGCTCTCCAAGACGGGGGTTTTCAGATCCTTCCCTTACCTTACCTAACATTGCTTTTTTTACTGAATACAGTGTTCCATTTACATATTAAGCATTATTTTTTGACACCCTGTCAGTTACATTTCCTCTTCTCTATAATTTCAATCTCGGCGCCTTTGATGTTTAAATTAAGAATTATTGTGTTCAGGAATAGACTAGGAAAACCAAGGATATCTGTTAACAATCCCATATCTATCAGGACGGATGAAAATCAGGGAATCATGGATTAAAGACAAATCTAATCCTTCCCTGATGCTAATCTTAAGAACTCAATAAAAGAAAATGGATATTTTTATATCTCAATGGCCATTGTAGAGATGTAATATCTAATTAAACTTTATAGTTAATCACGGTTTTTTTATATTGAAACTTATCTAAATATGATTAATTGATGGCGAAAGGAATATACAGGGTACCCCGGTAGACATAGTTCAGTTGTAGAAATGCCTTACTCCAACAATTGTCTAAATATGTATCAAACAGATACAACACAGGTGCTGACTCTCAGCTATAATATTAAGTCTGTATCAATCTCGATATGACGCTCTTGTTTGTATCCCTCAATATGTACTGTACAGATACAACTCAATAGTTACTGTACAGATACAACTCAATCTCGAACTCAAGGTTTTATCTTACAAGGTACAATTCGAGATGACACTCTGTTCTATTACATGAGACAAAGGATCTCGTTCAACTAAGGAGTTGAGTCCTTGCCACAAATTCTGTTTTGCTAATCCCTATATCCTTTGAACCCAATGTCAAATTTCAAGCTTATATTATTAGATCTAACAGAGGTCAAATGTCAAATGTCTACAACATTGGACTGCAAAGATATAGGAATTAGAAAATCAGAGTTTGTGACAAAGACTCAATTCCTTCAAAAAGTAATGGTGGGTTTTATAGCACATGGACCGATAGGTTTTCTTAGAATAAACAAGCGTAGTTAGGATGCGGATAACGAATTACGAGTATAGATTTATTTACAAAATAAACAATTTATGGACATTTACGAGTTTTTATTAAACACGGTAATGATAATATATCACTTAAAGGGAGAGCTGAAAATACACATTTTACTCAAACAAATTTAACTAAGCTTTAATCTAACTTCAAGAAAAAAAGTTCTGAAACTTGTGTATTTAGTACTGATTATTCGTAAGAATCTTGAATTTTCTAATTTCTATTCCCTACCCGAATAGTTACCTTGGATATTTCAAACTTTGTCTTCTTGACCATCTAGTGCAGCTGAACATCTAGAATTGAAAAATTTAGTTTGATGCTAGTAATCTGTTACTTTTTAAGATTTATTTTACTTTCACATGTAAACTTGAAGTTTAATTATGAAAATATTTAATTCTATAAATCACAAATCTTTGATTCTATGCAAAGGGTAATACTGTTGAGATAAACCTAACCTGTATGTTCCCCCCCTCCTCCACCTCATGTACTGATGTTGTAAATGGAATAAGGGTAATTACTAAAAACTAACTATAAAGGATTATATCGTTTTCTTAAATGTATTATACTGCCTAACTTTGCTTAAAGTAATTCCATTTTGATTGCATGGGTTATTAAATGATGAAGCAGCTCTGGCTCTAATTTTCTAATCTTTAAAGGAACTTTTAATGTAATATTAAGTGTCTTGGAAAAAATTGACACCATATCTTTCTAGATTTACTTTATGTCATTTAATTCCAAATGAATTGAGTTTTTTCCACAAACGCCTATTTTGCAACCTCGCATGGTGTAATCCTTTTGATATTTCAAAGTTAACTATTTGAATTTAGTCGGAAATATCTAAGTGATAAGGATTAGAAAATTAGAGTTTGTGCCAAAAACTCAATGCCTTATGATTGAAGAGCTTTCTATTATTAAAATTGTATTTATTTTTTATTTAAGCTAGAATGTAAAGTATGGAATAATTGACCTTTTTTGTAACAAATTGGAAATTTTTTTTGTATTTTAAAAATCACAATATTTAAAGTTTAATTTTGGAGTCCACAAAACATTACTGTGCAAATATTGGATTTATCCCCAAATGAATGATAAATGCAAATATTTCAGAGTAAAATAGAATCCCGGCTGCAAGGACAAACTTACAGTAAATACTACAATTTCCCTAGCTGCTCGAAGTCAGGTAAACCTGGGACCAAATTTTATTAATAGCGAGAAGTAGTTGAACCATATAGACTAGGTTAAACGACTAAAGTGGTTCAACTACGTATTGATTTGAGTATTAACCCTATAAAGGCTAGGGGTCTGACACTATGTATAGCCGGAGAAAAAGGCCGTAGAGTAAAGGCATAGAATTGCAATTTAAGTTCATTGCTTAATTTTTCTAGACCAACTCATTGAAATAAAATTAGACCGCTAACTTTTATAGTTTTGGAGCTAGAAAGGCTTTAAAAAATCCCAGTAAAAAGCTCGAAAAAGTGTAAAAAATAATTTTTGTTTTTGTCAAATATTAAGATTAAGACACATTTAACTTTTACCCTAACCATCAAACAAGCTAGGGGAGGAGGGTGTCAAACCCCCCCTCCCCCTAGCCTTTGGTTTATCTTTTTGAAAATATACAACCCAATTCAAAATACATCTGTACCCCAATCTTGTTGTCTAAAGATGTCCATGTTGGGCTAGAATAATAAAATACTTTTTGTGAAAATATTAGTTTATTTTGTGTATTGATAAAATATGATCATTATCAATTTTTTAAAAAAAATCCCATCAAATGAACTGTAAAAACAACCTATAAGAATTATCAGTATTGAACCTTTTTAACGCTAGAAAAAAACGACAATATCTTACACATTAATGATAAGATTAAGGTTTCAAAGGTACAGTTGAAGGTTGGCCATTGCCACCCTTTCATGGACATTCAGCTTACTTTTTCCTGTAACCATATGGTTTGTAGTAGTTTACTGTTTAATTATTAATTATAGAAGAGGTCTAGTCTACTGTACACACTGTGTAGCCTAGACCCACCGGTACGAGTTGACAACTACATTAAATTTTATAGTCTACTGCACACACTGTGTAGCCTAGACCCACCGGTACGAGTTGTCATCTACACGAAATTCTATGTACTGGCTCGGATCATGCAACGATTGGACCGATGTGACTGCATCTATGTACTGGCTCGGATCATACAATTATTGGACCGATGTGACTGCATCTATGTACTGGCTCGGATCATACAACGATTGGACCGATGTGACTGCATCTATGTACTGGCTCGGATCATACAATTATTGGACCGATGTGACTGCATCTATGTACTGGCTCGGATCATACAACGATTGGACCGATGTGACTGCATCTATGTACTGGTTCGGATCATACAACGATTGGACCGATGTGACTGCATCTATGTACTGGCTCGGGATTGGACCGATGTGACTGCATCTATGTACTGGCTCGGATCATACAACGATTGGACCGATGTGACTGCATCTATGTACTGGCTCGGATCATGCAACGATTGGACCGATGTGACTGCATCTATGTACTGGCTCGGATCATGCAACGATTGGACCGATTTGACTGCAGGGAAGTTTTCTGTTAGAAACGTGTATTGTAAACTCTAATGTCTTAAAACTATTTGGAACTTTAAAAGTTTAGGATAGACAACCAACCTTCAAACAATGGTATTTAGAGAGATTACAAAGTTCCATGAGGTCAAAACTTTTAAATGTGATGCGCATTTCAGGTTGCCAGAGATCTGAGATATTCTGAATGTAAAAACTTAATCCCCATGACCTAGATATAGACCACAAAATATACAGTTTTGTTCTTTCTGGACGGATTAACGATACAAAAGTTCAGTCTTCTGAGCTAGTACTAAACCAAATAAACATTTTCAATTCTGAGCAAAAAAGAATCTTCAAATGTTTTAATTAAATTATTCTGATCAATAATGTGGAAGATATTGTTATATATTATATGGTTATAATCGACCTGTGCCATCTTTGAATGAAGGGCCACGTGAAATATCGCTTACAGTCCCTTTAACGACTCAAAATGTTAAGGAAGTGATTGGAGACGTCTGTACTGGGGGCAGAACCTGGACCAACTGATGAGCATTAAGAGGTTTTGGGACAGCGGGGACACATTCAATCATTGTCAGAGTCTTACTAACAACGATGCTGCTTGCTGTCCCTTTCCATCTTAGTGGGACAAACAAAACTTGTGGGAAATGCATTGTATTGGATTATATCAATAAATATGAAAATTCAATATCTTTAAAACATATAGGATAAACAGGGAATGCAGGTAACCATGTCAACTAGACAGAAGAAGGTGAAATCTGCTACTACTTTGTGACCTCGTACCTCTTTTTTATGCACAAGCATGAGAATAGCAAATGTATCCGGTTATATTTTAAAAATTCAAAACATGTTTGTTCTTCTCAATATATTAACAATACGAGAAGTTCTGATTGAGAACATATAAGATTTTAATTTTACGTGGAATTTACTTTATTTTAATAAAGGCGGGAGGTGTTGTTGCTAAGTTAGTCAAAAGTATCTTCTGTCAAAACTCTTTAGTCCGGTTTAAAATATACTCTTTCACACAAATGACATTTCAAGTTTGAACAGAGAAAATAAAGTATTTCAATATCAAAATATCAAAATAGGAAAACATATATTTAAAGAAAAATTGTGCAAACCCTTCATCATGTAAAGGAATTGAGTTTTTGCGACAAACTCAAATTTTCTTATCCCTTTATTTTGGCAAACAGAAAGTGTAAAGCTTTGATGTTTCAAGTTTAGACCAATATTTGATCCAACAAAATTTATATTTTGGAATATTATATTGGTCTCTGATTTCGGGTTGCAAAGATGTAGGGATTAGAAAAGCAGAGTTAGGTGGCAAAAACTCAATTCCTTTTCAAAAACCAGCTTTGTAATCACAAAAAAATAATTTTTGCCGAGAATGTTTTCATGCAGTAGTTCCTATTTTTAAAGGGGTTCTGAAAGTGAAACAAGTAAAGCCTAAACGAGAAAAATGGTTTGAACAGTGATTTAGATTTATTTAGAAAATTAGTCGCTTTGGTATTATCAATTGGGACCTAGACATGAGACTGCCACAAAACAATACTTACCAGTGACCCTAGAACTGCCATGTAAAAACTGTCCCATAGTTCCTCTTTTTCTATTAAATAAACCTGTACAATATTATTTTAATAGTATTACAGTATTCCAATTTTTCCCACTTTGGGTTTCTTTGGTCCCTGGGACCCTCCCCTTTGGGGTGGGGGGGAGGAGGGGAATCCCAGGACCCCGAAAATCCCAAGTGGGAAAGAATACCCCAACATTTATTTTCGATATTTTCAAAATAATTGGTATTAGAAATTGTTTTATTATTGCAATCTTTGCATACAGATTGCAGGGGGTCACTTGAAATTACGCTTTCAGTCCCTTTAGTTTTGTTTTTCTAAGCAAAAGTTTGTTTTTGTCCAATCTTTGGTTGCTCAGGTCGAACCATTGATATTCCCCCCTTTATCCACTGAGTTTGACAGAGAGGAAATTAAAAATGTCAAAAATTAATTTAGTTTGATTTATCTATATTTGTATTAACTGCGTGTTTTTGATCAGATTGTTTGTCACTAGTCAAATGTAGGTTTTTAAGTTAAATTAAATTGAACAAAAAATCTAACCTTTCACGGTTCTCTCAGGCACCTTATGTAACAGATTAATAAAGAGAACGAATTATTTGGTTTAAAGCCTTAAAAGATTATTGATTATCATGGTTTTGCCCCTCTCTTCTTATAAAAATACTCATATAATAATTCTGCAATCCTGTTTTTTTTGTCAATTACCATTTAAAGGTCTAAACTGATTCAAATAAAATAAATCCTAAGGTTGGATTCTGCAGTAAGGCTGTATGTTTTGCACTCTTGCAGGATTGTCTAGCTTGTATGTTTCACTCAATAATTGGCAACGTACCAGAAATTAAGCACGATTTTTGATCATTTTTCATCGTTTTTCATCGTTTTATGCTCAAGATAATATTTTCAATGCTTCCCATGATATCCTACCATTTTTGGAGCTTTGAAGAAAAACACTTTATGTCTTATAGTTTATTTGTTCAGTTTAGACCATTATATGGTGTTTTAAGAGCAATTGTTAGACAGATGGGAATACGGAATTATTAGATGAGAATTTATATAGTAATACAGGGGCAAAACTAAAATACTCAGCTTTTTAGGATGTACACCACAAAATATGTCATTCTCTTTGTAAATATTTTACCTTAGACCCGGAAAGGTTAGATTTTTTGTACCATTAAATTTATCTTAAAACCCTACAATTAACTAGTTGTCAGAGGACTTCATTTTAAGTATTCTTCTGAATACTGAACATTTATAAGTTAGGTATAGTGTAGTATTAATGTATAAATGTGTAAAAAAAAAAAATTAAAATAGAATAGAACAGAAGGCTCCTTATAAAGGCAAATACATACATAATACATAAACCCAACCAGACAAGCAATGTATATTGTAATATTCTAGTTGTATCTGGTTCAACTCCGTATTTAATATAGTTTGATGCCTCCTAGGGGTTTATTGTGCTGTGTTCTCATAATCATGTTTCCCATGGGGTAGTAATCATCCACAATTATATTATCTAATGGTTTAGATGAAAACAAATAATAACTGCTATATGCACTGTTCTCTTCAAGAGAAGGGGGGGGGGAAGGTAATGGGATACAATCGTTATACTATGATCAAATTTGCTTGGGAACACAGCTTTGCCTGGAAGTACACACTTTCCCTATACAACTTGACCATCTCAAGTTAGAATTGATAAACCAAGCAAAGAACACCCCCAACAAGTTCCCAAATCAAAATTTGAAACAAATCGATTTTGAGTTTTGATCGAACTTACAAACAGAAATTTATATTTTATACAGATAAATATGAAAATTGTCCGTAGGCGCTAATTTACCACGCTTGATCTTCATATTAACTGTAACAACTTTTAAAAGAATTGAGTCTTTGCCACAAACTCAAATTCTCTTTTCAACCTTTGATATGTCAATCACTCAATCATAGATTATTCGATCTAGCAGAATTCATGTTAAACTAATGAGCCTATCAGCTATTCATCAGTATTAGTCTTACTTTTCAAAGATATCTATGAATTCCAGCGCCAAGGTATGATACCTTTGCATAGACACTATTTAAACGTTTTTTTTAGGCCAATAAAATCTAAAATTATCATATTCTCTTTAAACAAATAAGATTAAATTATAATAAATGCTAGTTTTTAATACTTTAAAGATAAATGTAAGAATGTCTTTTCCGATATCAAATTACATTTTCAAAAACAAAACAAAAAAATGTCCTTTACAAATTTCAATTATTTAAAAGATGATATCTTAATGTGCGAGAAAATCCTTCTTTGAGCCTTGATTCAATCAATGATATGGTGGGGAGGGGGGGGGGGGGGAGGAGGTGGAAAAGGGTAGAATTTTATAAATATATTCTAAAACAAGAATTTTCTTTTGTTAAATACACTCAACTTTTTAAAGTTTACAAAAAGAAAGTTTTGTTAGATTTATCTTTGTTCAGAGGGAATTAACAGAGATATAAAGAATGAATCTAGGGGTTTAAGAAAACAATGTAAATATTTTTTTCGATGAGGTTTAGAAAACAAATGAAGAGAATCCTTAACCCTATATAGTCTGGAGGGTCTGAATCTATGTATAGCCCTTGGGGGGGCGTTTGGTGCCCCCCCCCCCTGTAGAAAAAGAGAATAGGTTGAAATGCATGTTCATAGCCCATTTTTTCAAGGCCAGCTCATAGAAAAAAAATTAGACTGATAACTTAAATAGTTTGGGTGCTTGGGAGGGTTAAAAAAATGTCTAAAAAGGGTAAAAAAATGAACAAAATATTTTTTTGTTTTAAACAAATATCAAAGTGTGCTACTTTTCTACATTTTTCAAGGGCTTTTTAAAAATATAGTTTTTAAATCTGTACGTAGCTTTAGACACAAAAAAAGTTATGGGCTCTTTTAGACTTTTTTCATGCAGACCAGACTTTTTTCCGCCCTGTACCCTAACCTATGTATAAAAAAAAATATTTAACAAAAAATCCTTTCAATTACTATTCATTAAAAGTCAAAGCATTCCACTGTGTCAAAAATGAGAGTACTAGGACAGAAAAGCTACAGCCTGTTTAGGGCTAACCCCCCCAACCCATCCTTAGAATGACAAAAGTTTCACTTCAAACTATAAAGTAAATTGCATGCTAGATTGATATATAATTTGTTTTCAAGCTGAACTCCGCTTTTTCATGAAGTATTGAAAAGACCAATATGTTTTGAATTTCTAAAATGTGACCGGATAAACTTTTTTATAAGTGTGCTTAGAATGAAAACCAGCAACAAGGTCTAAACGTTGTACCAGTAATATCACATAAATTTCACCGTGTCCTTCTATCTAGTTTGAAGTGATTATGCAGTAACAAATATTTTCACAAAAAATGAAAGCAGAAAAGAAAATAATATATTTATATAAAGAACTTTTTAATTCATATTGAAAATGTGAAAAATTTCATTTTTTAAATCAAGAAAAATTGTTTCCCTAGGTGTATGCAACGCATCCGAATCCTTTGTCCAGACTTTCATGAAACTCTTTAAAAAATGGTAACATTCCATATCCAACATGGTAACATTCCAATAGAAAAAAATAGATTAAATTCAATTTTATTTTATCCGACACGGCTGCAACAACGGTTGCTTTTTCTTTTTTATATTTCATGACATTGAATAATTGTGGCTAATTCCTGAGAATGAATCATAGGCTCTAAGATGGATAAGAGCATTTCCGCTTCATTTTTCTGTTATCTACGTAGTACGTAAGGATTAATCTACTTTTAAGAATAAACCTCTTGTTTGATAATTGATGAGAAGGTTAAAAATCTATTCACGGTTCAGACGTTGCATATGAATGCAGAAAAGTTTGATGGAGTTTGAAGAAGGAAAGGAGAAGGCGGGGGGTGTTTCTATATTTGAGAATTGAAAAAGAAAGACAAACTGCCAAGTTTTAATTAGGTTTCTCTGAGAAAGAAAAATAAGAGTTGGAAGAGAATTGAACACTCACAAGAAACCTCCAGACAGAGCTGAGAAAGGTTTACAGATCTGTCACTATAATACCAAGTTATAATTAACTATTTTTCTTATCCCATGGTCAAGAATTGGAATATTTTGAGATTGAGACCAGATTTTAATTTATTAACTGAAGTAGAGTTTTGAGACATTATATAAGAATTGTTTACTTAATCTAAAAATGTCTTTCTGTAAAATCTAATACTCTCTGTACTTCTTTATTAACTCAATGTTCGCGCCAGTTTTTCTCGTGATTGTACGGTTTTTTATTTTTTATACGCAGATCCATGACTGCTATGAAAATTTGCATCAGTTTTAAGACTGGGCTGACTTTGAAGTGTCTCCTTGACCTTTGAATTTACATCAATAACTTAGTTTTTTACAGTAATAACCAGAAAACTCTTGAATAGGAAGACGACTTTTAAACTTAAATTATATCTTTAGATAGTCCAATGAGCACGGGAAACAAAAATTATTCAGTGTAAACAGACCAATTTCACTTGATTTGTGATTTAATAAGTGTTTAGTAAAACTATATTTGCTTTATAAAAACATCAAATACACTCTAGTATTGTTATTAAGTCATCTTTCTCATTTTAGAGTTTTCTGGTTATGACTGTAGTAGTATACATGTACATTATAGAACTTACAATTTAGTTTAGATAATTCTCATCCATTTTGCGTGAAAGCAATTGCAGCCTTTGTATTACTGTGACTTTTCTTGTGCGTGCAAAATTATCGAAACATTATAAGAAATATGTTCAAATTACATTCAGAAAATAGTTTTAAAATTTGTATAAACATCGATTAATATCTTAATATTTTGCTAAAAACTACTATACGATTATAATACTTACTTATAATATACTTATAATTATTAGGTCAGAATATCTTTGTCTTGTGAAACATACATGTCTATATATATATCTATACTTATCTATACATCAGAGGCGACTGTGCAGAATTTATTCAGTTTTTGTTCTTACTTTTAGAATCCGGCCCGGCTATATTAATCTCTCCAGAAGGGGATGATTCATTTAATGTACAGTCCCGTTTTACCCTAAATAGTCCGGCTGTATACTGTACAACTTGCTCTAATAACCTGAAACTCAGCCCCTTACTGAACCGGAGTTTTCAGTGCTGCAACAGTAATTAGAGATGGGCACGTAAGACTTTTTATCATTTTGTTTGTTTATCGTTCATAAACGACCCATTTCGTTCCTTTTTTCAATCGTTCTAAAAAAGTTAGTTAGTTCGTTCTCAAGATTATTGTTCATTTTTCATCTACATTGTTCGTTTTCTCAGTGAACGATCGTTCAGTAAAATCGTTCATTTAGTAGAATAGTTTGCTTAACAAAATCGTTCGTTCAGTAAAAAAACTATCGTTTTTCCAAAAATATGTTCCAAAAAAATCGTTTGTTCAGTTAAAAACTATTATTTAAAAAAAACTTTGTTCCAAAAGTTCGTTCGGACGATTTTAAATCGTTCGTTTAAAAAAACGATCATTTTTTCATTTCTCTGGACGATCAATTTTGCTGAACGAAATCTTTTTTCACGAAAAACGTAGTTTGTTCTCAAAAATTTGGTTCTTCAAAAAACGATCCCCATCTATAATAGTAACCTTGTTGTTTGTTGAGAAATGTAAAGCCGTCACTAAAGTCTCATCCCATGTGGATACTGGGTAACCCTGGGAACCTAGTAGAGACCAGGGAGTAAGGAATAGAAGGGAGATATAACTGACGCGGTTCGCCCTACCATATGATTATGCATGCTTTGCAGACGAGTACTCCATTTGTATAAAAAATATTCAGAATAGGTTATTGTATACGCGGTATTTTGTACATCAGACAAATACTTCTTATTCAAATGGAGTACCGTCTACAAAGCATGTATAATCATATGGTAGGGCGAACCGCGTCAGTTATATCTCCCTTCTATCCCTTACTCCCTGGTATAGACAAATCCAAACCAATCCCACCAATTGAAGATTGGTGGAGGGAGAAGTGGAGTAAATGAATAATTGAGTTTAATCCATGGATTGTGTGGAGTAGGGAGGGAGGAAGCGGGACTACTGGAGAAGGAAGGGAGAAGGGAGGACAAATGGAGGACAAAGGGATGAAGTAGGGAGGGAGAATAAAGGAAGAAAGAGGAATTCCGGTAGGAAGAAGGGAGGAAAAAACGGGGGTTTGGGAGGAATAAGGGAGGGAACAAGCGGGAGGGAGCATTGGAGGGTGTAGGGAAGGAGTAGGGAGGGAGAAAACTGGAGTACGAGAAATCTAATTTTGAAGAAATTTGCAAATAAACTTGCCTAATTCTCTACTGCTGTGTTCGCACATGTGTAAAAACAAACAGAAAGCTAACAAAATAATTATAAACATTTATTACATTTTTTGTATTTTTTATGAGATTTGAAAAGTCAATTTGTATAACCATCATATAATTTTATATATTTATCAATGTACCTTTAATTGCACCTTTGCAAACGCCATAATTCAAGGTTTAGCGAGGTAGGGGTGTATGAGCTGTATATAATATTGAGTTGAAGTAGTTTAGATTTTAGAATAAAGTTCATTAATTAGATAATACATCTAGAACATTCAGATAATGGATAAAGTTAGATTAGTCTCTTCTTCTGCCAAATATAGTTAGAGGTAGAATTCACTCCCCCCTCCCAATTCCCCCCCCCCACCCCCTCTATTGGAGAAAATGTGCATTTTTCATTTTGCTCTATTTTTCTTTTATAACATTTTTCATCTATATAATATTTATTCGATAAAATAATGATCATTTTTGCAAAACTGGCTGTAACATTATAGAAATTACATAGATTTTATAATAATATTTTCTTGGCTTACAATTCATAGTGATCCACAGGTTGCAAATCGCAACTAAACTCTAAAAGTTGAAATTTAAATTTAAATTGAAAAAATCCACATAAAACAATATTTATATAATTTTTTTACCCATATATATAGTATCATATTATCCCCAGGGCACCATGGGTTTCCTAAAAAAATGTCAATCAATTGGGTCCAGCAGTTTGGTTAGCTATAGCCGACATATTTATAAGAGCGAAGACATTTTTTAGAAATAGATTCAAAATTAATAAAAATTAATAAAAAAGTAATCTCTGTATTTATGTGTGTATTTCCAATAAAAACTCAAACACCCCTTGACCAATTTGCCTCCAATTTTGATAAATGAACATTTTATAAATATTTATCGGTTTCTTTCAAAGCAAGACAAGCACAACAATTTTTTTTTCTAACAGTGCGTAACACTCCGAATGCTCCTGAAGTCTGGAGAAGTTCAGAGATTTTGATCCAACCCTCAAACTACATATTGTTGTTATTCTATTTATATCTACTAGGCATCTTCTATTTAAATTGTGAACATGTTATCTTTGTATACATATTAAAACAAAGAAGAAAAAAATTTTGCGGATTTTTAAAAAAAAAATTCGCGGAATTTCAAGAATAAAATTTTTTTTACAAAATTAAATACCTTTAAAACACATTTTTTATTTTTATCATTCATAAACCTTCCCTGTGGTCACGTGATGTCTCACAAAAAATTTGGGCCCGATCGGTTCAGTCGTTTTGACGTTTATTGGATACAAACAAACAAACAGACAGACAAACACCAAGACAAGCCAAATTTATAAATAGATTTATTACTTTTAGATAATGTAAACATATGTGGAAACATCTAGATTGCGAGAAAATCGATAATTATCAATACAGGTGCGGGTTCAGGCTAACAGTAGTCAAGTGTTCCTTATGAAACATGTTGTATTATTCATTTTGTGTATTACAGTTTACTTTTGTATGAAGTTGTTGGCACATTGTATGCACATTGTACATTGTATACATTGACATCGTAAATTTTTCATAGATTGTAGACTGTAAGGAGTAAAAGAATGTCTTGCAATCTTTTTTCTCATTTAAACCTCTTGTTATTTATTACATTGATCTGTTCAATCAGTCGTTTAAAGTAGTATTTATTTTTGAGAGTCCAATTTTAATTAAATTCTATAGTATCTATGTAATGATTTTGATTAGTTGTATAATTAATTACATAATCATTCACATTGTTGATCAGATTATGAGTCCTTTAGTTGCTACAATTACAAATATTGTTATACATTATACATACATACATAATAGATTTGTACGAACAGGGTACCCCTATCTAAATACAGTCTAGTAATCATATGTGTTTAGTCTAAAATAATTATCATCTTGTACAATGTATAATTTTTGGTATTGTCAATTACAGCTACATGATTGGTACATTCAGATTTGTACTTAATCTAAAAATATATTTTTACGATCCAAAGTTTAAACAGATGATTCACCTCTTGCTTTCAGTTTTGAATATATAACTTTATTTTATTTTATTTTATTTATCATGAATATTTTATTAAATATAATTCAAGGACTCGGAAAAGAATTAAAAAAATACTAGAAAAATCCATAGTTCAAAATATACTGTATTAAACAGTATTAAAGGGACTGTAAAGGAAAAATGAAAGGGGGTATAGTATGAAACCTGATAATCTCAGGCGTTGAACGATACATGTAAGACATCTATCTGATATTCCTGTCTCGAGAAATTGATATAAAACTGTGTCAAATTTATATTTAATCCGTATAGTCTGTATTACGTCACCAGAACTGGTCACGTGATTTCTGTCTGTATCACGTGACAGCAATACTGCACTGTCAATGGCTGAAGTTCTGATGACGTAATACGCATATGTAAAAATATTATCAATTATATTTATTCAAAATGCAAAATCTAAAATAAAAAATTATGATAGGAGAAAACCTGAGATTCTCAGGCTCCTGTTGGATGTAATCGTTTTCAGATTGGTTTTGTATTTGTTGAATATGATCTGCTTAATACTACAACTTTTATACAAAATTGCATATATGTGAATTTTCGTATAAATTTGACACAATTTTATATCAATTTCTCGAGACAGGAACATCAGATAGATGTCTAATATGTATCATTCAACGCCTGAGATTCTCAGGTTTCATCCTATACCCCTTTAATTTTTCCTTTACAGCCCCTTTAAACACTACGAAAAATTGATGAAGTTTTGCTTCTATGTTGAATCATTTTTGTTACATATGAATTTATCGTTAAATATAATTCAAGATCTAAGAGTTACTAAAGTTTACCAAGCGTGATTATACCCTGAAATAAGCCAAAACATGAAATGCAATATATTGTTTTTGTACTATTTAATCATAGAGAATAGAATATATAGAGAGGAATTTAATGGAAAAAAGTGTAAAACGGCCATTTTGTTGTACTGTTTCCATACTGCAGGTGTACTTCACATATTTATGCTTTATAACCTGTTGGGCCCTGGAATATCATTTTATAGAAAATCTAAAATTATTAAAAGAAAACCAAATTATGAAATAGGCTGGCTTCATAATTGACCAATGATCATTTCACTTAGACTCTATGCCTTCCATTTTACAAACGATGATTTTCCGTTATAACTATAAATCAAATGATGTTTTTATTCACCTAATTCATTATAAAGTTTATTTAACAGTTTAAAAAATTCGAAATTGAAATGGATAGTATAGGCAACATACTGTATTAATGTACTCTACTGCATATAATTTGTGAACATTTACATGATTTGTACACTTTGATGTCCCTTTCAGGCTGAAAGGGACTGAAAAAATTCATACCGAGAGATTCTTTTAATTCCTCTCTAATTCTATTCTCTATGCTTCAACCTCAACAGAGTTGATTTTAGACAACCTAAAGAACTTTGCACTTTCGTAACTGCTCCCTTTTAAAAAAAATTTTAAAATTTCTTATTTTTTAAAAAAATATACATTTTTAAAACTTGTTTATACATTTATAAATGCATTATTCAGGGATCCTTTGGCAGATAAGTGTTGTTTTAAATTATATACCCAACACAAAAATTTACAAAAAAATTAAATTATAAAACATTTTTTATCCAAGAGTGGCAAAAACAAACATGTTCGGTCGCAAAAAAAAAATTAAATCTTTTCTTTTCATAAGTAACTCTTCACATATATCTAGACTACAATGAAAAATTCCAACTATTAGACTAGGCCGCCTTTGAAGTGTCACAACTCACCTATACTTTCTAATTGTAGTCCCAGACATGAAAATTTAAGAACAAAGCAGTTTTTTGTCAGCTTTAGTTTTAAAGAAGTAATTGAAAAAAATCATCAACTTTTGCGCAAGTGTTTATAGCCCTTGAATCACCGTGTCTTTTTTTATAGAATACGTTAAAAACATAAAGATTTCCAACAAAAATTTAGTTAACCATAGTTTAACGTGAACTAAAACAAAACTAGCTTTAAGTTAACGTGAGTAAAATGATAATCTATAAATCTGAACAAATGTTTTCTATATATAACAGAATGTATATAGCTTAGTAGAGTGATAACCTAGATACATACAGCTAGGGAGTACCCACACAAGATGACAGGATGTGACTTTAATGGCGACCTTAAAACGCTTTATATTCAACAATTGATTTGAAATTGGGTTTTCTGCTTGAAAAAAAATCTTTTAATGTAATAATAGTTGATTTCAACTAACAATTTTACAGTATTCGAAAGTATAATTGTAAGACTAAATAAATTCCGTACAGTCGTAAGTCTCATCATTTGTGGGTTCCAATAAACATAGGAAGTGACGAAGACGACATCATCATTAGCGCTGTATTCGTCATAACTCATAGTACTATTGTTAGCTAGTCAACTAGCCTTTTTCACGAAATTATTTTTTATAATAGATATATAACATGGTTGAGAAGTGAGCAGTAAGAAGTATGGGAAAGTTTGAAACGAAGCAGCAAATATTGGGACTTTTTGCGGGAGCTGCTGGAGTAGCAGCTTTGCTTATTCTACTCTTAACTGTTGAGGTTAGTTGAATACTTTTAATTAAATCAGTTAAAATTAATACTTTTCAAATTTAACTGTCATAAAATGCATCTTGCTTTATATTTAGGATGCTGAAACACTTGTGAAACAAATTATGATCATAAAGATTTTATGATTTTTAAGTTCCTCTTAAATTTTCATGTATTTTAGATAAAATTAAAATTTAGAATTTTATTTTTAAATTAGGTCATAAATAATTCTGGTTCTTAGAGTTATATTTTCTTTATCTTCATAATTCTGTACATTTTTTTATTTATAGTTTATTTTTTTGATATTTTCGTTCTTCAGAGTCATTCTTTTAGACATTTGTAGGCTTGTAAAAAATTATTGTTATAAATTACATTTTTATAGTGTTTTTTTCAGTCTCATATTGGTTGAAAATACTTAAATAACGAATTAAATTTAATTAACTTAATTATGGTAAATCTCAAATTAAATTGTATTTTTAGGCCCACAAGCGTGGGGCAAAAAATGAACCGAAACCTCTCGGTCTTGAAGGAAAAAATATTGTAAAACGAGTTTCTGACTATGTTCGGTAAGATTTCATTCTATTAAAGGGATCGTCGGTATAATTTCAAGTTCCCTCCATTTTAAATAAAGCGGCCTGCCCGAATCACAAAGGTACCCATTAAACTTTTATCCTGGAAGATATCGTCGATTTTCTTGCTTCAGAAGTGTTTAATTCTGATAATTTTCTCCAATTGTATCTGCAGAAAAATGCGCAAGTCCCCTAACCCTATGTGGGGTCTGAGGGGACGCCCCCCCCAAAAAAAAGGCCTTAGAGAATAGCCCAATTTTTCAAGGCCTGCCTATTGAAAAAAAATTAGACCGATAACTTTAATAGTTTGGGTACGAGGGAGAGTTGAAAAGAATGCAAAAAAAAATGGTCAGAAAAATGAAAAGAATTATTTTTGTTTTGTTTTAAACAAATATCAAAAATTAAGTTTTTAAACCTGTAGTTTTAGTCACAAAAAAAGTTATGGGATATTTAAGTTTATTTTTTTCACAGACCGAGATTTTTACCGCCCTGTTCTCTGCCCGGTATGCATTAAAAAATCCTTTAAATATCTATCCATTGAAAGTCACAAAATTTCACGGTGATAGCGTCAAAACAAAAGTGCTAGGACAAACAAAGCCTGTTTAGGGTTAATGATTATCAAATTCATTCTATGTCATACCTGAGTTAAAGCTTGTAAGGGTATCTTTCTTAATAGGTAATGGAGTGTCACTCAAAATTTAAATAACGGTTTAAACCGTTATTTAAAACCTTTTTTATCAATTTTTAAAAAACTAGAAATTGAGTCTTTGTAACAATCTCTGATTTTCTAATACCTATATTTTTTCCACCTGATGGTGTAAACCTTTGATATTTCATAGTTTGAAGTATCTAAGGTCTACGGCATTGGATTACAAAGATATAGAGATTAGAAAATCATAGTTTGTGACAAAGACTCAATTCCATATAAACAGATATTTAAGATATAAAGATTAATAACGAATGATGAATTCAATTATTATATTATTATTATTTAGATCTTTAGCTAGTACAGAACCACAAGAGAAAACCAGAGTAAAAAGAAGTCTAGATGAATTTAATAAAACTGCTGAGGTTACAAATTTAGAAATTAAACAGGACTTAAGTTTTGCCACAAACTATAATTTCTAATCCCCATATCTTTTAACCTGATGGTGTATTTCAAACTTAGACTATTTGATATGACAAAATTTATAGTTTGAAATATCAAAGGTCTACTACATATGGTTGCAAAGATATTGGGAGGAAAAAATTAGAGATTGAGGCAAAAACTCATTTCCTGCACCATTTTACATTTAACAGAGCGATCTTTTTAGTTTGGAACCTATCATAAAACAAACTAACCAAAAAATTCGTTTTGGATTAGCTCTTAATTCCCAGACAAAAAAAATTACATGCAGTGCAGATATACTTATATATTATGTACTGAGAATAACGAATATCGTCTTTGTTCTTTCTCTTTTGAAAACGAATTCCGCTCTTTTATAAATTATATCTGCAATACATCCCTCTCCTGCAGGAGTAAGACCTATTAAAATGTGCCATAAGGAAACGAATGTTAGACCTATAAGTTATGCTGCTAAATAGTTTTATGACCATGCATGATCCATGATTCAAGCTCTTGCTAAAAACACACAAGATTGCTTAAATGGATTCAAAATTTCGTCTTCCTAATCCAGTATTGTATGGGTATCACTGTACATGATTCTAGGATATTGAAAGAAGAAAAGAAGAAGATATTGAAGAAGCCTTGATACAAGCAGACAAGGAGGGGCGTACTGTCAGTCATCTAGGAATTAAAAATATCCAGAATAAATATTTATTAAATCATTAGATCATGCCATTATGCCATATATGCTATAAAATGAGGCTTACTTGAAATTACGTCTTTAGCTCCTTAAAGAATATATTTTGGATGTTAAGCATGAATATTCAAGGTGAAAAGGTGAAGGAGCTCGGTCCCTCGAGTTCTCTAGTTCTTCAGGTTCTAGAGCTCTACTGTGTATCAGAGAAGTACTTTAGTACGCAGTTTCTAAACTGCACGAATCCACCAGACTTGAATACTAAACAGATAAATATTTCTCAACACCAACCACTCATACACAACGAGAATATAACACAACTCAATTACAAGGTTAGTATAAACCCAATCATAAGACTTAACAAGTAGGGTTGTTAAATTTTCGATTTATAAAAACTTTTAATAAAACTTTTAACATTGCCAAACTGGTTTCTTTTAAAAATTTTTTTAATTTTGTAATCTTTTTATCCTCGTTAAAGAATGTTCGTTTTACACGTTCGGTTGACATTAATTTTTTTGACAAATATTTCTTCTTGTAGGGTCAAAATTTGGCATAGAAGTAAAAAAAGCAAATGTTTAAAATAATCAATTTTGAAATTTGTCAAATTTTATACAATTTTTAAAACCTTTCAAACGTTAAAAAATCCTCAAAAATTAACCAACTTTTGCATATCACTATTTTGAAGTAAGTAAATATTCAATTTCGAATAAGTTTTTGTCCAATATTGAAATATCTACGATCTACATATGCATGCTTTGGACGTGGTCTAAACGATTCTAATATTCAAGTATACAAATTATCCTAATTAATACTTGACTAATCTTGAAAGTCGAATTTTGTTTTTCTGCAACAAAATCCTGACAAACAGATAGCTCTCTGTTTTTAAACAAAGTGATTCTATCAAAACATACAAATGTATCAAAGGGTATATAAAACAAAACTAGGCTTTTAGGACGGTTCGCGTCCCTATCTTTAAAAAAATTTAAGCGGTTAAATGTTGCTTTTCAATAGAGCATTTTTTCTCAAAATTTTGCAAATTTGTTAGTAATCATTTGTAGATTTGACGTTTATTGAATACAACAAACAAACAAAGAAGCCAAATCAAAATATAAAAGGTGTAGATACATTATATAGTATTTGTACACAATCAAAATTCACCAAAATATTATTTCTCAAAAATTCTCTGTTGTTGATTTAAAATTAGCTAAATGAATTACAGTACAGGATTACCACAAGCTGAGTATTTGTTCTAACTCTGAGCACAAAATGGTGCAAGTGATTATTGTATCTACTCTAGTACAGGCTTACCACAAGTTGGTTGTTTGTTTTGATTCTGAAAACACTCTGTTGGTGATTACTGTAACTGCTCTTGTACAGGATTACCTCAAGCTGGCTACTTGTTTAAACTCTGAGCACACCCTGGAGTGATTTTTGTTTACTCTTGTACAGGATTACCACACACTGGTTGCTTGGTCTAACTTTGAACACACCTTGGTGGTGATTATTGTAACTACTCTTGTACAGGATTACCACACGCTGGTTGCTTGTTCTATCTCTGAACACACCTTGGTGGTGATTATTGTAACTACTCTTGTACAGGATTACCACACGCTGGTTGCTTGTTCTAACTCTGAACACACCCTGGTGGTGATTATTGTAACTACTCTTGTAAACCTGTTCCTGCTCCTTGTTGTGGTGGCTGCCGCCAGGTTGAGCTCTCACTGTAAGAAAGACATCGCTCAGGTAAGCTCAAGAATGTCGTCCTCCTATTCCACAGGTTTCTGTGTATTTAACTAATTTGTCTGCCTAATAAATGTAGACTTCTGTTTTGGTTTATTTCAAATTAAAAATCCATATAACTTTCCATCTTATTGTTGGCAAGCTTTTAACAGCAGTTTGGTCAACTTAAAAGTTTTAGCGTGATAAAAAAAAATTTTTTTCTTCTTTTCCTAAACCAATATTTTCAACAAAGAAATTGAATCTTTGTCACAAACTGTGATTTTCCAAGTCCTGTCTTTGCGATGTCGCAGACCTTATAGTTATTTCAAACTAAAGAGTTTTGTTAAGTCAAGTAGTTTAAGTATGAAATTTCAAAAATTTACAGAATCAGGTTGCAAAGATAACGGGAAAAGAAAATTTGAGTCTGTAGCAAAGACTCGATTGCTTTGCTCAGTAATTATTGGGAAATGCTTCCAAACTAGATTGAATCAAATACAGAGTTTAATTGTAGAGCTTTTTATCTCAAATAAAGATTAATTACTGTTTTTAGGACAAGGTTTGGTTGTGCGAGGAAGACGACATTTCAAGTCTCAGAGAAGAACCAGTTCATCCAGTAAGGGGCAGGATAGTCATAAACTCATAATGAACCAATCAGAAAGCAAGATGTATTCATCTTGACTCCTATTGGTTCTGTATATAGTACAGGGAGTTAAATTAACTCTAGAGACAAAATTAATTAGTTTAATTCAGTTTGTTGCAACTTTCTAGAAAAGTTTTGAATAACTAACTTTAGAAAAGAAAACTTTATCACTCTATGTTTTAATGTAATTATGTGTTTCTAAATATTATTTATCATAATACAGGGCTTACAGAAAGAATGAAATTTCAGAGACAATTGTTAAGATACATCTTACATCTTCATTTCGTGTTTTTTAACATCTGTACACTAAATACATAGATTAATATCAATACAGATAGAAAATTAGTTGTCGTCTTTTCAAGATTTAGGGGTTTTCGTTCCCAATAACCCTGAGACAGAAGCCCAAAGGAGTTACGCGCATGTTATCTCTCTGTCATGCGTGTTGCTCCTTTGGGCTTCTACCTTAGGGGTTTTGTAAACGAAAACCCCCTAAATATTGAAAAGACGACATCTAGTGTTTTATTTTATTGTTATTAATCTATGACTAAATATATAGATATTTCTTCCTTATCATAATTTTTAAAGAAACATATTCAATGCAGACACGATCTAATTTTATCTTCTGATTTTTTGTTAAAAAGTCTCATTCTTTGAGTTTCTACAGTAGTTTTTATATTTCTAAAAGAAATTAAGTAACTTACTTTAACTGTTATGTTAAAAAATAAAAAATAAATATTAATCAAAATTGAAATTTTTGAATATAAATTGATTTTCGTTGTTGTTTGGTTGGAATCACCCATGGAGGCTTAGTTTAAATGAACTTTAGTAAATAAATGTTATTCGCTTTATTATTCAAATATTCTAAGAACCTACTTATAGAAATTGAATCACTCTCTACCTTGATGGCACAGCAGGTTTTTTTTTGACCTGAAGAAGTAGTCATCGTCTTAGGTTAAACGTGCTTCGAGGTGGATAGAAACCGTCTGAGCAGATCCTGTGCCAAATAATAGAATAACCTGACACATCTCCAAGAGGAACTTGTGTCATCTCCAAGAGGAACTTGTGTCATCTCAAAGAGGAACCTGTGTCATCTCAAAGAGGAACCTGTTTCATCTCCAAGAGGAACCTGTTTCATCTCCAGGAGGAACCTATGTTATCTCTAAGAGGAATTAATCTCCAAGAGGAACCTGTTTCATCTCCAAAAGGAACCTGTTTCATCTCCAAGTGAAACCTGTGTCATCTCCAAGAGGAACTTGTGTCATCTCAAAGAGGAACCTGTGTCATCTCAAAGAGGAACCTGTTTCATCTCCAGGAGGAACCTATGTTATCTCAACCTGTGTCATCTCAAAGAGGAACCTGTTTCATCTCCAGGAGGAACCTATGTTATCTCTAAGAGGAATTAATCTCCAAGAGGAACCTGTTTCATCTCCAATAGGAACCTGTTTCATCTCCAAGTGAAACCTGTGTCATCTCCAAGAGGAACTTGTGTCATTTCAAAGAGGAACCTGTGTCATCTCAAAGAGGAACCTGTTTCATCTCCGAAAGGAACCTGTGTCACCTCTAAGAGGAACCTCTGTCATCTCCAAGAGGAACCTGTTTCATCTCCAGGAGGAACCTATGTTATCTCTAAGAGGAGTTCATCTCCAAGAGGAACCTGTGTCATCTCCAAGAGGAACCTGTTTCATCTCCAAGAGGAACCTATTTCATCTTCAAGAGGAACCTGTTTCATATCTAAGAGGAACCTGTGTCATATCCAAGAGGAACCTGTGTCTTCTCCAAAGAAACCAAGGTTTCATCTCCAAAAGAAACCTGTTTCATCTCCAAGAAGAACCTGTTTCATATCTAAGAGGAACCAGTGGTATTACCAAGAGGAACCTGTGTCATTTCCAATAAGAAACATCCAGATAGACAGGTATACGGGTAGATAGGTAGATTTGTAGACAGGTAGACAGGTTTATAGATAGACCGGTAACCAGGTAGACAGGTAAACATGTAGACAGGTAAACATGAATGGTAAACAGGTAGAATACTGTAGGCAGGTAACAGATAGACAGGTAGACTGGTGGACAAACAAATATTGCATATTGCTCTTGTGAAAAGTATGAAGAAGTATCATGGCTAGCTACAGGATTTTGAAATAAATTGTGCTCTACTCAGTTTTAATTTAAATTCACAGATAAAGCTAAATGCAAAGAAGTCAGAACTTGTGAATCTTGGGATCAAGCATTATAATCTCCATCTTACGCATGCAGACCTACGGATTTATTCAATTCCTTTTCTATAACTCGTCTGGTCATTCTCTTGATGTGTATAACTTTAGCTGGGGATCCAGCATATATCCTCAAATTAGAAAGTGTCCGCATTGAATATCCAGATGAAGGGTTTAAGATTAATGATATTCCAGAGATAAATTCCGACCTCTGTATAGTTAGTTACACAGCTAGATATTGATTTGAAACATTTCTGTCAGATTGGGTCTAAATTTTATCTGTCTTGAGTCCTTTTTTCCTCAACAGTGGACCGTGGACATTTATAGACATTATACAATGAACAGCAGATATCCACAGACATTGGACAACTAGAGACAGTGAACAGTAGACAATAATAGACAGTTAACAATAGACAATTATAGACACAGGTGACAATTATAGATGCAGTGGACAATTATAGGTAAATTATAGACACAATTGACAATAGACACAGTGGATAAATAAAGACACTGTGGACAATTTTAGATACAGTTGACAATTATAGACACAGTGGACAATCATAGATACAGTTGACAATTATAGACACCGTGGACAATTATAGACACAGTGGATAATTATAGACACAGTGGATAATTATAGACACAGTGGATAATTATAGACACAGTGGACAATCAAAGATACAGTGGACAATCAAAGACACAGTGGATAATTATAGACACAGTGGACAATCAAAGATACAGTGGACAATCACAGACACAGTGGATAATTATAGACACAGTGGACAATCAAAGATACAGTGGACAATCAAAGATACAGTGGACAATTATAGAAACAATATTAATCTAGCTGTTTGTTAAATGAAAAAAAAACATTTTAGAAGTAAGAGATGGAAACAAGTCACTTAATATTTGTTAAAAAATTTAAAATCTTTATCAATCAATATGTTAGGTTCTCAATACTCAAAAAAGAGAAGGATTAAAAAATTTCCTCTAACTTTAATATTCCAATCCTAATATGCTTCAAACCCTTGATATTTCAAACATTAAATACTTCATTTAAAAGAATTTATAGTTTTAATTATCAAAGGCCTACAAGATTAGGTTGCCAAGATTTAAGGATTATAAAATAAAAGTTGAGCTGAATTCTTTGGTCTACTTTCAACATTATCAAATTTAACGTGAAAAAATAATAACCATTGCTAATTTATCATTTATTAGAATAAAAGGAGTAAAGAAATTAATATAACATTAATAAATAAAAATAAAATCAAAAAACAAAAACGAAGATAGTTCCTGCTAGCTTGCTGGAAGAGTATTCCTCCCAGCTAGTTAGAAGATTATTCCTCCCAGCTTACTAGAAGATTATTCCTCCCAGCTAGTTAGAAGCATATTCCTCTCAGCTAGTTAGAAGATTATTCCTCCCAGCTAGCAAGAAGATCAGAAACTGATTGTATTCTATCCATCAAAGTTTCCTTCATTTCAGGTTCAACCTAAAAGCAAAATACCAATCAATATTATTATCGTGTTAAATCTTCCTTTTAACTTGAAATACCGATAAAAAAATTTATTTGTAATATTTTCAGACATACAACAATCCTTAGTTTATTTTCTTCTTAAAAAAAAGAGCGAAATGAAGGCAAGTTCCCTTTTAAATTCATTGATCTATTTAAGGGTGTACAGGCTCTAGTGTTGTTAATCGTTTAAAAAAAAATAATAAAAGTGTATTATGTTTAATTTTGATTTTAATGAACTCACCAATTCTTTGACCTAAATAAATAAAAAGTACAAAACTATTTGAAAATGATCGTTACGACACGTTCGCTTTTGCATCGTTTTTGGGCCGTTTTTGGTTCGCTTTTGCATCGTTTTAGGGTCGTATTTGCATTGTTTTTGGGTCGTTTTTGCATTGTTTTTACATCGTTTTGGGGTCGTTTTTGGGTCGTTTTTTGCATATAACTTCTACTAGGGCTAAAATTTGACATAGTATAGTGTAAGAAAAATAATATTTAGAAAACACAATTTAAATACATTTGTTGTAATTACACGATGCTAAATGTTGACTCTGAAAGAAAATATGAACAATAAATTAACCAAAAAAAGAAGAACCTGAGGCCAAATTTAAGCCACGGCTCAAGTATGTTTGGTTAAACGTTAAATTGTTTTAAATTTTTCAAAATTTAAGCCGGCTTTTAATTAAAACCGGTTTTGGGGGGATTTGAGACGCAGCATAAATTCATTAAATTCGGACACCATAGGTCCATCACCATGTCCAGCATATAATGTGTATTGTGTAATACAATGTACTAAATATACTACAATATTGTATTAAAGAGTTTAAAGAAACACTAACTTAATTTAATACAATGAACTAACTCAGAAAGTTTTCTTTTATTCATCCCGAGGAAAAAATTAGGTTTAATAGGAAGCAAAAAATACTCAGTTGGACACTAAAATGAAAAGGCAAAAATTTTTTCAACTGAAAGTTTAAAATAATTAGTTTGGCGGAAAAAAAAGAACAACAAAAGAGAAATGATTTGTGCGATTAAAAACAAAAGGTTTCATTTTGATTAAAATAGAACATTTTTTAGTCGGTTTAAATGAAAATCAAAAGATTTACAATTTTTTATTCCACCATTTTTTGTATTCTGTTTTTTTTTGTTTTGAATATCATTGCAAATACTTTCTTTATTGATTGATTATCATACCTGAAGAATTGAAGAGGCCAGGGTGAGAGTTTGTAAGCCTTCTTCAGCTTTCTCTTTAGCTTTACTCTTACTTATCATCCCTGCTTCAGCTTGACCAGCAGCTAGGCAATATAATTATATATTTCTCTTTAGGTTTATCCTTACTTATCATCCCTGCTTCAGCTTGACCAGCAGCTTGACAGTATAATTATATATTTCTCTTTAGCTTTACCCTTACTTATCATCCCAGCTTCAGCTTTACCAGCAGCTTGACAATATAGTTATATATTTCTCTTTAGCTTTACCCTTACTTATCATTCTTGCCTCAGCTTGACCAGCAGCTTGTAAATATAATTATATATTTCTCTTTAGCTTTACTCTTACTTATCATCCCTTCTTCAGCTTGACCAGCAGCTTGACAATATAGTTATATATTTCTCTTTAGCTTTACCCTTACTTATCATCCCTGCTTCTGCTTGACCAGCAGCTTGACAATATAGTTATATATTTCTATTTAGCTTTACCCTTACTTATCATTCTTGCCTCAGTTTTTGTCCGGATTGACATTGATAGGAAAGTTGTATTAAACTGATTAGTTCTTATCCCTCGTATGACCAACAAGAGGGATTGAGTTTTACCTGGATTGATACGGGTTTAAAATGATTTATTAGAGTATAGGGCATTAACTACAAAAGTGGTAGCAGCGGCGAGAATAAGGAACCCTAGTAAAATGCCACTCCAAGGAAGAAAAGTACAATGATTACTTGGTTTAACTGATAGTAGGAGAAACTGTGTCAAGAAGAAACAGTAACAGTGCAGCAACAAGGAGTGCTACCAGAACGAACAGAGTACAAGAATGTAACGTGTACCAGAGTGTAACAGTGAACAATTTTAGATTATAACCTAGAATAACTAGAAAAGAATCAGATATCAGAAGACCAGACATGAATGAAACCGTAAGAGAGAGAGTGGAAACCTTCAACACAAAGAATTGGAAGCCCTGAGGAAGAGAGTGGAACAAATGGAGTTGAGAGGTCAGAAAAAAGATGAAAATTTGAAAACATTGGAGAATCTACAGGGGGCTAGTGGGAACTGGGAAAGCAACCGTGGATAGGTACGATGAAATATGTGACGTTGAAGCTGTTATAGAAGAAAGAATACAGGATTTCATTGAGAGTGCTCCCAAATATAATGGAAATTCAGAAATAATGTTCGAATAGTGCTGGAAATTCCTCTGCTTAATAGTAAATAAAGATGTAAAAAAGATTCTAGTTTCAATGCATCACATGATCAGCTAGTAGAGAGATTGTGCAGTTTTACCAAACATGAGTATCATTAGAGAGATATAAAACAGGAGAGTGTTTTGCAGAAACGATGAAAAGATTCAAATAAGAAGAATATGATGAAGGCTGGAAACAGGAATACCTAGAGACAGGAAACAGGAAAATGGTGAAGATATCAGAGAATATCAGACTGACAAGATGAAGTTATGTTGGAAACAGGTATACCTAGATAGGAAACAGGAAAGTGGCAAAGATACTGCAGAGAGGCTGAGGTTATGCCAGAAAAAAAAAATAGGAATACCTATCCAGGAGCCAGGAACATGATGAAGATACCAGAGACAATTATACTGACAAGCTGAGTTTATGGATACAAGCATACGCTCCAGATAATAGGAGCCTGGTAGAATTAAAGAATGAGATGCTCATGGAACTGTATGAAGAAGAGTTGATGGAGATTAAAACAAGGGTAAGGCAGTACAAGACCGCCAACTATCCTAGGATAGAAATGAGTTAAAAACTACATGTACAGATAGTTTTGATACAGTAGAAAACAGCAAGAGAGCTGATAAGATATGGGAAACAGGAAATACAAACAGGGAACCATTTTCCTGCAATAGTTCAGCAAAAGAAGAACAGATATAACGTGATTGTGGAAATGAGAGGCAAGATTCCAGATGGAGGGTTTGGACAATATTGGAAAATCAGGAAACCCTGGAATTAATTGATGTTAATGACGTGAAAAAGAATTATACTGAATTTAAAAAAAAATTTCCAGGAAACCGGAAGCATGCCCGCAAACTAGGAAAGAAAGTTATGTCGGGTTGGAAAAAGATAATCTTAAACCATGTGAATGAGATGGATGATAAAGAAAAAGTCATGACGGATTACAGAGAAAAGATTGAGTATATCTGGAATAAAATGAAGAAGATAAAGCTATGGTTGAAAAGGAAAAAGGACCAAGTCTACTTAAATTGGTTGGATATAGTGGAAACCATGTTGAGTGATGAAGAGAAAGTTCTGGTGGAGAGAACAGAAGATGTGGTTTATATAGATAGGCTGTTGAGTAATGAAGATAAAGCTAGGATTGAAGTCTCACTGAGTAATGAAGAGTTTTTAGCATTACTGGAAGTGAAACACAGTTAGTCAAATGGGTTGAACCATGCCGTAAATTTTAGCACGGAAAGTGTTAACAGGAAGTGCCAAAGTCCTGTTCAGAACAGGAAGTGAATCATATACTGGAATTTGGAGAGAGAAAACCAGAAGACAAGATCTTTGGAAAACCAAGAAGAGAAAGAATCAGTTCAAGAACTGGTACTTTAAGAAAATACTACACTTTAATGAAGTTTACAAGATCATGGCATGTTGATTTTAATAGGGGTAACAAATTACGTTATCTTTTTGATTCATTTTAAATGAAAAAACTACCTATGAGCAAACAAAAAACTAACATGAAGTAGTTGAACTGGATGGAATTAGTTGAACTTTTCTTGGACTTTTACCGGCGCTCAAGGGAAGTGTGTTAGCTTAGTCTATCTAGTTAAACCACTTCACGATATTGATTAAATTTTAAAATAAAGTGGGATGTAAAAACATACCAAGTGCCACTATCGCCATCTGCAGTTCAAGCAATAGCTGACCCCGCCATCTTGAATATCCGGGTTCTATTAGATCTGCTATATTCAACAGTTCACGGCAAAACCTTTCCTATATATAATATTACAGTACTGGTTCTTTTAGATCTGCACGTTACAGTTCACGTTTCCTTGATAAAACACTAGTTCTAAGTAAAGTTAAGTATAGCAGATCCAAAAATACGTCTAATGTATCTGCTTTACTTAGCAGAGAATAGTATTGTAAATTCTGAACTAGAATCAGAAGTTTCATATTAGTTTTAATATCTGATGTAGTTCATTAGTAATGTTTATTGACATCTGAATTTCTGTAAATTACTTAATCAGAGTTAATAAAAGTTTTAATTTAAAAAGACTTGAGTTCAAGTTGAGTTTAATGGATTCCACGTTCAGCTCACTATAGTTTAGGAATTATAATCTTAGTACCATGCGTTTATAATAATCGAGATCATGATATTTCTGTATGTTTATTTGATTTATAAAAACGAACTTTTATACTTTCAAATTATCTTTAATTTGTGAACAGTTTTGACTGACCTCGTAGGTATACGGAGTGAGTAAGGGTGGGTACTGAGTATAGAGGACCCCCCCCCCGTTCCAAAAAGGGTATATTCCCTGGAATGCTAAAAAAGTTTGACCTCCCTGCACCCCTGGAAAAATTCCGACATACATTCTGTACATTTTTTAACCTGCATAATTTAAGTTCATGATTACAGTTTCCATTATTACCTTAATCTGCAGTAGCTCCATGCTGAGGTCTGAGAGCATGTAGGGTTTCCGGTTCCCCAGGATAGAAACAATAGTGTACTTAACCTAAACGAATCAATGGATTAAAAGTACATTTTGAAAATGGTTCAATTAAACCTTTTCTAAAACTTGCATTTTAAACAAATGTTTGAAAAGTCGTAAATTTTACATTACTTGTTTAACACAGGTGGAAACCTTGAAATAAACCTTAACAATTATGCTAGTAAGAGGCGTTCTTAGATGGGGGCTATGGGGGCTGCGCACCCCCCCCCCCCCCCCCCCCCCCCCCCCCCATACCACCACCACTACCTGGATCAGTAAAATCTACGGTTTTCAGTGAGTCCTTAACACCTTTTCAGAACAAAATTTAATTGGTCCGAAAAAATGGAAACCCTCTTTTTTGGCATTAGATTCACAAAATTGGTAAAACCCTATATCAAATATTCCTAAATGTCCTTTGGCGCAATTAATTCTTAGAATACCTACCTCGACCACGTGGTGATTGTTTGGACCAAGAACCGGTTCTTGAGCGTGAAGGAATTTAAGAAGAGCTTCACAGCTTCCTTTGTTTACTTGAGACAGTTCATTGCTAACACTTGCATTGCCTAACCAAAGGAAGTAAGTTCATCATGTCACATGTCAGAATTTTTAGTCCTTATGTCACTCTTTACAACCCATTGTTTGAATTATGTTAGATCAAATAGTTTAATTTTGTAATTTTACAAATAGACATTAGCGAATTTGACAAAACCTCAGTTCTATGGATATCTAATCTACAGTATTTAATTTTATTGATCAAAATTTTTGGTTTAAAAAAAAAATCTCTTCCAAGTTTTGTTTAGAATTGTTCAAATTTGTTTTGTTTCTACGTGGCTGAAATAAGAAAAGCATTTAATTATTTTAAAACTCTCTAAAGGCTTACTAACCTGACTTGATCTGACTTGCTTTCTGAATGTTAGTGCACTTACTGCATTTCCAAAGAGACTAAACAACAATAGAAAGAATTTATTAAACAAAATTAAAATTTACTTGAAGAAAAATAAATGTTTTATTTTTTATTTTTTACAATCATATTTAATAAGTATTTTGTGAACAAATTTTCCTCCTTTTCTTCAACCCCAATATTTTTCAACACTCCCCTCCCCTCTTTATGATTATTTTGATTGATTTTTATTCTAATTATTCTATTTAGAAATAAGTTTTTTATAACCTCTAAATTTGACAAAAAGAACACATACTATAAACATATAAATCTAATTTTCCCTCCGATGCTTCAATATTATTTATAAATTCTCGATAACATGAATCCTATAAAATATTTTATAAAATAAAAATAAAATTCTGAATATGCGCACCTCTGGGTTTAAAGGATTGGTTGGAGTGATGTACTGAAGATCATTATTCTGAACGTTATCCCTGCAGAAAATATTTAATATATGACTTTACTCTCTTCCTGAATTGGCCCGAGATGAAATAATCTAAATTCTGGGAGCAGTGAGGAACAAATGAAAATGTGCAAAATAGGTTTTATCTGGGATTACGTTACACTAGAATGTTAAAAATGAAACAAAAACTGGCAAAAATATCACATTTTTGATTTTAGGACCAATTCATAGAAAGAACTGAACACTTTTTATTTAAAGTAAATTCTAAAAACAATTTATGGAATCGATGCTTTTAATGTTTCGAAGAAATGTTTCGAAGGATTTTTTGATGGATATTTTTGAGCTTACTGTCCCATTGGAAACAAATATCAAAAATGCCAACGCTCAAAAGATGAACAAGTATGAACATTTTATCACAGATATAACAACTAGGGATGTGTCTGTTCATCCTTTTGAAATCGGCTCAAGAGGATATATCTCACCATCAGATAAGGCGATTTTAAAGAAACTGCATAAGTTCTGCAAACCCAGTGTTAGTTTCAAAGCAATGTGTGAAAATCTATCAAGCCTTGCAGTACTGTCATCATACCACATTTTTAGAAAACGAAAAACACTAGACTGGGACCAAGAAACCCCTTTTCTGAAAACCACCTCTGAATAGCTAAACTATACTCATGCTAAAAGTCTTGTATTGCACCTGTTTTTTGGCAAACCCTATCAATTATAAAATGCGATATTCAGAGAAAGGAGTATTAGTTTGTAAACTTTTATATTGTTTAATGTAATTTTGCTTTAGACAAATATAAATGATAAATATATATGTAATTTGCAATGTATATGTTTTTAAAAATGTTCATAATTTCGAGATCAAGTATTAATCTCCATATTATACAAATCTACGGATTAATTTAATTCCCAAGCTTCGATATTCTGTGATGGTCATACCCTGCAGGGATAGATTTAGTTAAAGGATCAAGCATCGGTCCTCAAAATTCAAAAGTGCTCACATTGGACATTGAGATCAAGCGTTCAAAGCTTAACAATATCCACACAAAAATTCCAATTTCACAACATGCTTTTGAAAATTTGAAAAATTTTCGTGTTTCTATTTTACACTTTTTTGTTTGATTATGTATTCTAAATATAAAAGTACGTTATGTTTTACATGTTTTGAAATTCAGAAATCAAAATATGTTTGATAATATGTCGTTACAGATGGAATACTCTTCAATGTAGATTATTTTCCGTGACTCCATTAAATACTTTACAATGAATAAAAATGAGAATACAAATCTAAAACCTGAATCCCAGACATCTTGAACATCTAATAGCAGATAGGTAGGAACCTAGCTCAGTTGGATCTCGACAACGACGGCAACTGCACCTGTATTCATAACGTATTGTGCGAACATAAAACAAGATATTTTTTATTTTTGAAAACTTTAATTTAACACCAACAGAGTCTGAAACTTAAGACAGAGTATCGGAAACCTGGTTTCAAGAATGGGGTCAGGCAGTTTAGTCGATACCAATGATTTTGTTAAGAAATATTATTTCAAGTGGGTTCTTTGCATTCTCTTTCGTTTTCTGATTTCTTAAATTTAAATATACGCAAACGCGTTGTCCCCAAAAAAGAAACTTGGAAGATTCTTTCAACGATACGCTCTTAAGTTTCAGACTTAGACTTTTCAAATATGTTTTAAAAAATGTATGCACCTATTAAATATGTTTTAACGTGTTTGCACTTTTTTAGGATTATCAATTAATCAACCCCAATACTTAAATATTATCTCTAAATTAACAACGTTTTTCGAAGATTTGATCAACTAGAGCTAGGCAAATTTTTGTATTCCAATATTTGCATTTCTAAAGATCAGTTTCAATGATTTTAGTTATTTTTCCATCTCAATCAAAAGCTCTCAGTTTTGGCAAGTGATTTCGATTCTGCAAAAACTTGAACTCGATCGCATTAGAGAAGTATCCAAACAATTCAGATAAATAAGGTTGAAACCGGCGTTAGGCAGTTCAAGTTCATAAAATTCCGTCCCAGATTCTATTCTACTTACCAAAAGCATTTACTCATGTTAAGGTGTTCTCTTCTTTGCAAGGTTGGCCAAAGTGTGTTCGTATATGTGGCGCTGATAATACTGCCCCTAAACAATGTATGATATTAGCTGGCGCTGATAATACTGCCTCTGAACAATTTAATAATATTATAGGTGGCGCTGATATTACTCCTTCAGAACAATCTATTAATTTAGGGGGCGCTGATAAAACTGCCCTGAACATTTTATTAATAAAGTTTGGGCTGATAATACTGCCTTGAACATTTTATTGATATAGACAGGGCTGATAATACTGCCCTGGACATTTTATTAATATAGGTGGCGCTAATAATGCTGACCCTGAACAATCTATTAATACAGGTGGCGCTAATATTACTGTCCCTAAAATTGTTATCAATATAGGAGGTGCTGATAATACTGCCCCTGAACATTATATCAATATAGGTGGCGCATAGTTAAGTTGTTTGTTTAATGTTTGGAGGCCTGTTCTTTTTACTTACTTCTCTATTTTCCTAGTAGTGTAGATATTGATGGAGTTATCTGGAGAGAAAGTGTGCCTTGTATTTGGTGTACAATCATGAGATATTATACAAGCAGTCCGGTACATGGCTCGAAGATTCTGTCCATTCTTAAAAATAAAGAAATTTAGAAGTCATGATACAGCCAAAAAAAAAATATTTCAAAATCGATTTAAATTTACGTCACGGCCAAAACAAAAGTAAAATTAGATTTTATATATACTTGTCTAATTTCAAAGCAATTTGTATCCAGTTTTCCTGAGGCCTCCAAGATCTCTAAATCACTAAAAAAAGTTTTTTTTTAAATAAAGTATATCTTTTGTATATTTTTAAGTTACCTATATCGTTTGATGCCAAGATAATGGTGCATGAAGAAGACAACCTTTTCCTTGTTCACTTTATTATAAATAGGAGTTTTTATTCTCTCATCCAGATGGGAGTCAAACTTTACATAGTCTTCCCATACCTTAAAAATAGATGGGAGTCAAACTTTCTTCCCATATCTGAAGGATAGATGGGAGTCAAACTTTACATAGTCTTCCCATATCTTAAAAATAGATGGGATTCAAACTTTAAATATTCTTCCCATATCTTAAAGATAGATGGGAGTCAAACTTTAAATATTATTCCCATATCTTAAAGGTAGATGGAAGTCAAACTTTACATAGTCTTCCTATATCTTAAAGATAGATGGGAGTCAAACTTTACATAGTCTCCCCATATCTTAAAGATAGATGGGAGTCAAACTTTACATAGTCTTCCCATATCGTAAAAATAGATGGGAGTCAAACTTTACATAGTCTTCCCATATCTTAAAGGTAGATGGAAGTCAAACTTTACATAGTCTTCCCATATTTTAAAGATAGATGAGAGTCAAACTTTACATAGTCTTTCCATATTTTAGAGAAAAAATTTAAAGGAAATATTGTTAAAGAATATTTTGTAATGTTCGGCATCAAAGCAACAATGTTATTGACATTGTAAATTTGTACATTTTATAAAAACTGAATTTTTTACAAATAGAAATGCTAATTCGAGAAGCGTTTGAAAGTGAAAAGCCATTATTACTAACATTAGGTGAAAAAAATAATCAAAACAGCCAAGAGCTATTTTCCACCTAATTGCTTTATACTTGTACTGTTAATATAATCATCAATTTTGTGATTGTAAACTCTATCTGTATACAGATACATTTATGTTAGCAATAAACGTTATCTTATCTTATCTTATCTTATCTTAAATTTGAATTTGCATAATATTTCACAACATATGATGTTCTGTTGTTTTCTAAATAAATATCAGCAAAGAAAGTGTTTTAAACTTTCCCATCAGAGCTTTTCTTAATCTCCTTGTTACCTTTTTAGGTCCATCCTGTAGAGCTAAAGCTCTGATAACAGTTATGCAGGCATACATCATGTTCGTCTAAAATAATTTGAAAAAGTAAAATAAAAAAGTTTGATTCTGCAAAGGTTGGTTGAACTACAACAAATCTAAGAATCTTGGCACCTTTTCTTGCTGCACAGGGTGTTTAATTTCTACAAATTTGTCATTAGTTTTATTTGAAAATATCACACTAGATTTAAAAAAGGGGGGAAGGTTGCATTTTGAGTCCCAACCCAGAGCAAATACATTCAATAGTTTAAAGTACAGCTGCAGCAGAGAAAGGGTCAAACATAACATTCTTATTTGAATAAATATTTTTAAAATCACTTTTTTAATTTTCATAAATCTACCTGATTGAAAACCTCAACGTTAACTTTACTGCCTGCTGCCTTGGTAGCCCTGCACTCGGGATCATGCTGAGGACTGTCCTGGCACTTCAAGCTACATACTGGCCAGTTACATCGGATACACCTAGCATGTCACAATAGTTAACTACATACCGGCCAGTTACATCGGATACACCTAGCATGACAAAATAGTTAACTACATACCAGCCAGTTACATCGGATACACCTAGCATGATACAATAGCTAACTACATACCAGCCGGTTACATCGGATACACCTAGCATAATACAATAGTTAACGACATACCTGCCAGTTACATCGGATACACCTAGCATGTCATAATAGTTAACTAAATACCAGCCAATTACATCGGATACACCTAGCACGATACAATAGTTAACTGCATACCAGCCACTTACATCGAATACACCTAGCATGATACAATAGTTAACTACATAACGGCCAGTTACATCGGATACACCTAGCATGACAAAATAGTTAACTACATACTAGCCAGTTACATCGGATACACCTAGCATAATACAATAGTTAACTACATACCAGCCGGTTACATCGGATACACCTAGCATGACATAATAGTTAACTACATACCAGCTAGTTACATCGGATACACCTAGCATAATACAATAGTTAACTACGTACCAGCCAGTTACATCGGATACACCTAGCATGACAAAATAGTTAACTACATACCAGCCGGTTACATCGGATACACCTAGCATAATACAATAGTTAACGACATACCTGCCAGTTACATCGGATACACCTAGCATGTCATAATAGTTAACTAAATACCAGCCAATTACATCGGATACATCTACCACGATACAATAGTTAACTACATACCAGCCACTTACATCGAATACTAATACAATAGTTAACGACATACCTGCCAGTTACATCGGATACACCTAGCATGTCATAATAGTTAACTAAATACCAGCCAATTACATCGGATACATCTACCACGATACAATAGTTAACTACATACCAGCCACTTACATCGAATACACCTAGCATGATACAATAGTTAACTACATACCGGCCAGTTACATCGGATACACCTATCATGATACAGTAGTTAACTACATACTAGCCAGTTATATCGGATACACCTAGCATGATACAATAGTTAACGACATACCAGCCAGTTACATCGGATACACCTAGGATGATACAATAGTTAACAACATACCAGCCGGTTACATTGAATACACCTAGCATGATTCAATTGTTAACTACATACCAGCCAGTTACATCGGATACACCTAGCATGATACAATAGTCAACTACAAACCAGCCAGTTACATCGGATACACCTAGCATGATACAATTGTTAACTGCATACCAGCCAGTTACATCGGATACACCTTGCATGATACAATTGTTAACTACATGCCAGCCAGTTACATCGGATACACCTAGCATGATACAATAGTTAACTACATACCAGCCAGTTACATCGGATACACCTAGCAGGATACAATAGTTAACTACATACCGGCCAGTTACATCGGATACACCTAGCATGATACAATTGTTAACTACATACCGGCCAGTTACATCGGATACACCTAGCCTAGCATGATACAATAGTTAACTACATACCGGCCAGTTACATCGGATACACCTAGAATGATACAATAGTTAACTACATACCAGCGAGTTACATCGGATACACCTAGCATGATACAATAGTTAACTACATACCGGCCAGTTACATCGGATACACCTATCATGATAAAATAGTTAACTACATTCCAGCCAGTTACATCAAATACACCTAGCATGATACAATAGTTAACAACATACCGGTCAGTTACATCGGATACACCTAGCATGATACAATAGTTAACTACGTACCGGCCAGTTACATCGGATACACCTAGCATGATACAATTGTTAACTACATACCGGCCAGTTACATCGGATACACCTAGCATGATACAATAGTTAACAACATGCCGGTCAAGAATTTGAATCTTGGCTGACTATAAAGAGGAGGTAATAATTGTTACTTGATCATTTCTGATGATGAAGCAATCTCTTTATGGCATCCGAGGCATACTGGTTTGGTTAACTGCCTTGGTCCTATCACCATAGGACTTTCCTAAAAATACAGAATTTTTCATAAGGATTCAAACTTCCCAAGGGTATTTTTCCAAGTTGCAACTTCCCAAATGTGCAATTTCCCACGTTGAAACTTCCAAGACTATCCTTACCGCAGCGCTCGGCCTCCTAGTAGGTTCTGGCACATCCTAGCCGTAGCTCTTGGCCTTCATTGCAGCCTGTGGCGCCTCAGATGGCCTAACCTGCCTTTGGGAAGTTGCCGCTTTACAAATTGCGCATTTGGGAAGTTTCCACTTGGGAAGTCGCCCTTGGGAAAATGTCTTTGGGAAAATACCAATTACACCAATTTATCATGCCCAACAGATATTGAGATTTGAAGAGTTTGATAAATAAAACTAAAACTATCTGAAATATCAAATCCTAAAAATGGGGGGGGGTCTGAGAAAAGTACTTTATCCTTTTCATGCGATTAATAAATATTTTTGAACAATTACCAATCATTGGATTTGGAAATAAGATTTTCAAAAACTATTTCATGTCAACAATTGATAATTGGATTGGTAACATGAGTTCAAAAAACATTTAGATTTACTACATAAAATTTGTTGTTTAAGTCATCGACACTGGTTAAGATATAACCTGTAAAATGAGCTCCCCCTCAGCCAAATCCTTTGTGGCTGCAAGAAACCTAACAAATTTTAGTTAAAAAAAAAATTTAAATCTTGAATTTTTATAATCTGAATCATTAAAATATATGCCATTCTGTTAACTCTGACGGATGCACTTAAATTATTTGAAGTTTAGTAAACAGTGATCGTATTTTTGGCAAGGAGAGACTCCGAATATATGGTTTTGCACTTTGTTAATCTGTTTCATGCATTGTAGATTAACTCTAACTCTTACAAAAAAACAGACCTCTGGTCCATTTCATATTATTACAGTGCATACAAAAAATCAGACCTCTGGTCCATTTCATATTTTTACAGTGCATAAAAAAAATCAGACCTCTGGTCCATTTGAAATTATTATAATGCATACAAAACATGTTTACCTTCCTAACTTTTTACTTCGTTCTACTCTGTAAGGAAGTTTGAAGAATTCCTGACAAAAAAATATAATCTTTAATTTCTTAAGAAATGTTTAATTTTAAATTTTTTTTGAGAAAATTACCTTGCAGGAATCCTTGTGACTTGTCCAATCCTTCTTTTGATGTTCTCTAGGAAAGAAATTAAATTAAAACATGATTCTTGAAATAAGATTAATAAAAAAGCAAAGCCTAGTTTAACTTTAACTTTACGCTTGAAATTTGACATCAAAATATTATTTTTTAATCTTGACCAGAAATGATATATCATTAATTTGTTTAATTTTGAGCATACAGAGCACTGAATTGTACAGTAGAATTTAGAGCATGCAGTACACTAACCTTGTACAGTAGAATACCTGTTTACACCCAGAGCATATACAGTAAACTATCCTTGTACAGTAGAATACATGTTTACACCCCAAGCATACAGTAAACTAACCTTGTGCAGTAGAATACCTGTTTACACCCCGAGCATACAGAAACTAACCTTGTACAGTAGAATACATGTTTAGACCCCGAGCATACAGCAAACTAACCTTGTACAGTAAAATACATGTTTAGACCCCGAGCATACAGAAACTAACCTTGTACAGTAGAATACATGTTTACACCCAGAGCATACAGTAAACTAACCTTGTACAGTAGAATACATGTTTACACCCAGAGCATACAGAAATTAACCTTGTACTGTAGAATACATGTTTACACCCCGAGTATACAGAAACTAACCTTGTACAGTAGAATACATGTTTACACCCCGAGAATGCAGTACACTAACCTTGTGCACCAAAATACCTGTTTTCACTCCCTGAGCAAACAGAAACTAACCTTGTACAGTAGAATACATGTTTACACCCCGAGCATGCTGCTTTAGCCAGTCTACCACAAACAACGCAATCTCCGCAAGGAACCTGATCCTAGGAGACATTCGAAATATAATTACAGTTAAAACAAAATCTTGTTTTTTTAACCCTATAAAGGCTGGGGGGTCTGAATCTAAGTATAGGGGGGCATTAGAGAATAGGTATAGGATTGAAATGCATGTGCATAGCCTAGTTTTTCATGGCCAGGTCATAGAAAAAAGATTATACCGTTAACAATAATAGTTCGGGTGCTATAAAGGGTTGAAAAAAATGCCTAAAAAGGGTCAAAAAAAGGAAAAAAAATATTTATTTTGTTTTAAACAAATCTCCAAGTGTGACACATGTTTCTACACGCATTTTTGAAGGGCTTTTCAAAAACATAGTTTTTAGATCTGTAACTTAGTCACAAAAAAAGTTATGGGTATTTTTGATTTTTTTTCACAGATCGGACTTTTTTCCGCCCTGTACCCTACCACATAAATTTAAAAAAAATAAACAAAAAAATTTTTAAATTACTAATCATTACAAGTCACCAAATGTCATGGTGATCGTGTCAAAAATGAGAGTGCTAGGACAAAAAAACTACGCCGAACGCCCCCTCCCCCCAGCCTGTTTAGGGTTGATATCATGGTATAATAAAAAAATAAGATGGTTTAGGCATGATTTGTTACTTTTTTAAATGTTTGTACAAGTCAAAGATTTTAATATTTGGCTATTGATAATTTGAAAGTGTATTCTTTGATGCAAAAAAAATAATTCTAAATAATTGCGGTAAGGTACAGCATTAATGTTTGAATTACTAAATAATGATATTTAAAAAGTATCAATTTAATTCCGTTTCCAATTTTTGCGACGCACCCTCATTTATTAATCTTAACCTTTTCAATGATTTCCTCCTCAACAACTGGTTCAGGTTCAGGTTCTGTGATTTCAGTAATTTTCTCATCATTCTCATCTTCATCCAACCCTTCACTGGCAAACCATTCATCAAGGATATCATTCACCTCATCCAGATCAGTTCGGTCTAAAAACAAACAAATGGTATTCCAAACAAATTTCCCGAAAAATATTTTTTTAACAGGAAAATGTTTCCGTTCGACCAATTTCTCTGCTGAAGCTGAATGCTTCCTAACAAAAATATTTCCTCTTTCAAATGTTTTCCAACAATGTATTGCCTTGAACAAATCTTTCCGAACACAATATTTCCCCAGTAAAATGTTTCCCCAAAACATTTAAAACATTTCCGCAGGAAAATGTTTCCCCACAAAAATGTTTCCTCCGTCAAGTGTTTTCCCACAAGATATTTCTTTAGCGAAATGTTTCCACAGACAACATTTCCTCAGCGAAATGTTTCCGCAGACAACATGTCCTCAGCAAAATGTTTCCACAGACAACATTTCCTCAGCGAAATGTTTCCACAGACAACATTTTCTCAGAAAAATGTTTCCGCTGACAACATTTCCTCAGTAAAATGTTTCCACAGACAATATTTCCTCAGCGATATGTTTCCACAGACAACATTTTCTCAGCAAAATTTTTTCCACAGACAACATTTTCTCAGGGAAATGTTGTCAGTGGAAACATTTCCTCAGCAAAATGTTCCACTGACAACATTTCCTCAGCGAAATTTTTCCACAGACAACATTTCCTCAGCATTATGTTTCCACAGACAACAGTTCCTTAGCGAAATGTTTCGACGGACAACATTTCCTCAGCGAAATGTTAAACACAGACAACATTTCCTCATCGAAATGTTTCCACAGACAACATTTCCTCAGCAAAATGTTTCCACAGACATTATTTCCTCAACAACAACTTTACTGAGGTAAATGATTTACCACAAACGGTTTCAAAAATTTTCATTTCTACCAAAAAAAAAGGTTTTTGTAACCATTTTTAAATTTCGTAGAAGTTTTTCATGCCACAAAATGTTTATTTTTCGCCTGATTCTTTTCATTTACAAAACATTGTAATTTGTAATATGTTGCAGCCATAGAAGAATATGTTTTGTGATAGAAAATATTTTATGTTTGGGGAAACATTTATTTGGAAAAAATTTTCAGGAAAATTGTTTTAAATATTCATTTATTGTTAAAGAATTTATTTTAGTTTCAGTTATATGAAATAATAAAGTATTTTTACCTGTGTTTGAAGTTTGGTTTGGTTTTGATATCTCCGGAAGAACTTCCACATCATCCGGAAGTTCTTCTATACGAGATTCAACCTTTTTACTTCCGAGATTTTTGGCTGTTTTAATTTTAGTTTCCGGGATCAAAATTGGTTCAGGTTCTTCCTTTGCTTTAGTTGCCATTTTAGGCTTTGTTTCGGCTTTTGGCTTTGACTCAGTGTTCGGGTTTAGAACTAATTTTGACTTTGATTGTGGTTTTGGTTTTATTTCAGGGGCATCATCAATGTCAGGAAGATCATCAGGAATGTCATCATCATCATCAACCTCCTCCCTACCTCCCTTTTGAGCAAACATATATATTTGAATTAAAGTTTTTTTTCAAAAAAACTTTTTTGTAAAAGTTTCAGTGTTTTCACAAAAAAGGCCTCAAAAAGATTATTAAAAACCGCCAAAGCTCAAACTTGAGTTTAGGTAGAAAAGATGTCTAGAAATATATTGTGGAACCAACTTGGTTCATTACAGATATCATCCAATTTGTGTTTTGATGGAATCTTCTCAATAGGAAATTTTTATTCTAAAAAAACACCCTACCTTTTATCCCATATTCTTAGCCCCTTTTATTCTTAATCCCCTTTTTAAGATATCCATTGATTCGTGTATTAATGGAATCTTCTGAATAGGAAATCTACTTTTTTCTAATCCTTAATCTAATCCTTTATCCCGCCCCTTTTTATTCTCCACCCACCCAGCTATTTTCCCACACCCCCTTTATTATTTATTGTATCCCCCAAAAAATATTCATTTTTTATATGTTTGCCTTGAACCATTGATCTAGGATATTGTCAACCTCCTTCATGGCCTCCTTCTCTACTATTCCCGATACTGCGCCACACGCTAAATATAAATCTGACTAAAGGGAGAGACTGGCTGGACATGGTAGTTGAACTGAAAGTGCAATATTGTATAGAAAAACGTTTCTTCTGCTGACTGAAACAACTGGATAAATATTACAAACGACTTTACGCTCTTATTGAAAAATTGTCCAGAGTAAAAATGGCTCATTGGTATATTCAAATGAACCCAAAAGTCTTTATTTACAATACAGCACGCTCAACTACCATATCTAGCTGATCTCTCTCCCCTTAAAGGGACTGTAAACGTAATTTCAGGTGATCTTACATTTATAATTTTTCTTTAAACAATTAATTATTATCAATTGTTGTCTTTGGACTAATATTAAATTAAATAACAAAAGATTAAAAACAAAAACTATAAACATTACCTATATCAGAAACACCTCCTTGAGGAATACCGGGCTTTTCATTTTTTCCTTTCTTTTTGTTATTTTTAGCTTTCCCCTGTTTTGCTTTGGTTAACTCCGCTATTTTTTCAGCTCCTTTATTCTCAGGTTCAGGGGAGATATTTTTAGGATTATTTTCATCTTTCTCTTCTTCCCTTTCTGGTTTATTTTCTTTTTTCTTGGTTTCCTTCTTTGGAAGATGTTCTATTTCAGGAATTGTCTTTTCAATTTCTTTGATTTCCTTTTTCTTAGATTCCTTCTTTTTAGGATTTTCTTTCTCTTTAACTTCCAGAACATTATCTTTTGTTTCTTTTTTCGGTGATTTTTCCTTCTTTTTCTTTTCTTTTTTTACTGCAGAATCCTTTTCATTATCCGCTGTCACATTTTCTTTCATTTCGAGGTTCGAAGGTTTTTCATTTTTCTTGGCATGCACTTGGGCCGGGGTTTCCTTTTCTTTCATTTCTCTTTCGGGAGATTTGGCTTTGCTTTCTTTTAATGACTCTTCAGTATCATTTTTCTCAACCTCTTTAGTATCTATTACAGGCTGACTAGTTCTTCTCTTATTTTTCTTTTTTGATTTTCCAACTTCTTGGAATAGTTCTCCATTATCTACATCAACCTTAGGTTTGGTAATAGCTAGAACAGCTTTGACTTGCTGGTCAGCTTGAACCTGCTGAACAGCTTGGATCTCAGTTTGGATCTGAACTGGATCAGGAACACTCTCCTGTTCTTGAGCTTTCCCCTGTTCTTCATCTAAAGAAAGAAAATCCAACTTCTTTCTCCATTTTTATACATGATTGCCATTTCACCTTTTTAAACCAAGTATATTTGCTTTATTTTATTTTATTTTAAGAGTTGCTTTGATACTAATTGATTTAGGTATGGTGTAAGCACACTATTTACTTCATAGTTTTTGAAAATATTACAAATGTGTCGAATCTGCACAACCTGTAAATTAATGTTCTGGTAAAAATACTAAATTGCCACAAATAATTTTTCATTCTTCTGGAGAAGAGGAACCAACCGTGATTTTAATATTAGATAGATAGTATTAAGAGGATGCCCTTTTATAGATAAAAGGGGGGTGCAAGGCACATTAAGGTAAAAATCACCGACAACAAAATTTTAGGTAATAGTTTAATATATTTACCGCTACTATCACCTCCTTGGAGCTGTTTTGTCAGCCTGAGAAGAGCTTCTACATTCTTCACAATATTATGAGCAGCACGGAGATGAGCAGCATATGCAGCTGAATCATTGGACTCGAAGGAGACTTTACTGCAGTAGAAACAGGAAACACAGGAGACAAACTCTGAGGATTTCGTCTTCTTTCCCATCTTGTTTATACCTATAATCACACGGAGAAAATGCGGAGTATAAACTTAGAAATTCAGAGGGGGGGGGGGTAGTTTTGTAGATCTAGCATTTATTTATCTATATTTTAGCATTTTTAAAGAACGGCATAATTTAAAAATAACAAAAAATTTAAATTTTGTTGAATCTGAAAAATACTTGTTTCCTGCTTTCACTTACAATTGTCAATATACCGGGGGTTAATTTAAGCACCTATGTTACAGTGCAGGGTTTGCTCTATTATACGGGAGATGACACCCAATATAAAAATGTTGGAAGGATCTATAAATTCTAGAAACTGCGTCAAACCTTACTGTGTATTAGTGCAATACATTTTAATTTGGGTTGTTTAGTGCAACCCACAGCACAGATAACCTTTCTTAATGTTTTAAAGTTTAAAATTTACTTTGTATTTTATCTATAAATAAAGTAGTAATCTTGGTTTGTTTGTTTGCATGTACGATCATAACACAGAAACCCCTCGACTGATTTGTCTGAAATTTGTATTGGGGAACTCGTTAGAACCACGGGAATGTTCTTAACTTAGTTTAAACATTCTGTATTGAGTGTGTTGAGTATATTGTAGAGAAAAATAAGCATAGAATATCGTTTTTATTGTAATTTGTGTGTGTAGTTAGATGGTACAGTTTTTAAAAGGCTCTTATAAATGTATTTTAACCTACTCTACATTTTTATTCCATTTTTATCTGCTCTTGATTGTTCGCTATAATCTTTTAGTCGTTTTGCAATATATCTCCCCCCCCCTGAAATATCCCTCGTGAGAATCTCCTGTATCCCCCTGTAGTATTGGCAGGGGTCCAGAAACTATATCCCCTTTTAAACCTTCTAAATTCTCCACCTTTCTTCTGTTTTCTCCTCCCAGTCCAAACCCTGCAGAGTTTATATTATGTATTCGAGTTTAGTCTTGTTAAATCAAAACTTTGTGCAAACTGCTCCTTTCTTCAAGGATTCAATGTTTTTTACACATTTACAAGAGTTTCAGGTTTATGTAAACATTCATGCTTAAGAACATTCTAGATGTTTCTTGAAAAACCGCAAGAATTAAAAGATTTTTTAGAATTAAAAAAAAATGGATCTCTCTAAAGTAAATTAACAAATAGTGGAGTTGAACAACATTTAAAAATAAAATTTAAGAAAAACATTTGTTTTTGCATAATATTGCAGAAGGTTCTAGAAGAATGGAAAGTGAAACTAGCTTTGTTGGAACTAGAGCCAAGTTTAAAGAAGTTCTACTCCAGTATAGATTAGAGTGGGACGGGTTGGATCTCCGGAGTAAGGTTGAGTTTCTCCTCTCTCTACCGGAGATACAAGATATCCTTCGCTCCAGGTCGCAGCAGAAACTTGACTGTAAGGTCAGAATTATGAGTTTAAATTTCAAATCAAGAAACTCAACTCCGAAATCGCAAAAGCATAAATCAGGAAAGGAACTGATAACTCGCCTCATATACTTATATCTCTGCAACCTGATGTCGTTTAGGGTCTTTAATATTTCAAACTATAAACTTTACAAGATTAAATAATCAAAGTTTTTAAATATAAAAGGCATTCACCATCAGGTTACGCAGATGGAGGAATTAACGTTTTAGAGTTTCAGGCGAGTAATCAGTTCCTTTTACGTTTTGTTTCCATGGTTTGATGATAAAAACTGGCAAATTGTTTCCATGGTTTGATATTAAAAACTGGCATGTTGTTTCCATGTTTTGATGATAAAAACTGGCATGTTGTTTCCATGGTTTGATGATAAAAACTGGCATGTTGTTTCCATGGTTTGATGATAAAAACTGGCATGTTGTTTCCATGGTTTGATGATTAAAACTGGCATGTTGTTTCCATGGTTTTCCATGGTTTGATGATAAAAACTGGCAAATTGTTTCCATGGTTTGATGATAAAAACTGGCATGTTGTTTCCATGGTTTGATGATAAAAACTGGCATATTGTTTTCATAATCAACTATTTATACGACTTTTTACAAACAATATATTCTGAGGCAAAATCAAAACCAGTTTTATGGATAAATATGTTTTTAATTCTCTTCCTACTTGAATTATGCTTTTTTGAAGCAAAGTAAAAATAACTATTTTGTCCTATTTTTTAATTATTAAATGAACGAACTTCCGCGCATTACATACTTTATATAATGATGGTTAATGCATTTATTTATATAAACATCTCTTCCCATTTAACATTTACTTATTTATACATGCGCGCATATATACTATGCGCATATATACTATATATGCGCATAGTACAATATGTAATATTTGACTGGTTAATCTGTTTAATATTACAATATGGATTCTTATTATTATTTACAGATTTATGTACAGATGTACATTTTTTTGGTATTAACAAATTTTTACGGCGTTGTCCGGGGATTTCTAATATCTTCTAGTAAATCGCATGAAACTAAATTTGAAACGTTTGCGGATTTACTAATTTTCGCTCATTTTCAAACTTTTACAAAGACCAAAAACTTTCGGACACAAATTTTTGTAATTTTGAGCATCCATATACCTTCTCTGGGGTTTTGTGAGGTACCAAAGAAAAAAAATTTGGAACCCAATCGGTTTAGCCGTTTTGACGTATAGGTGACACAAAGAAACAGACAGACAGAGAGACTAAGAAACAAAGTATACATATAGATTAACGTGACAAAATTTCTATATACACATAAGCTACATTTATTATCAAAATGTTATCAGCTATCACTACCAAGAGATCGGACAAAGACGACTACTACTCCACTTTAAACCCTGGTCAATAGTGAATCTTTTTAGGATAGTAGGTTTAGTGAAGGGTTGAAGGATGAGGGAAACAAGAAGATGAAGGAAGGAAAACTGGTTGAAGCACTTCAGTTCTATAATCAATCAATAAAGTTAGCTCCACACCCAGAATCGGTAAGGGTTGTTAATCCTTTTCTTTTTTTAACACATATATAATAAAATATCCACGCTCCTCTACCCCTTTAGTAAAAGTAAATTCAACCTAAATGAAGCATAAAGTCTGACTGTTTCAACCATGTTGCACCGGCTAGTCATGTTCCTAGAGCTATGTACAGTACAAACTGAGACCTGAAAGGTTGACCCGGCTCGGAAAATTCAAATGTACTACGGGAACGGGCTACGGCTGCCCGTGTGCCCCATACTTCGGAACTGTATTATTTTGACATGTACAGTTTGCTTGTACTAAAATATTTTCTATATAATTTATCCTAAAATAAAAAGGAAAAAATCGCAAAAAAGTGATTGTTTAAACACGTTTGTTTTTGGTTTGTTTTTTGCAGATATTTTTTCTCGGGGTCAAAATTTGGCATAAAGTCAGCAAATTTTAAAATAAACAATTTTAAAATCATTTAATTTTCTTACACTTTGCCAACTTAACACTTATAAGTTTATTTACAAGATAAATATTCTTTAACATTTTTCGTTATTCTTGTTTTTTGAAGAAACACACATTTAGTGTAATTACGCAAACACATTGTTATATAATTGTCATATTACTTGCTTGAACACTTCAGAATAGAATTAAAATTTATTCATTTTTCAATTTCCAAAAAGATTTTGTTTTTGTTTTAAATCTTTGATCATATGCATCCTTGACGGAAAATGATATAGCAAACAGTTTAAATTTTATTTTAAAAAAATAAATATCATAACTTGAGGTCTTTCAAGCCTTCCTGTATATTATTGCAAAACCTTCTGATATTAAAGCGGTAATTTCATAATAATAATGATGATTATAATAATAAAATTAAAAGTCTAAAAAAATCGGATTCTTATAATTCAGTATTTTTAGGAGAATTCCGGATCTAAAATATTATCAATGTGTTTGGCTAACAGAGCAGTGGTCCTCAGTAAACTTAATCTTCTGCAATATTCCAGAGATTTTATTCTAGGATTTGATGCTATGCTTATTGTACGGTTACCCTGAGGAAAACCGGTTTAAGATTCACCAACGACTAGGTAAACAAAACATTGTTATGAAAACAAACTTTTCAATTGTTATTCTTCTACTTTCGCTAGTCATGATTCTTGAACAGAATTTGTTAAATTAAATTTTAAATAAATAGTTTAAATCATATTTACGGAAATATTGTTTTCCCTTAAAGAAAACTAAAGCGTTATAACCAGGGGCGTAAATAAGGATTCTGTAGGGGGTGGGGTAAATTTTTGTAATGTGGCGCACGAAGCGCGCCGAATATTTTTTACCCCCCCTAGAATTTTTTTATTCCTCCCTAGAAAAATATCATGATGTAAATCAAATTATTGGTTTTAGTTGGGTTTGATTTGCATTTTCCACTCATTTCTGGCATTTACAAACTCCATCAAATAAAGGCTTCATTTCCTACCTTTCAGCTTTCACCTTGTTTTATATCCTTCATTATAGTCATTCATTTTACATTAACTACAAAGATCTGTAGAAAAATTGAATTTATTTTAAGTAACGTAAAAATAGTTTTACTCTAAGAGGAAAAAGATTTTACTTTCTTAAATCTTTAGAAAAGCTACTCTGCAAAACTTTGAAAAAATATTGTCTTTGTTTTTATTCTAATTTCAATTTCTAAAATTTTCTTGTCAATGTAGTATGTTAATATCTTAAGTAAATCTAATATAGAAATGACATTATTTAGAAGTAAAAATGTATTTTTCATTGCCCATACCCGTTTTTTCTATTAAAAAACATCTAATTATGATGACATTAATAAATATTACTTTAGGAAATCATTTAGAGTATAAGTTGACTTAAAATCTGAATTATCTGAAGTATCTTCACATTTAAATTATTTTCGTGCAAAGAAATTGAGTTTTTGTCACAAACTCAAATTTTCTAATCTCTATATTTCTGTAACCGGATGATTTAAACCTTTAATATTTCAAACATTGATTATTTGATCTAACAGAATTCATAGTTTGAAATATTAAAGGTCTACTACATAGGGATAAAAAGATATAATGATTAGAAAATCCGAGTTTGTTGCAAAAATTCAATTACTTTTTAATTTATTCAACTTTAAAATCAACCTTTTTTTAAAAACAAATTCGGGGGGGGGGTAATTACCCGATAACCCCCCGTATTTACGCCACTGGCTATAACGAAGAAACCAAGTTCTTGGTCTTGCCAAAAACTTAAATATTCTAATCCTTGTATTTTAAAATTTTTTGAAATTTCAAAATTAGCTGACTTTTTAAATAGTAATGTTTATAAAAAGTATATGTTGATATTTATGATCAATTTTAGAGTACATATATGTAAGTTAAAAAAAAGTTATTTTTGGGACTCACTAGGATCTAAGTAAGATTTAATTGACCTGTATATTATCTAGCTGGAGTATATGAGAACATGAAAGATTGGAAGAATGCAATTCTCTCTCTTCAAAACCTTCTCAGCTCAATCCAAACCTCAAACCTTACTCCAGACTTGAGAATAAAGATGAGGAAAGAAATCCAGACTAAGATTACATATCTGCAATCCCTTCCTGATACTCAACCCAAACCATACTCCTTCTCCGGGTATGAACTAGACACGAGACACCCTGAGTTCTCCTCCCTTTGTGGGAGTGTCAGGGTTGAGAAGGTTGAGGGTAAGGGAAGATGTGCAATATCTAGAACTAGGTTAGCTCCAGGTACTCTCGTAGCACAAGAGGAAGCTGCAGCTTCAGTTCTTTATATTCCGAAGGTAAACTTTAAAAAATAGATATGTACACAAATTAAAAGGATCTATCGATCCATAGTTTCAAGTAAACCTTAGTTTAAAGAATACCGTCTGTGATTCACAACATAAACTTGCTTACATTTATCTACTTCACAATTTATTCTCATTTCTTTCACACATCTTTTGGCACATCATGGTTTAAATGGACCATTATAAATCGTTCATGAAAAAAATTGTACTCTATTTTACATCCAAGTATAAAAAAAAATGCAAATTCTAGTTGCAGATGAGAAATTCGAAACTTATTTATCCTTTCTGCACTGCATGATTGAAAACATGGTGATTGAGAACATTTTAAACTAATGCAAATTTTACTATTATTTGACATGATACACTCTTTAGATAAATACACACTGCTGGATTTGCCAAAACTACACCATGGTACCCTATCCCTGCACAGACTGTCCAGCCATTTACTGTTCCCTGGCATGCTTCAATAAACCTAGGAATAGGTAGAACATACCAAATATTCGATTTTTGTTTAAAATTAGTCGATTACTGTAACCTATCTACTTTAGTGTTTAGATTTGAATGCCAGCTGGTATGTTCTGGAATATTAGATGTTGTTGGAGTTAAAGAATGTCAGTTAGCCTCAAACCTTCAGCTAGCTTTCAGGTCAGTTAGCTTCAAACCTTCAGCTAGCTTTCAGGTCTGATAGCTTTTAGGTCAGTTAGCTTCAAACCTTCAGCTCTCTTTTAGGTCAGTTAGCTACAAACTTTAGGCTAGCTTTTAGGTCAGGCAGCTTAAAACCTTCAGCTAGCTTTTAGGACAGTTAGCTTCTTACCTGCAGTAAGTTTTTAGGTCAGTTAGCTTCTAACCTTTAGTTAGTTTTTAGGTCAGTTAGCTTCTAACTTTTAGTTAACTTTTAGGTCAGGTTTTTATTCTAGTTCAATAACAGGTTTTTTATTTGAGTTTAATATCTGATTTCTAATTGTTGTTTAATCGGTTTATAATTTTAGTTTAATAACCGGTGTGAGTCCTGACCAGCACGCAGGGGTTCTAGCAGGCCTACTGAAGGAGCCAGGAGACGAACCAGTACATAATCAAGTACAAGAAGATGGCAAACCAGTACATATTCAAGTACAAGAAGATGACAAACTAGTACATAACCAAGTACATGAAGATGTACAAAAAAGAGCACATGAAAGAGAAGTATTAAACAAAATAGAAGAAACTGAACTAGTGATTAGTACAGGACCAAAGGGTATTCCAGAAATTTCTTTGTAATATTTTTCATTCTTTTTAAATGATCATTTTTTGCCCTGGAGTAACCATGGTTTCTTCAATCTTAATTCAATCGTGTTTTGTTCTATTATTGGGGCCAATCTTCAAACTTTTAAAGAAGTGTATTAATGTTAAAAAAGCTAAATATGTTTATTCTGAAACGAAGTTCCGATATGATCTTTTATGTACAAAGAAGTTTAATTTGTTTGTTTGTTTATATTTCTCCCGGATACTGCAGTACAATTGATATTCTGAATATTACACAGAAACTGTTGAAATACATTCCGAAGAATTAAAGGAAACCTATAACAAGATCCACAATCTTCAAGAACATATAGATTCTATGAATCAAGGTAAAAATTCCACATTTTTTCGTTTGGTCCAAACAATTTTCTGTTATAATAAAATTAACAGTAATCACCGATTATATTGATTTATCAAATAAACCTTTTATAAGTTATCAACGATTAGCTTTTTCGGAAGGAACTCTGACGTAGTTACAAGTGGATTTCCATTTCAAAGTTTGCCATTTTTAAACGGAGGATTATTAAAATCTTTATCTGAGAAACAATAAGGAAGATATCATCATTTTACATTTTTAGTTTAAAAGTTTTAAGTCTACAATTCCCTTCATTGGCTCTGCAGAATAAATCCATAAATCCATTGTCTAATATATTAAACTATCCCTTTCTTAACGTTTTGTTTACTGTAGAGGATCTACTGAGTTCTGGTCTTACTTTACTGCATTGGATTCTTGTATCTGGGTATTCAGGAATTAAATATATTCAAATAATTTGATCAAAATTATCTTTTCAGAAACTTTGACATTTCAATTTGTTTATTTGGAAAAGTAGGCAGAAACTTTTTGTCAAATAAAATGATTCTTCAAACTTGAACTTATGAGATTTTGCTATCTCATGCCTTTATAACCAGTTCAAAGTTTAAAATATTTAAATGCATTCTTTAATGATTTCCCAGATGCCATGAATCAAATAGTAATGTACACTATTATTATCTAAAGATTTCAAAGCTTAGCGCCAGAAAAGTTTAAGTGATCAAATCATCTTTTTCTCTTTTTATTCTGTTTTTAAAATCTATGTCGTAAAAAATACATATAGATACTGCGTGTGACAGTTATTAATTAGCTTTAGTTTTGAATATATATTAATAAAGAGGAATCTGTTATATCAAGTGACTACCTACACCTTTGCATCCAATACCTGGGGATTATTATTCCTAACTGTCATGCTACATTCCAACTTGAATCCTCAAACACAGGTCATTTCTATAAACAGTCCCATTTTTTTGTCCTGAAAAGATTTAAAAAATTGCAACTTCATGGTGTTAACCTTTAATAGTACAAATCTAGATTTGTTTACAAAATTCATAGTGAAGGGTCTATACGACACCTAGTTGTAAATGTGAAAGATCTATACAACATTAGAAATTCAGATTAAAAGATGATAAAAAATGTCATTATTCATTTTTATGTGTTGCAATAATATCCAGTATTTTTTTATTTTAGATGCTAGCTCCATGAGTATGGTTGGACTAGCTTTGTTTCCAGATGTGGCTTCAACCTTTAACCATTCCTGTGATCCTAATACATTTGTGGTAGATGTAGGACAGGTATTCATACCTTCTTGTCATCCTAATATAGTTGTGGTACATGTTGGGTAGGTATTCATACATTCATGTGATCATAATACATGTGTGGTATATGTACATTTGAAGTAGATATATGACAGGTTTTCATACAAACATGAGATTATAATACATTTGTGGTTTATGTAGGACAGGTATTAGTACATTTATGTGATCATAATACATTTGTGGTATATGTAGGACAAGTATTCATACATTCATGTGATCCTAATACATTTGGGGTAGATGTAGGACAGGTATTCATACATTCATGTGATCATAATACATTTGTGGTAGATGTAGGACAGGTATTCATACATTCATGTGATCCTAATACATTTGTGGTAGATGTAGGACAGGTAATCATACATTCATGTGATCCTTATATAATTGTGGTATATTTAAGCCAAGTATTCATACAGTTATGTGATTATTAATTACTAATACATTTAAATAGTCCAAATGAATATGAGACACAGTAATTGTGCAGTGCAACAGACCCATTTCTCCAAATAAGCTGATTTTTAAGCTATTGTTAAAACTATTTGCTCTACATCTTAAATAGTACTGTGAATTTCATCTTTCTATTCCACAATTACATAATATATATATAAATGCTTACGACCATCAAAATTCTAATGCCGTTCTTAAATTACATCTTGTATATATAATTATTTGCATTTTGTTGCCGGCCTAGGAACAGTTAACTATAACTTCACGCTGTATTGAAGAAGGAGAGGAGATAACACAGGTTGGATAAAAAACATGAGTTTTTTAGAAATCATTAATTTCCAATTATTCACAAAAAATACAATCGTCAAAGGCGTTTTATAAGTCCTAATTTAAATATTTATTCCACGAAAAAATAAGGCAAAATTCAAGATGATTTCATCATATAACAAATAATATATAACAAATAATTTAGAATTTTCCGTTGGGGACTTTTTTAAATCGCACATTTAAAGGATTGATTTTTATTTTGAGTCTTAAAAACGATTTATGATTATTTTTTTTATCAGAACATCGTAAGATTTTTCAACAGGGCATATTTCTGCCCGATAGTTTTTCACCTATATTTTTCATAACATATTTTTAGCGTTTCAGTTTTGTCAAGTTATTTAGTTTGTGTGTGCTGTAGGTGTACTACGGATACTATGCAGATACAGATAAAGGAGAAAGACAAGAGAAACTGGAGAAGAAATATAACTTTATCTGCACATGTCTGGCTTGTCAGTAAGTAATTCAAATTTTTCATAAAATTTACTTCATCGCGTTTTCCTGTTAAAATTTTCAAACTGAAGAAGAAGCAAAGAGTGCTTAAAATAATTGGCTTTCCAACATATCATGCTACATCTTCACCATTACATTAAACTAAAGTAAATTTCACATAATTTCAAAATATTTTACTAAAGAAGAAAAAGTTCTTAAAAGAATCAAAAATCTTTTAAATTTCTGATAAAAAATCAAATAAAATAGTTTGTTCATACTGGTAAGTAACATTGAAACTAAAGTAGAGTGTTCCATAAGTCATGTTATGTTTGGCAACAGTCATTTTGAAGTTTGAACGCCAAGAAAGTTTGACGGAATTGCGAGCTAAAGCGCACAATTGCACGCAACTCCTTTGCGTTTATTGTGCACAATTATTACGGAATTGCGCGAAATTAAATTCACTTGCGCTAAAGGACTCGCCATTGCGCACAAGTAAAATCCACTTGCTTTGGAAACCATAATTAAAAAAATTACATTTATCTTGTAAATTTGTTTCTAACGATCATATTTCCAGCATTCATTTCTGCATCGATTGTACTGAGAAGTTGTGCATCTCTAAAACTTTATAGTTTAACTGCAAAACTTTTTGTGTTAGAATATATTTCATACATTCTAGAAATGTTGCTGACTGTTGCGAAAAGAAAAATTGCATTTTTTCCTATTTTCTTTTTATTTTAGATATTGCAAATGTCGCCATTTACGTTACGCATGCCCGCATTAGTTCATATTTCCAAATCTACATATTGTAGATATTTCTCAAGTTTCATTCAAGTATACTGCTGCAGGTTTTTTTACTTTCTGGTACATTTTGTAGTAAGTGCAACAACGTTAGCGACAAATAAGATTAAATTTGTGTCCAAATAGAATTACCATCGCGTTTTTACCAGCAAACCCGTTGAAAGTGTATAGGAAGTGAGTCATGATTCCTATACCTTTGCAACCCAATGTGGAAGCCCATATTTCAAACTATTAATATTAGTAGATCAAATAATCACAGTATAAAAAAAATTTAAATTTGCGTCATTTATAGAATTTGAGTTCGTGGCAAAGAATCAATTCCTTTATTTTATAAATACTCTCCATCCAATATGATAAACAATTAATTTGAAATTAAGAAATTGTATTTTTTAAACATTACACATATTATATTTAAAATGTATTTAAATCCACAAGATTCCTCAAGGCTTGATATCTTTGAGCGGTAAAAGGTGGGCAAAGAATTGTTCCATTTTCAAGAATTCAGATTAATTTATATAAGTCACTATAGTTTCAGTAGAAGTAAATATTTCCATTTAATAATAGCGCTGATTGAAGGATTCATAACTCTAATTGAATAATGAGATAGATAGAAAGATAGATTTTTCCGTCATACTATTTTAATTGGTTCAGAATAGACAACAAACACATGACTAAACCCTGATTGGATCAGGCGCTAATGGACTTAGCAAGGAGTGGTATATTACTTTTTTCATGAGTGCTTTGCATCCGATAATTTGGAGCCTCCGTCCTAAATGCTTTAATTTAAAAGCAAAACAAAAACATATTACCAATGCATTCATTTAAAGCTTTTTGAATTTTGAAGAAATTCTTGTGTTCAAAATTCCTATAAGTTTTATTATTATATAATATAATTATATGTTTTCAGGTTTGATTATCCAACTTCAGCTGAACTACTCTCAGAGACTACGTTTTTGAACACTTCGCCAGGTATGAAAAAAGATGACGATCTGAAACTCTATACAAATGACGCTTTCAGATAAGTGGCATGTTTGATTATCAATGGTACCTTTAATGGCTTTGTATTGTTCTCTTCAATTGTAGTTTCTCTATAAAAAATGACGGATTTCTATTTCTGAAATTGTGGATGCAATTGTTAGCCCTAAACACTTCTCAAGATTCATTATTGATTAGATAACGTTAAAGGGTACCGTTGTGAATCGGGCATGCCCCCCCTTTATTTTTACGTGTTGCTAGAAATTACAAAGACAGTTTCTTTAAGAATAAAAGTTGAAAAGTTATTGTACTTTTTTGCAATGAATTGAGATGAAAAGAACACATTTGGAATATTCTAGAAAAGTTGAAATCCCCCTTGACGGTTGAACAGCTGACTCTATTGGATAATCAGAACTCGAGGTTTCGTGATCAGGTAAAGTCATATTTTCAGCGGCACTGCGCAGTGCACGTGCTTTATACTCATGGCACTCAAAATACTCATAATTTGGGAGAAATATTCGTTTTATTTTTGAATATGGAGGTAGGCGATTATATCAATATAATGAAGACAACTTTCGATTTTTAGATATCTGAGTGTTTGCAGAACAAGAATCTAAAACAAGCCCTGGCTATTACCAAAGATAGATTAAAGCTTATCTCAGACAACATCAGGAATCAACCAATCAATCCCAAATTTTAATTAATTAATCAACTAATAAATCAAAGAACCAATTCTATTAAACCATTTAAATAAATAGTATTCCTGGAGTAAGAAAAATCCGAGGTCATCAAATGGTATAACCATTTCTAAGTAGATTTTATGTTAAAAGTATTATTTTACCTGCCCTAACCTGAACTTCATTAAAGAGAAATAAATCAACCCACAAGGAAGTTAAACTGCCTTTTCAAATCAGAAATACTTATGAAGAAGTTCGGTTTTGGTGGATATACAGTGTAGTGTAATAGCCATATAAATTTCACTAGAAGGGGATAATTTATTTGGCGTACTATCCAGTTTTGCCTTCTACAGTATGTATTCGAACTATATAACTTTCTCTGGGTGGTTGAAATTCGGCCCGATACATGGTACGTGTAATGAACTGGAATGTAAAATGAATCATTTACTCTCAGACAAATTTCCATTGATTCTAATTACTTGATCTTAATACGCAATTACTCTTCTAATTCACTTTATGTGAAACAGCACAAACATGTATTTTTATGTGGGCTTACAGCATTTTTGTTAAGTACAGGGTATCTTTTGGTCACATGTTGAGTAAGTTTGATTATATGCTCTTTCCGACTCTGTATAATATGAAAAATAGTGTGCTCATATGAATCTAAAAAAAAAATTGGTAAAGCATGTTTTATTACTTATCCGACTTTAAAATTTCTCACAGAAATATCTTTTTTGAATAATTTATAATTTTTTTTAAAACAGAGCCTTTTTATATGAATGAAGCTATTTGTCAAAAAAGATTGAAAGGGGAAAAACAAATTATTTTGAACTGTTATTAATCTTATAAATGGAACTGTATGTTAGCCCGTAGCTGGTGACGGTTTATGAAAGAAAGAATGATAAATTTAAAAAGTTTACTAAACTCCTTTATCTTACACTAACACAACTTGGTGTCTGAAAAGTAAACTAAAGAATTTACTATAAATCAACCGGACATTGTTCACATTGCATAAGTTGGAGACCAGAGCTAAAAACTTAAGATTGTGATATCCTTAATCCAGATTGGTTAATTAATCTTGAGATTAATAATAAAAGGAGAACAAACATTATTTAGTCTTGAGATTAAGAAAAGGAGTGGATCAAGCATTAATCCCGATATCCACCATTCAAAAGTTCCCAGCTCAGTACCCATGGTAATAAAATATCCAAAATATTATCTAATATAATTACCAGTCACATGGCAAATGACTAAAGCTCGCTGTATTGTAATTCACATTCACATTCAAGTGTTTGCAAAATTATCAGTAAGGTTGCGGTATTATTTTGATATTGATTGATTATAGATTAAAAACAATTTCATCTGTTAATCGGTTAGTAGCGTGGTTAATTGATTGATTTCAAACTTAATTCAATTTATTAGATATTTTTACATTTTGATCAATTATCTTTTCAATTTGATCTAATCGATTGGTTAGTTTTGAAATTTGATTGATTTGTTTGATCAGAAGTCCGCATGCCCTGCTTGTGGTGGGTATGATAAGCCTGGTTAGATATGCCTGGATTCTATTCGGCAGAAAATCAAAGGCTTTCAAGCCAAAGCTTGAATTATTCTTCTAAAAATATTCATTCAAATTATTGATTGAAACATTTCTTTAACGTAAAAGACTGCTTGACTTTTTATTGATTTTGAAAAGTACAAAAAATCAAAAATAGTGTTTATTTCAAATGATAACTATAAAATCCCTACAGTATATAGATAAATGAAATGAAATGATTATCTTATGGCATATATTATGTCCTTTTAATACCATACTATCTACCTCCCCCATTCCCACTTTAACTTTAATTTTAACATTTAAATTGTTCACGTAGAATGTTCATCAAAAAGAAAATATCAATAAATATTTAAAACCTAATGATTCACAAAAGTCAAACTAAAGTTTATTTCACGGAAGATTGAAATCTATATGTAAATTTAGCTTGTCTGTCTGGGTGTCTGTTTGTTTGTTTGTATCCAATAAACGTCAAAACGGCTGAACCGATCAGGCCCAAATTTTTTGTGGGACATCACGTGACCACAGGGAAAGTTTACGAATGATAAAAATTTTTTAAAAATGTGTTTTAAAGGTTTTTAATTTTGTTAAAAATTTAAATTCTTGAAAATCCACGAATTTTTTTTGAACCATATATATCCTAGTATAGAACAAGAATTAGATATATTTCCTATCATTGAAGCATAATTAGATAAATATATCCTAGAACCAGAATTATATATATTTCCTATCATTAAACCATAATTAGATAAATATATCCTAGAACCAGAATTAGATATATTTCCCATAATTAAACCATAATTAGATAAATATATCCTAGTATAGAACCAGAATTAGATATATTTCCCATCATTGAACGATACTTACATATATATATCCTAGTATAGAACCAGAATTAGATATATTTCCTATCATTGAACGATACTTACATAAATATATCCTAGTATAGAACCAGAATTAGATATATTTCCCATCATTGAACGATACTTACATAAATATATCCTAGTATAGAACCAGAATTAGATATATTTCCCATCATTGAACGATACTTACATAAATATATCATAGTATAGAACCAGAATTAGATATATTTCCCATCATTGAACGATACTTACATAAATATATCCTAGTATAGAACCAGAATTAGATATATTTCCCATCATTGAACGATACTTACATAAATATATCCTAGTATAGAACCAGAATTAGATATATTTCCTATCATTGAACCATAATTAGATAAATATATCCTATCATTGAACGATACTTACATAAATATATCCTAGTATAGAACCAGAATTAGATATATTTCCTATCATTGAACCATAATTAGATAAATATATCCTAGTATAGAACCAGAATTATATATATTTCCTCGCATTAAACCATAATTAGATAAATATATCCTAGAACCAGAATTAGATATATTTCCCATAATTAAACAATAATTACATAAATATATCCTAGTATAGAACCAGAATTAGATATATTTCCTATCATTAAACCATAATTAGATAAATATATCCTAGTATAGAACCAGAATTAAATATATTTCCTATCATTAAACCATACTTACATAAATATATCCTTGTATAGAACCAGAATTAGATATATTTCCTATCATTGAACCAAAATTAGAGAAATATTTTCTAGTATAGAGCCAGATTTATATATATATCCTATAATAGAATCAGAATTAGATTTATACCCTAGAATAGAACCAGAATCTATTTTTCCTAATTTAAAACCAGGTTTGAACCTTGAGAGAGCGGAATTATATATATATATATATATGTATATTTCTTTTTCCTTACTTTTCCTTTGATTACCTCCCTCGGCCCTCCTGTAGCTCCTGCCTAAATGGTAGAAATGCATCAAATTTTAGAAGTTAAGTTAAAACAAAGCAAACTAATAAACCTGAGATGAAAACTAACAAAAAGGAAATTGGTTTTGCAGATTGTATATTTCAGATATAAAATGGGAGTTCTTGAGGAGCTACCTGACGATGCTGGCAGCTGTGAACATTGCAACAATGCTGCTACTACCAAGTGTACTGGATGCAAACAGGCAATACAAAAAATAAGTATAATAATAATAATAATAATAATAATAACAAATAATAATAATAATAAAATAATAATAATAATAAAATCTCTAGGTTTATTACTGTAATAAAGATTGTCAGAAGAAGCACTGGAAGTTACATAAACCTGTTTGTAAAGCTTTAAAATACAAGGTAAGCTTAAAGCTGCTTGGAATGCACTACCTTGGAATGCACTACCTTGGAATGCACTACCTTGGAATGCACTTCCTTGGAATGCACTACCTTGGAATGCACTACCTTGGAATGCACTACCTTGGAATGCACTACCTTGGAATGCACTACCTTGGAATGCACTTCCTTGGAATGCACAACCTTGGAATGCACTACCTTAGAATGCACTACCTTGGAACGCACTACCTTGGAATGCACTACCTTAAAATGCACTACCTTAAAATGCACTACCTTGGAATGCACTACCTCAAACTGTGAATCCGACATGCCCCTGTATAAATGGATAAATAAACACCCAGTGCATGCTGTATCAGCTGAGATTGCTTTCACTTTTTTTGTCAACAAAGCTTTAGAAGTTTTTAGTGCAAAAATAACTTTATAACTTTTGAAATAACTCCAGAATAGTAGCCCAGTTATAATATTATTTGTCTTAAATTGTTTTTAGGTCATAAACCAAAAAAAGGAAAACCATGCTTGTTAAAAGTTCATAGAAAGGAATTGAGGCTTTTCCACAAATTCTGATTTTCTTATCCCTATATCTTTGCATTGGATATTTCAAACAATGGATTCTGTTAGACCAAATAATCTAAGTTTAAAATATCATAGGTTTATATTATTAGGTTGCAAAGATATAGGGATTGGAAAATTTTAGTTTTGTGGCAAAGACTAAGTTCCTTATTAATCTTAAAATTAAATGAAACCCCTTTTTATTTTCACGAACACTCACTTTAGAATAGTATATAATTATGAATGATGCAAAATATATTTTAAAAAATCAGTTAAAACCCTAATTAGCAATTGTTTTAGATCAGCACAAGAAAGATTTCAGCTCAAATCCAACTTTTTGCGTCTAAAGTTTTCGGTCCTATAACATTTAAATATACAAATCTGCAAAGAAAATATTTTTCCTTTTTTAGATTTGCAATTCTCCAGACCTGGGGAATTATCTGGTTGCAAGCACCAAGATAAAGGTTAGTTTTGCTAAATAGGAAAATTCTAATTTTAGTTTTAATTTTTTTTCATTGTTTTGATATAACTATTTCCAAAATAGTCCTAATACGCCCAGCACTCTAGTATGCCGAGTCCATTAGCGCCTGATAAAATCAGGGTTCAGTCATGTGTTTGGTGTCTATTCTGAACCAATAGAAACTGCATGGCGGTAACATCTATCCTTCTATCTATCTTATTATCCAATTAGAGATAAATCCTTATATCGGCGCTATAACAGTAAATGGAAATATGTACTTCTACTGAAACTAGTGCCAGAGCTAAACACTTTTGTATTGTATACTCCTAATCCTGATTTCTTCGAACCAATAAGAGTTTTTAAATTTATCACGCGCCAAAATTTTGAAATTTCTCTGTTTCTGATTGGCTGTTTAGTTTCTACAATCGACGCCTGATTGGTTGCATTTTAGAAAATTTTCTGGTATCAAAGTAAGATTAAATTAGTCTTTAGATTAATAAAAGAGGAGATTAAGCATTGATCTCGATATCCACAATTCTAAAGTTTTCAGCTCAGGTCGAATAGGCAAATAACCCTTATCCTATCGTACCCTGTACAATACATACCATAGGTTTACAGTAAGTAATTTGCTGTTCATATAAAGTTTTGATTTTCAAGGTAAAATTACTAATTTAGTTGAATTCAATCACATGTGGCCGGCTCTATTATTCAACAATATTTAAACAAAACAATTATAAAAGAAAAAATCTAAAAATTGGACAAATTATGTTCGGAAGTCATAGTTCTTGAATAAAGACCGAACCGTTAAATCCGCGTGATATAATAATATCTCCTAAAATAATTGTATCAAGGCTGGTGAAGTGATATTCTCTGAGCTACCCTTAGTCGTTGGACCAGCTAGTGTCACCCCGCCAGTCTTGTTCAGCATAATCCTGAAGTTTTGGTCCCAGCACAGGAATATCTTGTTAATCTAAATATCAAGCAAACCAAAAATAATAATAGTATTTTTTCCAATGCAAGAAAATGTTATTCTTCGGGAAAGTATTATTTTTGATAAAACATTATAACATAAATTCTGTTATATCAAATTTCAAAGCTTGAAATATTAAAGATATACAGTATACACCATCAGTTATTGCGATTAAAAATTTAGAGTTTGTGGTATATTTTCAGTTCCTTTAAAGAGTAGATTTTTGAAGAAAAAAAGGAAAAAAATAGTAGAGATTAACATAAGATTTTCTGCAGTGTGATGCAAAGTTTGAGATAGACTCGTACACTGAGCCGAATTATCTGTACGAAGGTATCCTGGTTCTTAAAGCTCTTCTGCTCCAGAAAGCTGCTCCAAACAAATTTAAAACGTTAATGTCTATGCAGGTAAATACGCTGCTCCAAACAAATTTAAAACTTTAATGTCTATGCAGGTAAATAAGCTGCTCCTAACAAATTTAAAACTTTAATGTCTATGCAGGGAAATACGCTGCTCCAACCAAATTTAAAACGCTAATGTCTATGCAGGTAAATAAGCTGCTCCAAACAAATTTAAAAATTTAATGTCTATGCAGGTAAATACGCTGCTCCAAACAAATTTAAAACTTTAATGTCTATGCAGGTAAATACGCTGCTCCAAACAAATTTAAAATGTTAATATCTATGCAGGGAAATACGCTGCTCCAAACAAATTTGAAACGCTAATGTCTATGCAGGTAAATAAGCTGCTCCAAACAAATTTAAAAATTTAATGTCTATGCAGGTAAATAAGCTGCTCCAAGCAAATGTAAAACGTTAATGTCTATGCACGTAAATATGCTGCTCCAAACCAATTTAAAACGTTAATGTCTATGCAGGTAAATACGCTGCTCCAAACAAATTTAAAACTTTAATGTCTATGCAGGTAAATAAGCTGCTCCAAACAAATTTAAAACGTTAATGTCTATGCACGTAAATATGCTGCTTCAAACAAATTTAAAACGTTAATGTCTATGCAGGTAAAGAATCTGCTCCAAAGAAATGATAAACTTTAATTTCTAAGGGATTGGTTAAATATTTGGATAATAAGAGATTGGTAATTATAAGACTAACAATAATTTTTTACCTGAGCTGATTACTCTCCTCAAACTATAATTTTTCATCCTTATATCTTTGCAACCTGATGTCCGTTGACTTTATAGAGTAAAAGTTCTGCTAGATTAAGCAGTAAATGTGTAAAATATCATAATTTACAATTTTTAACATAATTTTGTCAAACTTTCCAGAAATTAAATAAAAAAAATATTCTGCATATGGAAACACCAGGTAAAATTGTTTGGGAGACAGTACAAGAACATATTCTTAATCTTTATATGTTTAGAGTCATATAGAGGATAGAAGGGGTACAATTGTTTGGGAGACAGTACAAGAACATATTCTTAATCTTTATATGTTTAGAGTCATATAGAGGATAGAAGGGGTACAATTGTTTGGGAGACAGTACAAGAACATATTCTTAATCTTTATATGTTTAGAGTCATATAGAGAATAGAAGGGGTACAATTGTTTGGGAGAAAGTACAGGAACATGTTCTTAATCTTTTTATGCTTAGAGTCATTAAGAGGATAGAAGGGGTACAATTGTTTGGGAGAAAGTACAAGAACATATTTTTGATCTTTATATGTTTACAGTCATATAAAGGATTGAAGGGGTACAATTGTTTGGGAGAAAGTACAGGAACATATTTTTAATCTTTATATGTTTAGAGTCATATAGAGGATAGAAGGGTAACAATCGTTTGGGAGAAAGTACAAGAACATATTCTTCATCTTTATATGTTTAGAGTCATATAAAGGATAGAAGGGGTACAATTGTTTGGGAGAAAGTACAAGAACATATTTTTAATCTTTATATGTTTAGATTCATATAGAGGATAGAAGGGGTACAGTTGTTTGGGAGAAAGTACAAGAACATGTTCTTAATCTTTATATGTTTAGAGTCATATAGAAGATAGAAGAGGTACAATTGTTTGGGAGAAAGTACAAGAGCGGATTGTGGATGTTCTCAAGAAAACTCTAGGAATTATGGTATTCGAGGTAAAAAAATAATTAGTTTATAAATATGTTGATATTATACAAATTTAACACTTCTGCATAAAATTGTATAATCGCATGATTATATTTAGGCAATCTGTCCTATCAAGTATAAATATATATATTTAGGCAATCTGTCCTGAGTATGTTTATATATTTAGGCAATCTGTCCTGAGTAGGAATATATATTTAGGCAATCTGTCCTGAGTATGGATATATATTTAGAAAATCTGTCCTAAGTATGAATATATATTTAGGCAATCTGTCCTGAGTATGGATATATATTTAGGCAATCTGTCCTGAGTATGAATATATATTTAGGCAATATGTCCTGAATATGAATATATATTTAGGCAATCTGTCCTGAGTATGAATATATATTTAAGCAATCTGTCCTCAGTATGATTATATGTTTCGGCAATCTGTCCTGAGTATGAATATATATTTAGACAATCTGTCCTGAGTATGAATATATATTTCGGCAATCTGTCCTGAGTATGTTTATATATTTAGGCAATCTGTCCTGAATATGATTATATATTTAGGCAACCTGTCTTGAGTATTATTATATATTTAGGCAATCTGTTCTGAATATGATTATATATTCAGGCAATCTGCCCTGAGTATGATATGGCAACCTGTCCTGAGTATGATTATATATTTAGGCAATCTGTCCTGAATATGATTATATATTAGGCAATCTGTTCTGAATATGATTATATTTTCAGGGCAATCTGCCCTGAGTGTGAATATATATTTAGGCAATCTGCCCTGAGTGTGATTATATATTTAGAAAATCTGTCCTGAATATGATTATATATTTAGGCAATCTGCCCTGAGTGTGAATATATATTTATGCAATCTGTCCTGAATATGATTATATATTTAGGCAGTCTGTCCTAAGTAATAATATATATTTAGGCAATCTGTCCTGAGTATGATTATATATTTAGGCAATCTGTCCTGAGTATGAATATATATTTAGGAAATCTGTCCTCATTATGAAAATATATTTAGGCAATCTGTCCTGAGTATGATTATATATTTAGGCAATCTGTCCTGAGTATGAATATATGTTTAGGCAATCTGTTCTGAATATGATTATATATTTAGACAATCTGTCCTGAGTATGATTATATATTTAAGGAATATATCCTGAGTATGATTATATATTCAGGCAATCTGTCCAAAGCATTACTATATTTAGGCAATTTGTCCCACGTATAAATATATATTTAGGCAATGTAACTTTAGTATTATTAAATATTTAGGCAATCTGTCCTGTTTATGAACATATATTTAGGCAATATATTCTAAGCATGATTATATTTAGGCAATTTGTCCTGAGTATGATTTTTCTGATGAAACAATCCAGACTATAGTTGGTATCCTGGATACTAATAAGAAAGAGATTAGGCTTGCATTCACTGATGTAGAGGTATTCTTTATCTGTATTTCTTATTTTCTATATTTATTTCATTCAATATTTATATCCCCTGCACGCCCCTCTGCCCCGTTACTTAAAGTAAGTTCAACCTATTTGAAGCATAAAGTTTGACCGCGTCAACCTTGTCTAGTCCTGTCCAAAGAGCTCGGTACAGTACAAACTGGGACCGGAAAGGTTGACCCGGCTCGGAAATTCAAATGTACTACGGCTGCCCGTGCCTGACTGATATGAAAGAGTTTTTTTTAAAAATGTTCTTTCTTAAAAATTGGACAGTAAGCAAATAAATAGAAATCTAATTGCAGAATTCAGATTCGAAAAACAAAAACACTAAAAAATGTTTGATGTATAAAAAAATATGACTAAAAAAGGGTTCTTCAGATGTTTTTTTTTATCTTTTAAACTTTTTTCATAGAAATTATGTAGACATTTCAAACTATGAATTCTGTTAGATCAAATACTCCAAGTTTGAAACATTAAAAGTGTACACCACTAGGTTGCAAAGGTTTAGGGATTAGAACATTTGAGTTTGTGACAAAAAATGAGTTCCTTCATTTTCAAAAATACCATTTTCTCTGTATCTATACACTACACCCCCTCCTCCACCTTTCATTAAGAACCTTCTCCTCCTTCTAATTCTGTCATCTCATTACCCTTTACAGCACTGCAGATGGTTTCTAGTCTACCTCGGTGGGGGGGGGGGGGACAAAACCCCTCCCCTTCCGCTTTGTAGATTTTACTAGTTTTAGAGGAAAATATTAGCAAAATCAAAATTAAATAAAAAATTATATTTGATATTGTTTCATTGTTTCGAGTTATTGATTAGTTAAATTAGATAACGAAAAGGTCCATTAAATAACGGTTTGTTTTCAGGAATTTTCTTTTCCATATAGTTAAATTTTATTAAATTATTACAGGATTTTTTTTTATAAAATACGTATTTTATTTTTGTTTTAGGTCGGGCATACAATTAACAATATTGGCCGTTTTATTTAAGAACCCGTTCCTTTTTAATGTTTTAGGTCGGGCATACAATTAACAATATTGGCTGTTTTTTTAAGAACCAGTTCCTTTTTAATGTTTAGGTCGGGCATACAATTAACAATATTGGCCGGTTTTTTAAGAACCAGTTTCTTTTTAATGTTTTAGGTCGGGCATACAATTAACAATATTGGCCGTTTTTTTTAAGAACCCGTTCCTTTTTAATGTTTTAGGTCGGGCATACAATTAACAATATTGGCCGGTTTTTTTAAGAACCAGTTCCTTTTTAATGTTTTAGGTCGGGCATACAATTAACAATATCGGCCGGTTTTTTTAAGAACCAGTTCCTTTTTAATGTTTCTAACACTTAGTTTGTAAAGAATTTCCTCTTCGTTAACGGAATATTCGTTAAATTCAAATATTTCTGCTTGTTAACGAAACATGTCTCCGCATTACGCAATGTGTTTGTACGCAATTAACATTTTTTTCTAATTATATGGAAAATCTAATGTTTTTATCTATTTGTAGGCTGTGTATGCAACTGCATGTCTCATGGAGCATAATTGCCAACCAAATGTGAAATTAAATTTTGCAAAGGATTTCATGGTAAATTTTTTATTCATACTATTTTTTTAAAAGAATTTTGCATCTTTTGCGCTTGCAGTCTGCCAAATAAATTTTTGCGCAAAACAGTGGAATTCCGCCCGAAAGTTACTTTGCAAGCAAGTTTGCACGAAATTATGCAAAATATATCTTCTATCTACTTGTGTTGATATAACTGTAGTAGCAGACCGTAATATCGCTGAGAGTTTGATGTACAGTGTACATATATCTATTATGTACTTGTGTCTAGATAACTGTAGTAGCAGGCCGTGATATTGCTGAAAATTCACTGTACAGTGTACATATCTCTATCATGTACTCGTGTCTAGATAACTGTAGTAGCAGGCCGTGATATTGCTGAAAATTAACTGTACAGTGTACATATCTCTATTGTGTACTTGTGTACTAGCAGGCATTAATATTGCTGAAAGTGTACTGTACAGTGTACATATATCTATTATGTACTTTTACTAGATAACTGTAGTAGCAGGCCGTGATATTGCTGAACATGTACTGTACAGTGTACATATGTATATTATGTACTTGTATTAGATAACTTTAGTAGCAGGCCGTGATATTGCTTATAGTGTACTGTACATTGTACATATCTATATTATGTACTTGTATTAGATAACTGTAGTAGCAGGCCGTGATATTGCTGAAGGAGAGCATATTTCAACTATGTACACTCATGCACTCTGGGGAACCATTGCTAGGTAAACTTTCATAAGATAAAAATATTAAAACAAATCATTTTTAAACGTTTATGTTTTAAACTATACTTTCTTGGGGTTAATATTATTTAATCATTTTAATTAATATGATCATCCACTATTTATATCAATTCTTTAAGTGATTTGAAGATAAAAAGACTTTTTCAATCTACACCGGGTGTCCCAATACACATGGGAATTAAGTGATTTGATTTCCGATAGTTGAAAAATGACAAATAGTGTATCTAAATAACGTCTTTTGAGCTTTTGAAAATGTGGCCTGTTTTTTTGTTAGATTTCGTTGTTATTAGATGAATTAAAATTTTAACAGATTTATTAATATCTCTTTCAAATTTGAAAGTGAAAATATGGCAAACCACCTTTTGGAATTCTCAAGACTAGTAATCTTAATAATTAACTTTTTTAACTAGAACACAACAAAAATGGTTTTTATATAATAATGCAACGCGGAACAAAGTCGTGACTTACTTTGAATAACAACACCAGTCCCTTTAAATTAGTATTTTTTTGCAATTGATTTAAAATTTGGTTTTGTGCTTACATTTTATTTGTGAAGGCGTGATCATCTTCATCTGTATAAACAGTTTTGGTGTACATGCAAGAGGTGTGCGGATCCAACAGGTGAGACAAGTGTTCTTAAAAGATTTAATTTTTTAACTTTAATTCATTAATTAAACAAGCAAGGATTTTTTATGTATTTTCAGAGTTTGGAACCAACTTTTCAACTCTTCTCGATAACGGTCATCCAATGCTTCCGGAAGATCCCCTCAACTCAGAATCCGACTGGATCTGTGAAAAAACAGGTCGGTTTACAGAATTAGATTGGATCTGTGAAAAAAACAGGTCGGTTTACAGAATCAGACTGGATCTGTGAAAAAACAGATCGGTTTACAGAACCAGACTGGATCTGTGAAAAAACAGGTCGGTTTACAGAAACTGTTTGAAGTTCTATTAAAACAGTGGAATACAGCTAGTTTGGTTTTAAACTAGATTTTTTAACCACTTTTTTTTAGCTTCTAAATTCAAATTGCGTTTTAAAACATATTTTAGCGGGGCATGTCGGATTCACGGCGGTATCTTTTGAGCACAATTATGAAGGTGTCCTTGTTATCTTAAAAAATGTCATTTTAGGATAGAAAAACAAAGTTATCTTCCTCAAAAAAGGGACAGTTGTGAAAAGGATTTTGAACTTATAACTACCTGAATTATCTGAAATAATGTTTAGGAAAAGTGAAGACTGCCCAGGAAGTTAAGATAGAGCTCACTAAGATTGGACAAGAGTTAGAGATGATTCAAACCAAGGGAATTGTTGATGATATTGAACAGTTTATTGAGTCACATTCTAAGGTACAGAAATAAATCTTAAAAATGCGCCAAATTATTTGACCAATATTAGAAAATCATACTTGAGTGAAATAAGTTTGGAGCATAAACAATTTACTCTGCCCCATAACAAACATTAACTTTAATTTAAAAATAAGTCTGACTTACTAAAATGTAGTTCAGTTTAAATAACTAAAATTTTTTAAAATGTTTTAACTTTTCTTGAATTTTCATTTTGTTTGTCTGTATTTTAGGAGCTGCATCCTAATCATTACCATATGGTGACAGCTAAGCACAACCTTCTCCAGATGTATGGCAGAACTGAGGGATATCTTATCCAGGTAAACAGAACCTTCTCCAGATGTAAGGTAGAACTGAGGGATATCTTATCCAGGTAAACAGAACCTTCTCCAGATGTATGGTAGAACAGAGGAATATCTTATCCAGGTAAACACAACCTTCTCCAGATGTATGGTAGAACAGAGGGATATCGTATCCAGGTAAACACAATCTTCTCCAGATGTTTGGTAGAACTGTATCTAGGTAAACACAACCTTCTCCAGATGTATGGTAGAACTGTATCCAGGTAAGCACAACCTTCTCCATTTGTATTGTAGAACAGATGGATATCTTATCCAGGTAAACACAACCTTCTCCGATGTATGATAGAACTGTATCTAGGTAAACACAACCTTCTCCAGATGTATTGTAGAACTGTATCCAGGTAAACACAACCTACTCCAGATGTTTTGTAGAACTGTATCCAGGTAAACACAACCTTCTCCAGATGTATGGTAGACCTGTATCCAGGTAAACACAACCTTCTCCAGATGTATGGTAAACCTGTATCCAGGTAAACACAACCTACTCCAGATGTATGGTAGACCTGTATCCAGGTAAACACAACCTTCTCCAGATGTATGGTAAACCTGTATCCAGATAAACACAACCTAGTCCAGATGTATGGTAGACCTGTATCCAGGTAAACGCAACCTACTCCAGATGTATGGTAGAACAGAGGGATATCTAATCCAGGTAAACACAACCAAACAGAAATATTGATGAAATCCTGCCAAGAAGCCCAGAGGTATTAGTTTAAAGGTAGTTAAAGTAAAATAATTTAAAAATAGACTGAATTCACAATAATTTTTCTAATGGCGAAGAAAAATAACATTTTTAAACTTGCTTGTTAAAAACGGAATTAAACGTTATTAAAAATCGGTTTGAAGAGTCTAAAGTTTTTTGAATTAAAAACAAAAAATAAGATTTAGTTTTAATATTATAAATCAAAAATGAATTGTTTTAGGATATGACTGAGGAACAACTGAACCGAAAGATTGATCTATGTAAAGAGAATCTAGAGATCTTGAGTAAAATAGATCCTCATATGATCAGGTCAATAATCAAAAAAAAAGAACTGAGTTCTTGCCACAAACTCTGATTTTTAAATCTCTATATTTTTTCAATCCGTTGAAATAGACCTATGATGCAACTTATAAATTCTTTTTTTGACCAAATAGTCTAAATTTTATATATAAAAGGTTGATAAGAAAATTTGAATTTTTGGAAAGAACTCAGTTTCTGTGATAAAGGAAAGGAATTAAGCCTTTGTCACAAACTCAAATTTTATAATCCTTATATGTTTGCTACCTAACGATGAAAACCTTTTATATTTCAAACTTTGATTAGTTGATCTAACATAATTTAAATAATCTAAGGTCTATGAGATTGGGTTGCAAAGATATAGGGATTAGCAAGTCAGAGTTTGTTGCAATTCCTTCACTAAAAATTTTTCAAAATATTTTCAAAATAGGGTTTTTCATTTTTTTTCTCTTATTAGAATATTTTGTGATTTCATTTTATATATGATTAACTTATTAACTTGTTTTAGGTTGGAAGTTTACAGTGCAGCAGCACACTTTGAACTTCATCTTCCTCAACTACAGGTTGGACATACAATATACAGGGTTACACATAAATAAGACTTTAAGGACGACATTTAGAATATATTTTTTTCCTTTCTTTTCTATATCATTTCTTGTACGGTGTATCTATCATAAAATATCATGCTTAAGACAAAAAAATAAATTTCATAGCTTCAGGATGGTATATTTTGTGTACTGTCCCGTTTTACCGTCTGTACGCTGTATTTATTTATACTAAACACTATATTCTAGCTGTTTGAAAGTCAGGACGGTATATTTTGTGTACCGTCCCGTTTTACCGTCTGTACGCTGTATTTATTTATACTAAACACTATATTCTAGCTCCCTGAAGGTCAGGATGGTATATCTTGTGTACTGTCCCGTTTTACCGTCTGTACGCTGTATTTATTTATGCTAAACACTATATTCTAGCTGCTTGAAAGTCAGGACGGTATATCTTGTGTACTGTCCCGTTTAACCATCTGTACGCTGTATTTATTTATACTAAACACTATATTCTAGCTCCCTGAAAGTCAGGACGGTATATTTTGTGTACTGTCCCGTTTTACCGTCTGTACGCTGTATTTTTTTATACTAAACACTATATTCTAGCTGCTTGAAAGTCATGACGGTACTTTAAATGAATTTGAGTTTTCAGTTGAGTAAACATGTAAATTTCTTTTTCGAAAATCATTATTTTTCATCTTTACAGGGATTGTAAAGGAAAAATGAAAGAGGGTATAGGCTGAAACTTGAAAAACTTAGGTTGGCTCTTTTTATGATTTTAATTTAATCACTTTTCAGTTCTAGATATAATTGGTAATATAATTGATATGTCAACTCTATTATCAATTATATGTATTAAAAATTATTAAATTCAAATTATAAAAAGAGCAAACCTGAATTTTTAAGGCTCCTCTGGGATATCGTCGTTTTCAGATTGGTTGTGTATTTGCTGAATATGATCTGTTTAAAACTTAGAATCTTATACCAAATCTCACATATATGAGTTTTGGTATAATTTTGACACAGTTTTACATCAATTTCTCGAGACATGAACTTAAGTTACAAAATAATAAAAAAAACGCGAGAATGAACCTGCATTGGGTATTATTGTTTAGCTTGCTAAAAGAAGTTGGGAAACTGGAAAGCTTTCTACAGAGGAATTCAGGTAAAAATAATTGGGCTGGACCCTAATGTCGTCTTCCACAAAGACATTTTAGATGATTGGTATTAATAAACTCACATGAAAAGAGAAAATTTTTTTTAATATTTAATCTTTAATAAGATTTGATGAGGTGTGCCAAAAGTCTGATACACATTTTCAACGAGGTTTCTAAAGGAGTAATGAAAGAAACAAAGCCAATGCAGAAAATGGTGAGAGGACTGGGACACCTTGCAAACATCATTGACTAGTGCACAGTGGTTTAAAAACCCGATTTCAAATATTACAAATACTAATACTAATTCGTTACTTTGAGTCGTTTAAATTTCTTAATAGACGAGCTATATAACTAAAAATGTTCTGATTCTAAGTTCTTCATCATTTGTGATACAAATTTCATTAAAAACTATTTTTCTATGCAGGCTTCAAATTTTTGGTTTGGGAACTCGGTAAAACTACGAAAAATTTCTTCACTAATCTGAATATTCAGAACTTTCAAAAAGAAAGTTAAGATTTCCAACAAAGTTTTGTTCCAGAAAACTCTGAAATAGGAAGACGACTTTTACAAATAAGTTATAGAAGTATTTTGAGCATGAGACACAGCAATTGTGCAGTGTAAACAGGCACACTTCACTAAATTAGTGATTTATTAAATGTCTAGTAAAACTTTATTTGTTTTGTAACAAACAACATCAGATACGCATGCGCTTAATTTTTCGTTAATGTCGTCTTTTTATTCCATGGTTTTCTGGCTCTCACTGTAGATTAAAATCTAAATCGTTCAGGGAACGTCTGAAGGAACCACATAGCTCTGTACTGAAAGCTATTGAACTGTTGAAGGAGGAAGGAAATGATCTTCTTCCTGAAGGTCAACTCCTGTTACAGGTAGAAATACATTTAAAAAGAAATATTTCGTGTGATCCTCCATTTATAGAGTGGCATGTCCGATTCATTACGGTACCTTTGAAAATGAATGAGATAAACAAACAATGTAGAAAATTGTCAAAGATAAATACTGTTCAAGCTGGAAAAACAACGATATCTTCCACAATATTGATCAGATAAAGGTTTAAAGGGAACCGTTGTGAATCGGTAATGTTCCCCTTTAAATGGATCGGTTTCTGATAGTACATTTATAAAACCCAAGGGTTTAAACAACTCTTAGCTTTTTTTACATGCTTGAAGCTGACAAAAACAAATATAGTAATAACTCAAAATATCGGATTTAAAAAGCGTTGTACTTTTTTCCCCTTACGCAAACTAATCCAATACTTAATTTCCTATATTTAATAATTGACAAAGTCATAAGAACGTTTTTTGAGCTTTCAAAAATGTGGTCTTACTTCCTCTAAAATGGACTGGGATATTAAACATTCAATAAATTGTGTTGTTTTTGAAAAACCGGAATCTGGACGTGGATAAATATCGTCATTATTTTTTAAATTGCTGAAACGAAACCCCACATTTTGCGAATCCCGCAGAGACTAAAATTTATTAGTGTTAAGCGTTCCCTATTGATTGTGCCACTGTGGTTTATTGAAAATTAAACATTTTAGGCTCGTGATACGTTGACTCAGTTAGAAGGATTCATGAAGACAGTTGGATGCCAGTTCTAATCAATCAATCGATCAATACTCAAATTGTTATAAAATTCAATACTTAGAAGAATTTGCTCATAATTTTTTTGGTTTATCAAATTGTACAAAGATCCGACTATTGTTTATTGTTATACTTGACCAACTATTAGTTAATTCACATAGATAAATCTTATACATGTACATCCAAGAAGAAAACTACAAAAGTAACCAATTGGCTTGATTTGTAGGTTATGTACATTGAATAGATCTGTACGTGAGTATAGAGAAATAAAGGCAAAAAAGAACATTTCAGTTTTTCCCAATAGTCAAATATAGAGATAGAGCTTTTAAAATATCTATGAATTTTCTTACAATTGTGATAAACAAATTTGATATTTTGTTTATTAACTGTTCCGGTATGAGTTTCTACTATTTTCTCCAAAGGTTAGCATAATTGTTGAAATAATGTCTTTTTCAGGCTAAAATTAGAAAAAAATACTTTTATTCTTGCCTCTCATTCAAAAACCCATTAAAGAATTATGCTGATCTAAATGTTGATTTTGTTTATCATGATTTCAAGATAATTTACAGAAGTAATGAAATTGAAAGTGCTATATAGCAATAATACTTACCGTGGGCGAAGCTGATATTTCTCTAAGAAAATAAAGCTATATTAAAGTATAACTTACAAATCAAGCCAATTTTTGCTTTTGCATTTATGTTTGTTGGATGTATACACATGTTAAATTTGGTTCTCAATGTGAAATAACCAATATTTGGTCAAGTTAAAACATTTAATGATCAGATTTTTTGTACAATCCTGAAAACCTAATATTTGAATAGTATCATATTTTATTGTTTTTAAACTTTTTCAAAATAAATATCATTTTGTTTTAAAATAACTATACGAGACGGAGAGATACAGTGAGACTCATAAAACTGTGAAAGATGACATTTGCACACCCTGATGTGTATTTGATTTTATTATACAGCAGTTTTACCAGTCTGCACTTTGGATCAATCTATTTCATTTTCTTCAATTATTACATATAAAGCTGTCAATCTTTTTTTTAATTTAATTTATTCTAGCTTGCCATTTTTTGGTGAGAGGAAATCAAGTTTACTGCAGAAAAAAATATGTTTATTTATGTTATCACCAGAAGATAAATATTCTACTAAATTTATGTTATGCAAAAAACAGGTTTAAATATCACAGGTTTGGTTGAGATCACATATACTGAATTTTAAAACCAACGACGTGCAGTAAGGAATATTTTTGAAATAGATTATGTAAATATGTTTTTTTTTTTGGGGGGGGGGGATCGTAACTATTTTTGATTTCATTCCATTTTTCACGTCTTTGACTTCAGCAAAAACCTTCTATGCAAAAACATTATTATAAAAATTATGACTTTTTTAAAGGACTCTCTTCAAAACACTCTTTCCGTGAAATTTTTCAACTATAAGCAAAATTTGTTATTTTGTACTCTACATTTACGTTTTTGGATTGTTAATTAATGTTTGGTTTAAAATCAAAACTGTAAAAATCAAAAGAAATATTACTTGCATGTAAAAAATAAGTAACATTTCAAAATGTTGTCTGATATTAAGCAATTGTTTACATAAATTTACTACATGTTAACAATTATATGAAAGTAATGAATAAAGAACATTATATACTTGATAGATATTCTGACAATGGGTAAATGGCATCTCATAATATTTCTTAAAAATTATCTTGTTTACTATATAAAAATCAAAAAAATTTTGATTTTTGAAAGAAAAAAATAATTATATGTTAGCATTTGTTTTGATTAGTTTGACAATGCTGAATTTGTTCATCGCTTGTACAACCTCGTGTACTGTAGTACTCTTTTATCACACAACTGTACTCAACAAGACAGTACCGTACAACCTTAAAACAATTCCTGGTATGTTTCAAAAAGTTTAACAAAAATATAAAATAACTATTTTTTTTATCAAAATCTGTCATATTTTTAGTCGATTCATCGTCGTATATATCAATACAACGACGAAATTCGATTTCAATTTTGATTTTTACCAATCTCTCAACATTATGGATTCACGTCGTGGAACAAAAAGAAGTTGTCAATTAACAGCTTCTCTTTTTTTGCAAGCTTGCAATTTAAAAAAAGCTTCCTAGAATTCAAAAATCAAATAGAAAAGTCGTTTTCATTGTATTAATAAAATCTTACATTTACACCAGCTGCAGTACACTTAGTTTTCATCCAATCCGTCCACTGGCAACCCTGTACAGCACGAAGGTCAACTTCACGCCAGCTAAACAAATTTAGAATAATTGAGAGTCACATATTGAACGGAGCTGGGAACTTTTATGTCGGATATTATAATTTTGATTGCTTGATTTCGATATCCATTTGGGCACTTTTGATTTGAGGATTTATAAAAACTACGATCTTTTCAAAATATCTTCATTTTAGTTATTCCTCCTCCTCTCTTCAATCCCTGACTAGGTAAAATTACCATGTAGGATATCGAGTAATATTAAATTATTCTGAATATAAAAGATCAAAATCAAGCATTGATCTCGATACCCACAATGGAAGAGTTCCCAGCTCTGAATAGTTTAGAAAACTAAAAAAATGACTTCCCTGTAAAGTGGAGATAAAAAATTATTATTAACCTGGTAAAACAGCTTTGTTCCTGGTATACTTGAAGGAATGTGCTGTTATACTCACTACTTCTACAACAATAGTTCTCATCCAATCCTTAAATTGAAAAAAAAATTAAATGTGGATTTTTTGAAAATATATAAATACCGGTTTAGAGGTATTTTAAAATATTCGACAAGGTTTAGTCAGGGCAAGTGCAGTTGATGTTGTATCAATGGTTTACCCTGGAGTTTACCTTGTGGTTTAGTTATGGTAAGTACATATGTTGTATCTATGGTTTACACAGGAGTTTACCTTGTGGTTTAGTTAGGGTAAGTACAGATTTTGTATCTCTGGTTTACCCTAGAGTTTACCTTGTGGTTTAGTTAGTGTAAGTACAGATGTTTGTATCTCTGGTTTACACAGGAGTTTACCTTGTGGTTTAGTTAGGGTAAGTATAAATGTTGTATCAATGGTTTACCCTGAAGTTTACCTTGTGGTTTAGTTAGCGTAAGTACAAATGTAGTATCTATGGTTTGACCCTGAAGTTTACCTTGTGGTTTAGTTAGGGTAAGTATAGATGTAGTATCTATGGTTTGACCCTGGAGTTTACCTTGTGGTTTAGTTAGGGTAAGTATAGTTGTAGTATTTATGGTTTGACCCTGGAGTTTACCTTTTGGTTTAGCTAGGGTAAGTATAGATGTAGTATCAATGGTTTGACCCTGGAGTTTACCTTGTGGTTTAGTTAGGGTAAGTACAGATGTAGTATCTATGGTTTGACCCTGGAGTCTACCTTGTGGTTTAGTTAGGGTAAGTACAGATGTAGTATCTATGGTTTGACCCTGGAGTTTACCTTGTGGTTTAGTTAGGGTAAGTATAGGTTGTATCTATGGTTTACACAGGAGTTTACCTTGTGGTTTAGTTAGGGTAAGATGTAGTATCTATGGTTTGACCCTGGAGTTTACCTTGTGGTTTAGTTAGGGTAAGTATAGTTGTAGTATCTATGGTTTGACCCTGAAGTTTACCTTGTGGTTTAGTTAGGGTAAGTACAGATGTTGTATCTATGGTTTGACCCTGAAGTTTACCTTGTGGTTTAGTTAGGGTAAGTACAGATGTAGTATCTATGGTTTGACCCTGAAGTTTACCTTGCGGTTTAGTTAGGGTAAGTACAGCTGTAGTATCTATGGTTTGACCCTGAAGTTTACCTTGTGGTTTAGTTAGGGTAAGTATAGATGTAGTATCTATGGTTTGACCCTGGAGTTTGAACAACAGATCTAAACCTCTCATATCTTCAGCGCGACATTCTAAGGTCAGGGTCAAATCTTCAAACCTAAATAAATAATGTTTTTATTTCTGACCATGAGTTGAGTTCCTCTGTGTTCTGTATTATTGAGTAAGTCGACAATTTAAAAGTGTCCCAACGATTCTTTACAGAGATCTATATTTTATTTAAACATAAATATTGGATATATTTTGGAGGATTTTCTAAAATTACTGATGAATTTTAAAAGGATAAACGGAAAATAAACTATAAAAATATATACCAAGATAAAAAAGGCCCCGATGCAATTGAGCACGTTAATATTACTCTTATGTTAAATATTAGTTAAAAATAGCATTGAAAGGAATTGAGTCTTTGCTAACAGACTCAAATTTTCTTATCCCTAAATCTTTACAACCTGATTGTGAAACTTTTGATATTTATTTGATATAATTAAATTCATAATAAGAAATTATTTAAAATTCGGTGATGGTGATGGACCAAACCTCTGTAGAGTGAAAAAAGTAGATGTTAGTTCCACATTTATTGAAAATATATTTCGGTCTGGGTTGACCCTCGTCAGTTCTTGAGATTTTTTCTGTCACAAAGTTAAAAACAAACACATTGTGTTGCAAAGATAAAGGGTTTATGAAATCATAGTTTGTGGCAAAGACTCAATTTCTTTCCAAGATATTTTATCTTGTAAATGAGGTTTCTTACTTTGAGAAAAATGAAGAAATACATCGTCGACCATACTGTGTACATTCTCCCTAAAATAAAATAAATTTTCATTTCATTTTCGTTACTCAAATTCTATTCTATAAACTGACTTGGGAACCCAGCTTTGCCTGAGTTTTCCCTGAAAAATGCACCTCAGCTTAGAATCTTTAAACCAAGCTAAGAACATTCCCGTGGTTATCCCAATTTCCCCAGTCAAAATTGGTCTCTGGGTTCATAAGTAGGTATAATAATCGGACATGCAAACAGACAAACAAACAGAAATTAATTCTTATTTTATTTTTATTTTTCAAAAGTCAGTATATTGAACGTAGACGTAACCGCTTTGTCCTTATTCTTTAGATTTTACTTCTTTTAGAGTTAAATTAAACGAAAAAATCAATTTCAAGAAAATTTTCTTTACTTACCTTTACACAAATATTCTCAAGAATGGATCCGTTGTTAGATAAATATTTTCCACCAGAACAGGGTCCCTCTACACCAAAACTGTATTCACCTAAACAATAAAAAGAAAAATATTCAAAATGTTTTTTCAATTTAAATTCAGAATGCACACAACAATAATTATAGGTTTTAAGGATATAACATAAGAAGTACAATTCACAAAAAAAGGTTTAATTTAAGTGTATCATTGTGATGGGAAATGCAACTCATTAGATTAAGTATAGGGGCACTTTAAATTATGTCTACAGTCACTTTAAATATGAACTCATTACTCATGCCTCGTTAATTACATCACTAATTTACGTAATAAATAATAAAATCTAATAAAGTTGAGGAATCTGAAGAATGTGTATTCAGCTACTGCTCATGAGAACAAACCATTGACGATCCTTTTTTTCAAAATATAATTTCACGTTTTGTGCGTAGAAAATGGTTTTAGCTGAATCATAAATTCCTTTGATAAGGCTTGGCAGTGGCAAGCAGGATAAAAATTGTGATTCTCTTGGTTAGATGTTTTAGAAGGTATACCATCAATGTAATTGTAATTTGCAGTATTGCAATTATTCTGCAAGCAAGTCTAAAAAATCTGCATGCAACTATGTAAGTATCGAGAGAAAAAAATGTTAAACCTTCAAACGAATTTTAACATAACGCTATACCATGCGCAGTTTTTTTTTTGACTATTTTGCAAAAGCTTTTTACTAAAACATTAGTTTTTGACTTTTTTACTAAACAGTGGACACTGTACATTTGTTCAAATGGTTTCAATGACATAACAAAATTGAATAATGAAGAATTCCAAAAACAGATAAAGTTTGCCAAAATAATTTCTGTGAACACTAAACAATAAGTACAGAGTGATTTATGTTCTTTTTAGGCAAAAAATAGCAATGCCCGACATTTAAAAATATATAAATTTTTAATATTTTTGACCTCCTAGGTTCAAATCCTTTCTCCTGCTACAGGAAAATAATTTCTTAAAGTCTGGAACTGATTCCTCGTACACTATTGATATCTGCCAGGAATAGAAACATTTAACTTTTAAAAATGAATCTCTTTATTGAGATTGACATATAAAGACCAAGATTTTAATTGGAATGGTATTCTCTGAAAAAAGGGTAAAAATAAAGATTGGGTAAAACCTTCTTTAAGCAATATATGGTTGTTGAGAAACCCAATTTTTAGAATAAGCTCTCGAGCGCGAATGGTTTTGGAAATTCTCTCAACATAAAAAATTTGGACTTCAATCTAAAAATAAAATAAAGTTGAATATAATATTGATAAAATAAAAAAGTATATATAGATAAAATCATTGTTTTTTTTCATACGTAAAGCTAGGAACTGAGTTCTTGCCTGAAACATATCAAGTTAATCTAAGTGAAGTACGCCACAAAAATTTTTTTTTTCGGCTCAATTTGTTTATAGTTTCTTTTAAATAAAATGCCTCCCTTGTTGTTCTTATTTTGTAGAAAAGCATCATATTTTCTCCAATCAGGTTCCCGGACCATTAAAACAGGGATATTTTCTACTCCATCTATACAGATAATAATTAAAAGTAGAAAATGAAAAATACAATTTTGCAACAAAAAAATGCAAAAGAGTTGATTAAAACTGTGTAAGGGAGAGTCCCTGTATTTGATGTAATTATTGTATTTATCTGCCAACTAGGTTTACAAGACAAAACAGTGTGGTACACTGTGATTTACAAACTAGACTTGAAGGTGCGCCCAAGAGTACTTTAGATCAGTTAAGTTCATAAAGAAGACTCAGAAGAAGAAACAAAACCTGATCACTGAGAGGAGACTTTAAAATTTAAAAAAATATTTTTATAAAATGACATTTCAAATCCTATAAATTTTCAAAATATTCAAGATCAATTGTGAATATTATTATCCCCAAAAAAAAAAATCAAGTTCCTATTAAGTAAGTACAATATCATTAAATGAAGAGACTGACGTAGATATTTTAGGTCACCCTTCATTTAAACACGGGCATGTCTAATTCACAGCTGTACCCTTTAAACCTTTATCTGTTAAAATAAGTGGAAGTTTTACAGCTAGAAAAGTGTTTAATTTCTTTCTTTATTGCTTTAGAAAATATTCTCAAATCCCTTTTATAAAGAATACATTAGAAATCTGGACATCTCTATATTCTAGATAATACGAAGGGTTTAAGGGTAACATTGCTAATTTAAATATATTGAAATCACGCCTACAGTCCCTTTAAGACGTACGCCGCCAAGAAATTGAAAAAAAAAATCCACGAAGAATGTGGAGATTACGTCAGAGATAAACTATTCCATTCTGTTTAGTGTTTCGTAAAACTAGAAAATTCTGGTCAGTGAAATAGTGAGATACTGTGACCGCTCCCTACTTTAAAATAAAAGTAAGAAATTTGTCCTGTGTGGACCTAATCATACAGTGTGGACCTAAACTTATTACCACCAATTCACAATTACTAAAACTTTAGTTGTGTGTGAATCATAGCACTGTTTTTTTTTCTTGGTTTTTTGAAATCAAACTTTATTGTGTGAAATAATGAACTGAATAATAAAATGAAATCTAATCTTACTTTTTTATGCTCGACGGTAAAGTAATTGAAGATCTTTTTTATTTCTTATTTTAGCTCTGGCTGGTCAAACGGCTGGACCGAATTGGATGAAATTTTTTTCAGGAAACTCAAGGGTCATCGGGGGTGACATAGAAATCTAAATCCGAAATTTTAAAAATTCCACGGACAACGCCGGGAACTTCGTTAGTTGTTTATAATCTTGAATTAAGAGAAAAACTTACAAGTTTGTTGATATTTTGAAGAGTTGATATTGTATGGAGAGGATACCCTCCATCTATTGACTGGTGTTGAGTCTAGTATCACAATACCAGATGATCCAGTGCTGAAATATAATTTGACATTCAGAGAGCTTTGTTTCCATTTTTTGACGTGAATTTCTTATTCAAATCTTTTTTTTAAAAACAAAAATGGATTTTTGTTGCTTATTTCGTTTTCAATATATTTTTAGCTATAAACAATAATACATTTTCATGATTCCGCGCAAAATTGTTGAACATTTAGTAAAGCCATTTATACGTTTTTGAGAAACATAGAAATGTTTTAAAACTTTACCTCTGAGTGATATTATAGAAATGTGTCCTACTGAGAAGAATTCTACAAAGAGGACTACTAGAGTTTACAACTAGAATTCGTCCGGTGAAATCAGAGTTTTCGTCTATACTACAACTAGTCTCTACTCGTCCCACTAAAATTATCATTAAATGATTAAAAACGATTTTTTAAATTTTAATTGGTAAATAGTAAATAATATCTTCTTTTTTAACGTCAAGTTCAAACCTTTTGATTGCAGAATCAAAACCACGTGTTTAAACCCAAAATGGCGGATAAATTACCTATGAATTGTCGTCTTCCTGTATCGTGAACTGGAAACGCGGCAAGGATTCCTAGATCTACTTGTGTTGAGTCGTCTTGCAATAAGAATATATACGGCTGCGTTGAATTGTTTAACTTGAAACCTAAATGATAAAAATTGTTTTTTTGACCAAACAATTTATGATTTTTTCTTATTTCTTTACTTAAACATTTGATGAAAAAAAAATGGGGAGTTTAAACAATCAGAAGATTGTCTGACAGTTAAATAATGTAAATTACTGGGGAGCAATTTAAATAAAAAGTGACACACAATTTTCTGTTTTTTGACCTCCCTTAGTGTCACATGAGGTCCAGCAAACAAATGTTTCTATCCAAGTAACATATTAAGGAGGCATATATACAAACTAAATATATTGACTCCTACCTACAAGAGCTATAAGTGGGGGAAGAGCTAGAAGTGCGGAGAGGATAAAGAATATTCCAACCCGTCCTGTTAGTGAACTACTTATTCCAAACCCAGCGCGTTCAGCTACATCATTCCTAAACAGAGATGAAGTCTTTGACACGAACTCAAATCGTCTAATCCATAAATGTATATTCGCAACATGATGGTGTAACTGTAAACCCTTGATATTTCAAACATAGGCTAAATGATTTAACAGAAATTATAGTTTGAAATATCTAAGGTCTACAACATTGGGTTTCAATGATATAGAGATTATAAAATCAGAATTTGTGGCAAAGATTCAACTGTGAAAAGATGTATGTCAAGTTATTTGTTATGTTGCAAAGGATATTGTAATTTATAACTGATTTATTTCTAAGCGTGCGTGGAAAACTATCAGAAATTTATCCATTCATCTTACAAATTCCAATACAAACCTTTTCATAATAAATAGAATGAAAACGACTATCGTGTCACAGTTGTATATAGTAAGTAAAGTTAAAACAGAAAGTTCAACTATTTAAAATTAAACTCATGATTAGTTTTTTGGTTTTATTTGACAATATTAACGATAATGCAACAAATATTCATTATTTTCTTATGTTAAAATTATAATTTTTATATTTTTTTTTCAAACCTATTTTTTTCCGAATTTTCTTCCGAATCCGAGCAGAGAGGAGAGAACAGGCTCCAAAGCGTATCCTGGAGAAGAATTTTATTTTATATTATGATTTTGTCTGTTAAAATTCTAAATTGATATTCTGTGGAGCCCCTGATCTGCATACTGCAGTACTGTGTGTACTGCAGCCTGGTTCTAGAACAATCCACCTTACTATATGAACTCATTGTATATTCTATGAAATACAGTATTCTACAGTAGCTTGTCTTGTTCACTTGACAGTAGTTCTACAATTCAACAATTTCAGAGATTGGGATTATAAAGCTAGTTGTTGTTGTTAGTGGGAGACACCCCCTCCCAGTACAGTTTAAAAAAGGTTAATAATGGCAAATGGTAAATGCATTGCCTCATACATTAAAAAAGATTTTTAAATATTTTTACCTTCAGTGGATGTTTGAGCTCATAAGATAGAAGAACAGTTAGCAACCACATACATACTAAACAGTAGACAATACAGCCAACAAAGTTGACAGTTAAAAAATTCATTTTCAAGGAGTTGGAATAAGTAGGAAGGGTGTCTTTAATTTGTATTCAACAATCTTTAAATTTGCAGAGCTGTCTTTTGATATTTTTTTATTTAAATTTGTAAAAAAATGTACACAGCAAAAAGCGGAAAATTTATGTTTGATGGGTCAAATTGGGATCGAAAGTCACATCTTGCTGAACTAAGAACAAAACTGTTAATTTGCGGGGTGGGGGGAATGAATGTGTTTTCTTTCTTTTGAATGTCGTCTTTGTTTTATCTCTTTTTCTATGCGCAAACCCTAAAAAAGCACTGTTTTAATTAATAATAACGGACAGAAAGCTAGATATATTCACCTAATGTTGAGAAACTATAGAAAACCAGAAAACTAGATATATTCACCTAGTATTGAGAAAACTATAGTAAACCAGAAAGCTAGATATATTCACCTAGTATTGAGAAAACTATAGAAAACCAAAAAGGGTCCAACACATTGCTGTTGTAGTTGAACTCGGTGAATGTGACCAGAATCCAGACCAGGACTAGGACCAGGAGTAGGACGGAGTTGTACAGGAGGACTTGACGTCCTAAAACTCTATTCTGCCAGGACAGCAAACTTTTTATATTTATCTCAGGGTCTAAATGAGAAAAAATATCAGAGACCTAATTTAATGAATTACCAACCGACGTTTTAAATCCATAAATCACCGATTCAAAGTTAACGATTAAATGGAGAGTGAAGCGGCGATTCATGATTTGAACTGGCGGTACGTAGTTCAACGACTTCTCGCAATTCATAAATTCCTGTCCAAATTACACTTATATAAACTTTTATTAAAAGTTCGAGATTCATTTACTTTTTTAATTCTATAGCATTTTATTTTATTTTGTTTTATTTTATTTTATTTTATTTTATTTAATTAAATACTTGTTTTCCACTTCGAATGATTAAATTTGAAATTGGAATAATATATTTTGATGTTAGATACAAGTTTTTTAGAAGAACAAAATTATTTAGATTTAAAACTTGTTTACCTATTGCTGGAAGAGGTTGGAGGGTTGAGCAGAATGGTTTGATATGAGAATGGCAGGATGGGAAGAATAGACCGGAAAGAGAATTGAAAAATATTGACGTGTTTGTCTCGTTAATCGCGCGAGGGAGGGACGAATTCTCACTCCTGAATTTTAAAAGTATGGTTAATTATAAACCTCAATTTACAAGTTAAAATTTATAGTTTTAATCCCTGACTTGACTGATAGAAATTCTACATGTTTTCAATGAGAGCTCATTTTTTTCCGGAGAGAACATTTTAAGTTTTTTTATTTAAATTATGCAACTTAATAAATTAGGTTTACTACATAAACTGAAAGCTAGAGGGCACTGCAAACCAAGATGTGTACGCTCTCACTAAAAAATCGAGCAGTATTTTGACAATTACTTCTAGTGAAACAAACTCGTTGCATTTTTTAAATAAATATGTCAAGGGCTACAAAAAAGTAAGAGTAAGTTAAACCAAAGTGAAAGGCGTTGCGACAATCTCAAGTGGAGTCTGTCTGTTGGTTTTCTATAAGACTGAATAGTCGACAAATAAGTTTGTTAATTTCAAATGAAAACAATAGTTTTCAAAAATAATATTTAATAATCACCTGGCATAACTAATCTGAGAGATGTATCTATTGAAGAGCTGTAGAGGACCATCAGGACGGATTCCATCCTTCTCATCCGGTCCTTCAATACATGGACTGCCGGGTTCAGAGAATACAAATATATTCTTACTTATCTCTGATCCTTGCATCTTTAAGGACTTCGGGGAAGGAGAACCTTAAAGTTAAAAGAATTTAAAATTTATCACAGCTTACAAAGATTCAGTCTGCTATGAAATAATTGCAACCTTTAAATCACAATAAACCAATCTAAGTTCTGGATTATGGATTTGATGAATGTGATATGGTTATCCTCTTTTAAAATTTACAGCTTAGTTTGCTGGAAAACCTTGTAATGAAATCATTGAATTGAATGCTAAAGTAATTTTATAGATATACAATATAATTTCGGACCTACCATCTTTATCCTTTCTAGAATCCGAATTCTTGACCAAATCTGCAGTATTGAAAGATTTAAGATTTTGCGGAGCTAGGATGGTTCGATCCCAACCTATTTCTTCTCCAGGTACTGCGTTGAGTATAGTCTGGTTCCAACCTATCTCCTCATGTTGCTGATTATCCACAGTGTTGAACCCAGATGTAAAATAAGCCAATCTAATAAAATAGTTAAAGGCTGAAACTTTATACAGTGAGACCCCCTAATAACGAATACATCGGAAGAATTTATCAAATGTCGTCTTGACAATTTTTCAATGAGTATTATACTATACTACGTAAATTTTAGTATTAGCGAAAATAAATAAATATCCATGAATATGCAAGAACAGTTTTAAAGAGTTCCATATAATCATTTAATTAAAAAACTAAATATCTGCAACATTCCATTATCAGAAAGTGAAGAATACGACATTTGATGAATTCTTTCGATGTATTCGTTATTAAGGGTTTCACTGTATCAATCTTCCATGATTTAGATATTAACGACATTATTATTTTTGCATTAAAATTTTTACTTTACCTAATTTCTCTTTCTGGAGTCCCTGACGGTCTACTGCCAGAAGTTGATCTAAACGCACTCGGATTTAACAGAAAACTAGGACTTTCGATCACAATTTGACTTTTTCTCTATTCTACTTTGTAGTGGCTGTTTCGTTTTTAATAAAATATATTAAAAAAAAACTATAAGGTAAGATTAAAGATTGTTGAATTATAAAAAAAATGTGATGACAGCACTATATAAGGAATGTAAAAGTTTCATCTAACAAATGGAATTAAGTTTTTGCCACATGCTCAATTTTTCTAATCCTTTATCTTTTAAATCCGACGATGTAAACCTTTGATGTTTCAAACTCAGATTATTCGATCCAACGGAATTGAAATATCTAAGGTCTATTTGCTTGAAAAGATATAGGGATTAGAAATTCAGAGTTTGAGGCAAAGACTTCATCACTGTTGGAGTATCGGAGCCAAATTCAACAATTAGCAGCATCATTCATCAAATTTTGTAAAATGAAATTTAGGTTTGGGGTAGTTCATAATAACTATTTATAACACTGTTATTTTGGTTCGCAGTCTTTGGACAGAAATTATCTCTTTATCGAGAAGGTTCAAGCCTTTTTGGATTTAATTTTGTCCTGAGCTTTAGCACGTTTATTTCACGACGAAGTGATTAAGAATGATAAGGTACACAATAGTTTCATAAAACTTAAAAGGGACTAAAAGGACGGGCCCCCTTCCCCTTTTATCAAGGAATATTTAAATATTTACCTGTAAAGTCTAGTAAATGAGAATCCAAACGTTACAAGGTTACAGAGTAGTAGGATAGTGAAAGGTATACAGGACCAGTAATCCAAGTAAACTGAATAATATAAATTCAGAATTTTATCGTATTTTTCCATTTTGCACAGAAAATATGCACCGCAAAAAAACGTTTCATCGGTATTAAATGAAAACTATAATATATTCTCTGCAATACTGTGTACAGTTTTATTTCAACTACGTTAACAAGCCATGCATGTCTCTTCCTCTAAAAGGAGGCAAAAAAAATAGTAAATTAAAGAAATCTGTATGTATAATAAAGCTCTTGATTCATATATTTATATTTTTATGTTAGCTATAGCTGACCAAACGGCTGGACCAAATTTGTGGAAATTGTTTGTGGAAACTCATGCTTTGCTAAAATTAATTCGAAAATTTGTCTAACGGGTAAAAGCCGGCACTTGAGCTAGTGTCTATTAAAATAATTGTACCTACCTAGTATAAACGAATATGCAAATATTCTAAATATAATGTTGGAGAGGGAAAATGGAAGATAACACAGAAATAGCTGAAGAGATGAGTTTAGGAAACCTAAACCACATTCCTAAAAGCAAATTATTAGCATTTTTTTGGACTGAAAAAAAATTCTCATCGCTTATTTGAAAAGCAAAAATACATTTTTCTTAAATAAAAAAAACAGAAAGCAAATGTTTACTCGCCTAAATGTTATTTTATCGTTGAAATCTTATTTCAAAATTTAAATTCTGCTCGATCAAATAGTTTGAAATACAAAAGGTTTGCACCATCAGTTTTCAAAGATATTGGGATTAGAAAATTAATTTGTAGCGAGTAATCAAATTCTTTTCAATTAAAGTGTTTTTATTAACCTGATTAGCTAGAAGAGGATGAATGTTAAGATCAAACATTGATTTTATAATTGACAAGATTGAAAATGTGATCGCTAGCATTGGTATTGAGGGAAGGCAAGCTACTCTGCCCAGATTATCCTCTATACAGGAAGACGACGTGGACTCGTTCCACGGTAGTGTAAGAATGCCCCGTAACATTAAATAAAGGATAATTATCAGCTGCAATGGCGCCTCAATAGACGCAGTGATGGATTTTATCTCATGTGCCTTTCTTTCAACTTCACGATACCGTCGCCGCTGTTCCCAGGAACTCCTTAATTGAAAAAAATCATTGGAATAAAACATTTTTTCATTTTTTTTTTTGCTTTAGTCTAAAAAAAAATACCTTGGAGTGATCAGTAGTAGGATATAGCATAGGGTTGGAATAAGGGGGAACAAACAGATATACAACAGAATCAAAACCTAGTTATAATTAAAAATTTTATAACTAATAATAATTATGATAAATGATATCTGCAAAATAATAATGATAATAATAATTATTGCAGTCAAAAAAAATAATAATAATAATAATAATAACAACAACAAATATAATAATAAAATAATAATAATAATAATAATAATACCAGAGCTTCAAAGGTTCCCCTTGTTTTGAAAATATCCTTGTAAGTGCCTAGGCCTAAGTGTAATGGAACAGATATACTAGGAATCCAGCAGGTTACAAGCAAACATATTCCATACGGGAAACTAGAAATAATATTATATGTTCAAAGGGACTAGAATTGTAATTTAAAGTGACCCTCCAATAAAAGATGGCCATGCTGATTCAAAACGGAAAACTGAAAAGCTTTGTCTGATATCAACATTTATAATTTAGAAAGCTGATTGTTTTTAATTGTGGTTTCTTTGCAAAAGAGACTTGCGCATTTCTATTGCAGGAAAGCATACAGTTAAACCCTACATAAGCCATACATCGAAAGAAATTATCAAATGTCGTATTCTTCACTTTCTGATAATGGAATATTGCAGATATTTAGTTTTTTAATAAAATGATTATATGGAGCTCTTTAAAACTGTTCCTGCATATTCATGGCTACTTATTTACTTTCGCAAATACTGAGGATTACGTAAAATAGTATAAAACCCATTGAAAAATTGTCGAGACGACATTTGATAAGTTCTTTCGATGTATGGTTCATTTAGGGTTTAACTGTATGCAAATTATTAAATTAAAACACGTTATAAACTATAAAAACGACAATATTATTCAACATTATTGATCAGATAAAGGTTTTAAGCTTATCGCTGTGAATCAGGCATTTTCATGTTTACATTTGGATGGTCTCTTGAAATTACACTTTCAGTCCCTTCAATAGCGTTTATTTCATAACACAAAATAGGTCAAATAATAAAACAAATGTTCTATGTTTGTATAAATAGTGTATACAATACAACGCACGGGCAGCCGTAGTACATTTGAATTTCCGAGCCGGGTCAACCTATCCGGTCCAGACATTGGGTTAATAAAACAGACACTCCATAGGACTAGCCGGTGCAACAGGGTTGACGCGGTCAGGCATTAGGTTGAATTTACTTTTACGTAACATTGTTTAAGCCTATCCTTTGTGCATATGATGATGTTGAAAACACAGTAGTTTAACTGGTAACTGGGAAATCAATTTATTGAGTGAAATACGTCTGTGGACACTGAACAATTGTTTCATGTATATTGGATTATCAAAATCATGGCATGAGGCGCAGTTCCTATTCAACAATTTGTCGAAAGAAAATTACTTTATCTGAATATTGAAATTGTCAACATTATTGTTATATTATTAAAACCCCAAAATTTAGTAAGTGCGTAAAGCTTAAAGCCATGCATTTTTTTGGCTTGGGGAGTTTTTCAAGTTTTATCAAAGATGTTTCTGAAAAACTATACCTGACAGAGCTAGGTCCATCTAGGATAAGATTAATAGCTTGTATAAAACTATACCTGACAGAGCTAGGTCCCTCTAGGATAAGATTAATAGCTTGTATAAAACTATACCTGACAGAGTTAGGTCCCTCTAGGATAAGATTAATAGCTTGTATAAAACTATACCTGACAGAGCTAGGTCCCTCTAGGATAAGATTAATAGCTTGTATAAAACTATACCTGACAGAGTTAGGTCCCTCTAGGATAAGATTAATAGCTTGTAAAACTATACCTGACAGAGTTAGGTCCCTCTAGGATAAGATTAATAGCTTGTATAAAACTATACCTGACAGAGTTGGTCCCTCTAGGATAAGATTAATAGCTTGTATAAAACTATACCTAACAGAGTTAGGTCCCTCTAGGATAAGATTAATAGCTTGTAAAAAACTATACCTGACAGAGCTAGGTCCCTCTAGGATAAGATTAATAGCTTGTATAAAAACTATACCTGACAGAGCTAGGTCCCTCTAGGATAAGATTAATAGCTTGTATAAAAAACTATACCTGACAGAGCTAGGTCCCTCTAGGATAAGATTAATAGCTTGTATAAAATCCATGACTACATCCCCCAGACTGATACCAATATCAACAAATAGAATCTAATTAAATAAATTAATTAAATTAAATTATTGAAAGATACCTTGCAGGTTCTCGAGGTAATTTTGTTAAAGGAACTGTCGTTGGTATTTCAAGTAACCCTTCATTTAAAGAGGAACATGCACCATTCACAATGGTACCCTTTAAATCATTATTTGATCAATATTGGGGAAGAAATCGTCATTTTCAGAGCTTCAATTTTTCTGTAGCGTGAAATCTGCAAGTTACTATTACAAAGAAACATTTGTTAAAATAACCCATTTGTTCATGGATAAGTCCTTCGTTCTGATCAGACAAAGCTTTCAAGGATACCGTTGTAAGTCGGACATGCCAATTAATAAATGGAGTGCTCACTTAAAACTATGAACAGTCCCTTTAAAACCATCTCTTTACAAAGAAATGTCATGTCAATTGGAAACTGTTGTCTTTACATAGGTTTAATAGGCTTTCATGTAATTCTGGTACCTTGTTCTGGAAAATTCCGGAACGATTTTTCCGAAAACTTTCCGGAACGAAATTTCGGAACATTCCGGAAATTTCCGGAAGTTCCGGATTTCCGGACTATTCCGTAATTCCGGAACAACGTTCCGGAAATTTCCAATTTACGAGAAAAAATCGTTCCGGAATTCCGGATTTCCGGAACCTTTTCCATAATGGAAATGGAAAAAATTTCCGGATCATTTCCGTACGTAAACCGTAACCCGGAATTCCGGTGGAAACCCTAATTAAAACCATCTCTTCGCAATGGAATGTCATGTCAATTTAAACCCTCTCTGGATTCAATGATTTTTCAAATATTCTGAGAGTGAATGATACATTTCATTTTTTATATTTTGATAAAAAGTTGTATATGCATACACATGTATGTGTATAGGTATGTGTATATATAGAGTTACAATCCTTATCAATATATAAACTGAATCCTAGATATGTGATCTACCATCAACCTTTAATCCAGGCCTAACTTACAGGCAGACCTTGATATATATATATCAGTATTTAAACTTAACATTTTTTAAAAATATATATATATTTTTTATGTTATTCATATATATATATATATATATATGTACGAATAAAATGTTTTTTAGAAGATTGTGGGGCACCCTTATTCTTATTAACACTCTTATCTTAGCTTTTCGTTTTAAAAACTAAAAATTGTAATCAAAATATCCGAAAACTGTCTTTTTGAGTCAGTGCTTCCAACTTAATCAGATTTAAAGGGAGTGACCAGCTATGTAAGGTAGTTGAACTGAGTATGCAGTGTTGTGGCAAACTTCTTTCGGATTCATTTTAGACATATTAAATTTTTTAAAGATCTGCAAATCCTGAGTTTGAGCGCAAATTCGAAGTTCAAAACTCCTACTTTGGGGGTAGATACGTTTTCAGAATTATTTTTTTTTAGTTATTAAATAACTGATTTAAATGTGCTAAAACTGCATTTCTTTTGATAAAACTTAATCTTGACTTTAGACGTCAACAAAATATTTTAAACTCAATAACAAGAAGTTCTAGAAGTTCTAATATCTCATTAAATATTTCAAACTCAATAACAAGAAGTTCTAATATCTCATTAAATATTTCAAACTCAATAACAAGACGTTCTAATATCTCATTAAATATTTCCAACTCAATAACAAGAAGTTCTAATCTCATTTTGGGAGTGCAATGTGCATATCTAATGCCTATTCAGTTAGAGTAAAAATTGTGTCTAGAAGTATAACTGCGATTTAAACAAAACAAAAAATTATTTTATAATGAACAGATATCAATAAAATTAGGATGAAAGAGCTGCTAAATGCACATTCTTTGTGTATTGGTCAGAACAAAGAAACAATATCTAAACTTTTCTAACTTTGTTTTTTTAATCTTTTTGTTTTTTTCATTGAACCAAGAATAATTTAATTTAGTGTTCATGAATAGATCAAGAGGAAAAATGCTCAAATAAAGGGTGAAACAAAAATATTGATTTTCTTCTCTTTTCCTGGAAAAATAATCATTCCTTTATGAAAAGCTTTTTTTATGCAACAATTTATATTTAATCACGCGAAACCAGATAATTTAGTTTTGATTTTCAGCTTAAGTACAAAGTATATGGAAGGCAAATACATCCGGTCACAAATTAGAAAGAAATGCTGGAAATTGTTTGTTTAGAATGCTGGAAAATAAATCATCTATTTTCTCTTACAAATGTGGAAACTTAGATTCTAGAAATTATTCAGCAGTTTATTTAGTCTTCATAAGATAATTTTTGTTTTCAGTGAATAATCATAATGAGTTTTGTTTTGAATTGTGGATTACACTAAAAAAACGCAAAATCAGGTTTTGTCTTGAAAACGCGACAATGATTCTAATTCAGGATATGTTCAAAAATTCAAAACGTAACATGCATGTTTTTATTAACGACTTTTACTCTCGATGGGCCGGGATCTTAAAAACCCAATCTTTCAATGTATGCCCATTTCTCACACTCAGTGTTAGAAATGGGCCAGCTGAATTAGTCTAATGTCTCCTGTACTAGTGAGGTTCCAAAACTGGATTTGTTATTTTGTAGAGAATTTATTCAAAAATGGTAGGAATTTTGTAATTAAAAAAAAAACCCTAATCTTGACCTAGTTTTGGGAAGATTAGCAAAAAATAGACACGCCCTAATATGAAATACGCCTACGTACGAACCAGAAATGCAACAAAGAATAAGATGTGCCGGAGGGGGGAGGGGGTGGGGTATAAAATTGATTAGATTGCCGTGATGATAAAATTAAACCGCAAAGGTGATATAAGGCCTGCAGAAGATTCAATTGGTTACACTTTTTAACGTTCACTGAACTGGGTTGAAAGGATAATTGGAAAAGTATGGGCGGCCCTAAAATGAGTAAAGAATTTTAAAAACTCAATAAACCTAGGGTCATCATCATTTTAAATTGATAGCCAATAGTTTACCTTTAGAAATATGAGCCTGATAAATGCATCTATAATCGGGGCCGTGAAGCTAGATTTACGCGAATTCCCCCTTTTCCCACTTCTTTCCTCTACTTGCAGTCCTTCTCTTCTTAGTAGTTTGTCCTGTGTTAGTTCTAAGTTGGAAGATTTGCTCTTTGACATAATTCCATCAGGTTCATCGTGTACAGCCTGTACAAAACAAAATGGAGGATCAATAATAAATACAAGATGGAGGATCAATTATAAATACAAGATGGAATATCAATTATAATACAAGATGAAAATCAATTGTAAATACAAGATGTAGGATCAATTATAAATACAAGATGAAAATCAATTGTAATTACAAGTTTGAGGAACAATTTTAAATACAAGATGGAGGATTCGTTATAAATACAAGATGGAGGATCAATTATAAATACTAGATGGAGGATCAATTATAAATACAAGATGAGAATCAATTGTAAATACAAGATGGAGGATTAATCATAAATACAAGATGAAAATCAATTGTAATTACAAGTTTGAGGATCAATTATAAATACAAGATGGAGGATCAATTATAAATACAAGATGGAGGATCAATCATAAATACAAGATGAAAATCAATTGTAATTACAAGTTTGAGGATCAATTATAAATACAAGATTGAGGATCAATTATAAATACAATATGAAGGATGAATTATAAATACAAGATGAAAATCAATTTTAAACACAAGTTGGAGGAGCAATTATAAATATAAGATGGAGGAAAAGTAATGCCTACCTTTTTACAAGAAAAGCACCAGGTTTCAGACCCTTTATCCATCTTTTCGCTTAGCTCTGCCACCTATATGATAGTAAACACAATAAAATTTTTAAATCTTACCAGAAAAAAAACATTTTTAGACAGCGATTAAATTCCTTGATTTACAATGCTTCGGTTTTGTTTGACCGTTTTATAACAAGAAAAGACAACACTAATTTTACCTGAAGCTCTCTGTAGTCCTGTTGAATTATTCTTCTGTCACTTTCTCCAACCTTCCGGTCATATCTCTCGGATATTCTCGCTTCCCGGTCAAATCCTTCCGAGCTTCTTTTCTGTCTGTCAGAGCTTCTTCCCTGCCCGTCCACTTCATCTGCTCCTCTTCTCTCATTTCTTCTGTCTTCTCTACGTTCCTCAGAATTTGTATCAAACTGGACTCTCAGAGATTTGTTGGAATTTTGAGAATCTTCGGACATATTTCTTCGTCTTCTCTTGCTATTGTTCGAGGGTCTAGAAAATTATCTTTTTAAGAAAATGACACATTTTACAAAAATTTTTGATATGCAGTTATTTTCCGAACCAGATATTTATATAAGCTTGTCTGAAAATATCTAAAACCTAAATATTAATGCTGTAGGAAAAATAATTAATGTATTTTTATAAAAACAACATTTTTTAAAAACTATACTTGATAATAAATAGCCTTTAAGTTTAAGTCGATTTAAACTCAAAAGCATCGAAGCATTTTATGGTCATGAGATGAAGATAATGGAGATAATGCGATATTTTACATTACACTGTAACTTTATACAGAATGTAAAATTTGTGCGACATTAGTAATATGACTTTGTGACCTCGTAGCTCCTTTAGTTTTGATTTTATGTGGAAGTATGAGAAAAGCAAATTTATCTGGTTAAAAGTTTCGTCTATAGAAGTTCTTCTAAATAATAAACATTACCCCCCCCCCCCTCCATCTGGAAACATTGTAGTGCACTATACCTGGATGTACAAGGACACTGTATACAAGCCGTATAAACAGATGTACCCTGTCTGTTCCAAGATGTCCGTATCTCCTCGTCTAAAGGGCCTGAAGGACCAGTAGGACTGGTAGGGCTAGGTAGAAGGACATCTAAAGGGACTGTTAAGGATTCTCTCCAACTGAGGTGTCGAACTGCTGGAACCTAAATTAATTTTTGATCGTCTTTGATAGCTTTCTAATAAAAAAGTGTGAATAAAAAAAGGTTTATCGGCAAAAGTGTTAAAGGTACACAACATTATAAAACTTACCAATAACTGAAAGTTTTAAAACAAATCATTTTCAAAGATTTTATCAACTTTCATATATTGTGGGACACCCTGTATGTAACGTAAAATATTCTTTCTTACAGGAACTGGATTTAATGAATTTGAACTAGGTGATTCAGGATTTAACCATGTTCTACAGATGTAAACTCCACATCATCACCACAGATCACATATGTAGAAAGTATTTCAGCGACATGGTTCAAATTCATTAAATTCTATCTTTGATTAGGTTAAGCTCTCTGCGAAAGGATGTTTAACTAAAGATAAACTAATGATAGAAAGATATGCGAGTACTTAAAAGATTGGACAAAAAATATTTCGTGATCACGTGACCAAAACACAAAAACCATTTCATAAAATGTTGCAATATGCAGGAGTTTACTCTGATTTCAGACATTTTACATCGCTAAAAAGCATATAGCTTAGCGCATAGATTAATAACAAAAACAGATAGAACACTAGATGTCGTCTTTTCAAGATTTAGGGGTTTTTCGTTCACAATAACCCTGAGGCAAGTTACGATTATTGCTTTTGTACGCCATAAATACTTTTCGGCGTAGGCGTGTAATTGTATAATCTTCCTAATTTTCTTTGAGATATATTGCTGGGAGGATGACTCATTAAGAAAAGAGTTTAAGTAAAAATAAAAACTTGCAGTGATCATGGTGGTTTCAGGTTTTAAAGCTTTAGCCAGGCATCGTACGTTTTCTAATGACACAATTTCAATATTATTAAATTCTTGATTTCATTATACCTGAAGTTTATTTTTTAATTCAACTTCTTCATCTTCATTGGTGTCAGGGTACAATTCTAAAAATATTAATTTAAAAAATCAATTCATAAAAAGTTGTTTAAAATTTAAACCAAGCTCAGTGCATGCTTGACCTTTAATCTCTTATGTTTCTATGTGCTTGAGAATACCAAAGCAAAACCACAAAAAGAAAGTATTTTTCTTGTTTCGCCCAACCCAACTTAAAGATGTAAAATTATGCACAATGTATCATGATGTATTAGCATGAAACGAATTGGCCTCAAAATTTAATTTATTTTTCTCAAAAAAACTTAGTCAGGAGATTTCTAATATTTGATTAAGGGGTTTTTTCTTTTCCAACAGGAGATTGCTCATTTTGCCTCTTTTTAAAGTTTAAAATTAGTCAAGTAGGATATGACAGAAATTGCAAAAAGGAAGACAAAATAATTTTCAGAAGACCTAAAAAACCGCATGTGTGGTAATATTTCATAATTATACAAGTTTAAGTTGTCTTTAATAAATCTGAGCAAATCACATTCCACAAGACAGAAGGAGAAACTGCACAAATGTATGCGAAATTACTGGTACGGGTTTGTGATCTAACACGCACTACGCACACAGATAAAAGAAGCACAATTTGGTCGCATACTAGAAATTTTAAATATTTCTCAATAGCTCTTTAATAAGAAGAGTTATGATTGAAAAAATGTAAGATTTAAATAAAACGATAATTTTAATTCATTTGAACTGTAAATGCTTTGTCAATGGTATTAACAAAGTGCATTAAAGACTTTTTTATTAAAGTGCATCTAACAGAAAGGTGACCACCCACTCAATTTAAACCAGTAATTATAAAATATTATCTAATATTTAGTATTTTTCAATTCATTTTAAATATGTAAACTTTAAACTGTTTTTACTTAAAGGGACCGTAAGCGTAATGTTAAGGGACCCTCAATTCAAAGTTGGCAATACCAGATTCACAACGCGCGTTACCCTTAAATACTTTGTCTGATCAGGTAGATATGAATAAGATATCTATGTTTATAATTTTATAAAAATACAGGAATTATCAGAAAATAAAGACCTTTAAATCTAGAAAAACGACGACATTTTCCCATTAATGACCAGAAAAAGGTTTCAAGGGTACCGTTGTGAATCGGGCATTGCCATTCTTGCATGAAGGTCACATAAAATTACGTTTACAGTCCCTTTCATTTACAATTACAAGCAAGAATCTCCACAAGGCAAGCAGTCTGGCAAGCCAACTTGCAAAGATAAACAGCTTAAATATTATTGGTTTTACCGTTAATAATGTTGCTTAAACCACAAAATCTTTAAAAACAAATAAAAATGTGAATATCTATCAAAATAAAAATAAACACAATCTTCTATATTTACCAATCTTAATCGCTTCCGGATTAGTTTCTTCACTAAAAACAATATTTTTAGATCTCGCCATGTTGAAAAATATGCGTATACACTATACAGTGCAGAACGCACAGATATTTTGCGTAGAACGCACAGAGCACTTTGTGGAATGTTAACACCGGCACTACCAACTTACAACTGATTATACCTGAGTACACACTGATGCCATACATACATCATACGCGGCAAAGATACAAATTAATCACCAAATATACGCTTTTTGACATTGCTAAAAAAACTACAAAAACAACTTTATTTCAGAAGTAAAAAATTTCTGATGATTTCGAATTGAATAAGTTGAATTTAAATGGTTAGATAGATGGATAGATGAGTCATATCTGTTGTGGTTTGCGCCAAGACGGGGTTCGTTCGGGTCGGATCACAGGCGTAACCAATTTGACCAAGGGGAGGGGAGATACAGGGGATTTACTCCCATTTAATTTAAGAATGGCATTTTCAATTTACAACGTTGCCTTTAAAAAGCTTTGTCTGAACACGTATAAGTGAGATATTCTTTTATATCTTTTTTAAAATTGATTATCTTCAATTGAGATTTTTTTTAAAAAAGGAGGATATTGAGAGAATTAAAAACATTTCAATCTTACAGAAACGCCAATATCTCAGAAAGAAGTTTAAAAGGCTACCAAATTGTTAATCGTGCATGCCCAATTTTAAATGGAGATTCATTTGAAATTTACACAACAGTCCCTTGAATTATTACAAGATTTTGTATAAGCTTTGTGATCTACCTTTCCTATCCCATCATCTTTAATCAACTAAACCTTATTTTACGTTTATCTTTTTGAAAAATATTTTAGAAAAGGAGTGTCTAGATTTTTTAATTGCTAAACCTATTCAAACTAATGTGAAATTTATTCAAGAATGTTTTGTCTCCTAACAAGAGAAATTATTTTAAAACCAGAGAATATATTTCTATTCTAGTATAGACATGTGGTTCTGTCCGTCGTATTTAAAATTTCTTTTCTAATTCGTTAGATATGAGTGCAAAATGGGATTGCAATTCTATTGTAATTATCGATTGAAAAGTCCCATTAATGTTTTAGAACAGTACAGGGTTTACATTATCTTAGAAACAATGGTTTAGAACAGTGCAGGGTTTACATTATCTGAGAAACAATGGTTTAGAACAGTACATGGGTTTACATTATCTGAGAAACAATGGTTTAGAACAGTACAGGGTTTACATTATCTGAGAAACAATGTTTTAGAGCAGTACAGGGTTTACATTATATGAGAAAAAATGGTTTAGAACAGTACAGGGTTTACATTATATGAGAAACAATGGTTTAGAACAGTACAGGGTTTACATTATATGAGAAACAATCGTTTAGGACAGTACAGGGATACATTATATGAGAAACAATGGTTTAAAACAGTACAGGGTTTACATTATCTGAGAAACAATGGTTTAAAACAGTACAAGGTTTACATTATCTGAGAAACAATGGTTTAGAACAGTACAGGGTTTACATTATCTGAGAACAATGGTTTAGAACAGTACATGGGTTTACATTATCTGAGAAACAATGGTTTAAAACAGTACAGGGTTTACATTATCTGAGAAACAATGGTTTAGAACAGTACATGGGTGTACAGTATCTGAGAAATAATGGTTTAGAACAGTACAGGGTTTACATTATCTAAGAAACAATGGTTTAGAACAGTACAGGGTTTACATCATCTGAGAAACAATGGGTGAGAACAGTACAGGGTTTACATTATCTGAGAAACAATGGTTTAGAACAGTACAGGGTTTACATTATCTGAGAAACAATGGTTTAGAACAGTACAGGGTTAACATTGTCTGAGAAACAATGGTTAAGAACAGTACAGGGTTTACATTATCTGAGAAACAATGGTTTAGAACAGTACAGGGTTTAAATTATCTGAGATACAATGGGTTAGAACAGTACAGGGTTTACATTATCTGAGAAACAATGGTTTAGAACAGTACAGGGTTTATATTATCTGAGAAACAATTTTCCCGATTCAGAAATATACCTTTTATACCTGCATCCCATCGGTTTTATAGATTATAAAATGTTTAGTTTTGTAAATTCTGTCAAGTAGAAATCCCCCCGCCCTTTAAAAAAGCACTTACAATTGAGATCATGTGAAATTAAGTCCACGGTCTCTTTAAGCTACACCTTTATATCTGATATTTTTAAATATAAGTTGAAATTATAATTCATTTTTTCTCTCTCAACAAACTTTTAAGACAGTTACAATTATTCCCATTCCCGGCTCAGTTAACTCATGAATGAGAAAAAAAACAATTTTTTCCTTTCCTGGATTTGCAGCTAGATTGAGGATTCTTTAAAAACACATTTTTTCACGTTTAATTATCTTCTTTTTCAAAATTGAATTATTTAACAACTCTCCACGTTACATAACCAACAGGTTTCATCCAAAGAATTTAAGTTAAGACAACAATTTTGTATGTATCATAAAAATTGGTGTCTGTTTCTGGGAACAACCCTGTTGTGGCAAATTTTCCAGATTTATCTAAATGCATCCTGTTCCGACATTGCAGATGCATTAGTAAGTGCAGTTTGGAGTATGCACTTTGGACACCTGGGGTAAGAATTGCATAATGCATCTCCGTGTCTCACTCTTCAGATTGAATTAGGGAATTTTAGGGTTTTCAATGAATTAACATTTTAAAGGTGCGTACTGCGTACTGCGTACTAATTGTTGCTTTGAGTCAATAAAATACTTTCTATGCATTCACCCTTTAGTATTTTAGAAGAATAGGAAAACTTTTAACCTTTATTCATCTTAATCAATAATTTGTCAACCGTTGTCAACTTGTCAACTACTAATCATCAATCAATGATCTTTAACAAGCCCTCAATCATCAGCTATCTACCATTAACCCTTGATTGTCAAATATCAACCATAGGCTATCGATTATAAACTACCAATTATCAATTATCAACCATTACCTAACAATTAACATTAACTTTAAACCAATCAGCATTTACTATAAACCATCCAATATCATCCATATAAACTGTAAACTATCAGACATCAACTAAAATTTTCAATCAACTATCAACCATTAACCCTTAACTTTCAAATATCAGCGATATTTAAACTACCAATCATCGACTATAAACTATTAGAAATCAACCTTTCACCATCATCATTTATCAACTATCAACTTTCCAAAAATCGATCGTATCGAACCATCAACCATCGATTATTGATTATTAAACAGTAAGAACCAGAAAACTGTAGAATATGAAGACGACAATAAAAAAATACTAAAGTGAACTTGATGTTGATACAAAGCAATATTTTACTTATTTAACTTATTAAATCACATTAATGAAAATTAGCCTTGGTACACTGCACAATTAATGTGTCTCATGTTCATCGGACTATTAAAATTCATAACTTGAGTAAAAAAGTCGTCTTTCTATTACAGAGTTTTCTGGTTGTTACTGTATGAATTATATGAGTTTTGAATGGCCTACCATTATTGTCCTCCATTAGTTCTAAAATACTAGGTATAGGAGTGAGTATAGGAAAGAATATCTCTGAAAAATCAAAAAAAAAATCGATGGTAAACTAAATTATTTGACACCAAAGAAAGAAACAAGTTAACAAATCAATGAATGGAACAAGGGTATTAAACGAATTCTGCACAGTCGTCTCTGAAGTCTTACTCTCAGTGAATAACCCTTTATGTACATTAAAAAAAACATCAGCTCTGACAGATGATGAAGCTAGTAAACCCTTTAAAAGACTGTTTAAGGACCCTCTCCTAAACCTGGGAGTGTTGAGCCGATGAATCATTATCATTATTATCCGAGGCAACTCTTTTTCCAGTGAGACAATTTAGCAATGATGAAATTTATGATTATGTAAATATTTCATAGTAAACCTATTATTTAAACGCCTTCTGTCAATACCACAGATAATTCTCAAATATATTCAATGATCATAAATACAGGGTAGGGATAAAACCTGGGGAGAAGTCTCAATTTTACAAAACTCCAAATGTAGTTATGTTTACACTATACATTCACAATTGTCCTATATACCTCAATTAAAACTAATTTAAAATTCGGTGATGGTGATGGACCAAACCTAGATGTTAGTTCCACATTTATAGAAAAAAATTTCCGTCTGAGTTGACCCTCGTCAGTTCTTGAGATTGTTTCTGTCACAAAGATTAAAACTATTTTTTGTCCTTAATGACATACGATACGGTGTCTAATTTTCCCTCACTTTAAAAATCTATTTTACAAAATGTACTTTAATATAAAAAATTCTGTGTTAAACTATTAATTCCTTGAAGGAACTTTCTCTGATCACTGATAAGGAAGATATCGTCGTTTTTAAAGCATAAAAAGTGTTTAATTCTCACAATTTCTCCATTTTTCTCAAAAGAAAACCACAAATCACTTCTACAAAATTAGAAACCCCACAACCAGACAAAGATTCTATTGGTATCTCTGTAAATCGGACATGCTATACATGAAAGAGAAATAGAGTCTTCAGTGTAGAGAATGAAATCTCCGAAAGGGGATTTTAAAATCCTCAAATCGGAAGCGTCGGATTCTGGAACCAGAGAGAAGACCTACTCATCTTCCTTTCCTTTAATACACTCGATATTCATTATGTATTTATATCTAGAAGCAATAAATGTACGTTTAAAAAATCCCTTTGAATAATGATAAATATATCCCTGTACAATTCAATTGTCATATTAAAGAAAATCTAAACATTCCCGGTGGCATCATCATGACCCCACTCGAAGATTAAAAACCCCACTTTAAGACTTCCCTTTAAACAGAATTCTTTGAGGGGGGATCACTCATTAGTTAGGAAGGAGGGGGAGGGGGGGGGGTAACACTACACATACTTCCTTAAACAGGGAATACCAAGCAATAATATTTAAAATAGACACCCCAAATTTTTAATTTTGAATAATCTTTTTTGTTTGTTTATTTTCTTGTGATTTTTTTTACAAATTTTTACAAATTTTTTATCGATTTTGATGGTTATTATATCGTTAAACTGACGAGGGTCAACCCAAACCGAAATATATTTTCAATAAATGTGGAACTAACATCTACTTTTTTACTCTACAGAGGTTTGGTCCATCACCATCACCGAATTTTAAAAAGAAATATATATGTTGACATGTATGCATGTAATATGCATTTATAACGACTGAACCGTAAAAAAACTATTAGGCCTATAGGAGCATGAGGAAGTGGGTTGCTTATTTCTTTGATTTCCTATCTAGACAAAATAGACTATTGCTATTAACTTTCCCTAAGATTGTTAAAGTTAAAAAATGTCCCAATGTAATTTTGTTACAGAAAAATGTCTGCCCCCCCCCCAAAAAAAAAAAATCCAGAAAATGTTGACACAAAACTATTATCAGAAACCGAAAATGATGGCGTTGAAATCTGAATTTCAAATCTTAATCATTTAATGCTCGATGTAATTTTCTTTATGCATCAAATCTGTCATTGTCCTCTAATGCCTGGATAACAATGTTTGTTAATACTTGGTTTGTGCTCTGCAGAATAGTGCATCTAACCTTAATGATAGAAAGATAGAAAGCAATGAATCTGTTATGCTGACGCCTACGCAAAGAGAATGCAAAAAATTGAGTAAAATTAATGGACTGGTGAGAAAGTAGAGCAGCAATTAGAGTCAGGATTACACTCCCAGATTATTCTTTGCATTGAACAAAAATGTAATTTACATAAAATATATTATGCTAGACTTACAGGGGTTTCGTGCCCATCTTTTGATTATTAAATTCAGCTCTTCGTTGAGTCTGAAAGCCTTTTTTCTTCGTACATTTTTTTTCATGACAAAACTACAATAATAAAGGAACTGAGTTTTACCTCAAATTTTTCTAATCCCTGCATCTTTTCAATCTGAATATGGTGTTTACATTTCATATTTTAAACTTAAACTATTTGATCTTGAAGAATTCATAGTTGGAAATATCGAAGGTCTACACACACTTGTCTGCTAATTCCATTAGCACCTGATCCAATCACGGTTCAGTAATGTATTTTGTGTAAATTCTGAACCAATAGAAATAGCATGGCAGTAACATCTATCTTTCTATCTATCTCATCATCCAATTAGAGTTATGAATCCTTAAATCGGCGCTAAACAGTAAATGGAAATATTTACTACTACTGAAACTACAGTGTACATGGGGTTGCAAAGTTGTAGGTGTAAAGAAATTTGAGTTTGCGGCAAAAACTCATTTCCTTTCACATAAACTTCTGCCTGCATTAGCAGATTTTTGAATGTCTTTTTTTAACCGGCCATAAACCTTTGCTGGGATCAAGTAAGTTACCACAAAAATTTGGGCCTTATCGGAAACCCAATTGAAAAAAAGACTAATTTTAAGCGGCCCTAAATAAGAAAAACTGTAAAACTTTATAATATCTAAATTATAATATCTAACATAATTTCAGTGATGAAAAACTGGCGGTGCTATAAGGGAGTAAGTTTGTATTAGTAACTCTTTTCTTAAACGTATTAGTTTAAAGGGTGAACATATTTCGTTAAAAGGCTTCGAAAGGTGGTTCAATTAGTTTCGGATACAAGAGCTTTAGAACTAAAAAGAATTTTAGTTCTAGAAAATTTCAATATGATCCGACTTAGATTTTAAATTTTGCAATTTGTATCTAAATATATACTTTTTTCATTTTGGTTAATGTTACAGAGTGGGGTCAAACAAAGGATTCGATAAAAACTGTCAAAAAATAAGAATTTTAAAAAATGATGAAAGATATAAAACCTGTTTTTTAAAGTTCTGTCGCTTCACGCTTTAATATGCACGATAGTATCACTGGAGATAATTCACTTTTATCTTAAAATATTATTATTATTATAGGAACTCAGTTTTTACCACAAACTCAAATTTTCTATCACTTTTTCTTTGAAACCTGATACTTAAATATTTCAAACTCAGATTCTTTGATCTA